CCTTATGTCTGTTGGGTAAGTAGTGGGTGAAATTAATTCAGATATCACATGAGTAACTTATTAATATATAAAATTACATTATTAATATTTAAACCTATAAATGATTATCTATAATTAATTTATGTAATTTATGAGACAATAAAAGATTGGTCTATTTTCTTAAAGTCAAGTATATGTTACAGACATATGTGAACCCCTAAATATTTTGGAATTTCTAGATAATTAAGTTAATCAAAATTAGAGTCATCCTTTAAAACTGGAAAATTTGAAAATATCCAATAAAAGCAACTAAAAAGAAAATTCTCACTAAAGTAGACATTAATAGTAACAATCTAGCTTATAGTAATAAGAGAAATTAAATAAAGTCCATATGGATCAGGATGGGCAAATAAAGTTTTAGGAAAACAATTTGGAGTTTAATTATCTTAAATAACACAAAGAAAAAAGGCAAAATGGATTATAAAAAAATTGAAACCTTCTGAAAGCAATGATAATAGCAAATAATAAAATTCACGATTGATTAATGTATTTGAGCGTTAATTCTTTAGGATATAAAATCTCATGAAGAAGGGTAAAAAAAAACAGCTTCTAAATCAAATGACAGAAGATTTGATAAAATAATTAAGGGTCATTAGAAATCTTTTAGTGGATTTAGATACTCTTTACCTACCTTTGATATAAATTTCTTTGACAAAATTGATTAATACAATTTATGATTATATTTAATATTATGAATAAATCTTCTCACTCAAATTATAAGTATCTATTAATGTTATTACTCTTATTAACAATTTATTTTAAATAAATAAATCTTGCCTTTGCATTTAATAAATGCAAACTAAATAAAAAATGTAGCAATTTAGATATGAAATAAGAAGAATTTAGAGTTTATTACATTTATTTACAATTCAAATATTATTATATAAATATAGTTGATCAGAGTGGAACTTTCTTAAAAGCAATTTAGGAGAATGAATATCTTCATCTTGATTTTGAAGGGTATTATCATCCTATAAATAATGTTCTTACTTAGAGACTAAAATCTACATACTTTAAATTGCTTTATGGTGATTTTTAGGCATTTTCAATTATTCTATCATGTTGTTTAATTCATTGAGATTCAGATTAGGATTTTATACAAATTCTATGACTTACTTCGGACAATGAGCTAGATTATGAAATGGAAGGTAGTTTAGAGACATGTATTCGTTAAATATATATTTATAAATTTATAAAAAATGATAAAGGATTAAATAATTTATTTAATATATTAATTCTCGAAGTTATTTGACCATATTTTAGTATAATTTCCTAACTTTAACAACTTTTAATCATTCAAAGATAATTAACAATCATGAATTGAGTTATTATTTTGTATTTTGGTGGAATTACAATATAAATTTTGTAGGTGAATATAAATAACTTTAATAAATGAGTTAAAGAATCTATGTAAAAATTAAAGTAATTAACTAATCCTTATTGAGTAATAATTTTATTATAAGTAAAATATATTAGTAGTTTCTTAAGCTATAGAGTCAATAGACTTTATTTAAACCTAATAAATGACTATATTAAAAATTGAAAACCTAAAAATTAATATTTTAAATTAAAAAAGGACTAGGATTTGATTAAAAACAAATAAAAAATAAGTATAATTAATATATAAAGAAAAAAAATCAAAATATTAATTGTTCTAACTGGAGAAGCTAGGTAATTTTATCTATTATAATCTCATTACTAAATTTGGAAGAATCTTCCTCATTTTTCTAATCTAATTATCATAAAATAAAATACTAAAGAATTGTAAATTATGATAAATTTTTCAACTCCTAATTATTCTTCAAGCTCCATTCTCATTTTCTCAATTAGATCCGCAAGTGATTCTCCATATTCTTTTTACTCACTCTCATAATGTCTAATTCGACCAGAGAGACTTTCAATTTTCTTAACTTATCCAGAAATAAATTGTATCTTTTGTAAATTTTAAGTTTTTCTTTGCACAAATTCGTTTTTTGATTTTCTAATTATTCTATAATCTAATATCTAATTGATATTGAGTCTCTTTTAAGGATCTGTGTTTAAAATATCTTTTAGTAATTAGATGAGTTCTTAGGAATAATTGATGGGCATAGGCTAATATTTTCCATTGATAATTTTCAAAAATAGTCCTTCCATTGCTTTATTTATTGAAATATAATACTTTTGGCTTCAAAGGCATGCTTCAATGCCATCATCTCATATAACATACACCCTAAACTCCAGATATCTGATTTATAATCATAAGGAATTCTTTAACAAACTTCTGGACTGATATAGTATGGAGTTCCAATAGCAGTTTAGCAGAGATCCTCAGAATTAATAAGGGATTTAGCAATTCCAAAATCACCTAGTTTTATTTCTCCTTTTGAAATAAATATATTTTGAGTTTTGATATCTCGATGTATGATTCGTCTATCATGAATATATTTGACAGCTAAACAAATTTATGTGAACCATTCTATAATTTGATTCTCTTTCAAATACTCCTGTTTTTATTTTTGTTATTCAAGTCTTTGATGCAGTGTTCCTTCTTCTGCATAATCCATCACAATACACAAATATTTACTAACTTAGGCAAATGAACATACTTTTTATCCACAAAAGATTCCCTGTATTCAATTATGCATGGATGATGTAAATTCTTCAATACATCTATTTCATTGAGTGCATTTTCTTTTTCTTTGATATCAAATTTGGATGCATCTATTATCTATTATAGTCATCTAATTACCTTCATAATGTAAAACTTTCTATCCTATTTATTTTGAACCAATATAGCTTGACCATAACTACCTTTTCCCTTTAATTCTATCTTCCTGTAGCGTTCCATTAATCTATTATTAACTGTTAAATAATAAATAAAATTTAACTCAATAATATGCATCTCAACTTTACGACTCTTTTTGTATTTTTATTAGCAACTTGATTAAACCTAATATATTGGGGTCTATATCCAAAATATTAGTGTATTTTCTCATTTCTCGCCAATTACTTCCATTATAACATGATATTCCAACTGCATTTATTTATAAATGAATCCTTTAAATTATCGAATTTTCATAATATATTAAATGGAAGATCATCTTCATCTATAGGTTACCATATAAGAATTTTAATCAGACTCCATAATGTCTGATCTAATAGCATTTCAAATCAAAACAAGTAGTTAAAATCTTATTTTCTTCAGAACATACCACAATAACTACAAATTAGTATGAGATATGTAAAGGTTTGATACCTATTAATGAAACCCATCTTATTTCTTTAGAAAATCGATCTACAAATTCTTACCAAAATAAACTGGAGCTTCTGCTTTTGCTGAATAATGAGGTTGCAGGAAGAGTAGATTGTAATTTAACTTAATTGCTTGATTCAAATCTCGAACTCAAGAATTATGGTGATTTTCAAGTTGAGACAGAAGAGAAAGTGATGCTAAATGGCAATTAGGTATCGAATTCAAGAGTGAAATTAACACTAAAAGTCTTTCATCAAACTGAACAACATTCATAGAGAACAACTATTAATGTTGCAACTTCTGAGTCTTAACGTGAACAAGATCTAGTTTTATTTTCATTGAGAGAAGAACTAGAGCAATGGAAATCCAAATATACTAATATTGCTAAAGAATTAAATTAATTAGGAGATGAGCTATTGTCTCTGCAGATTAAAGAGAAAGGAGACCTCCATTCATACCTATCTCCAGAGATCAATATATTTAGAAAGATTATAAAATCAAAGTTGCAGTATTTCTTATAAATATATGATAATTAAGTGGATTAAACATATTTATTAAAAAAAGAATTAAATTATTACAGATCCAAATTATGCCTGAAAGTAAAACTTATTTGATTATCTAGTGTTCAGAACCTTATTTTAAACACAGTTTCTAAAGTCTAGCTGAAAAAATTAAAAACTTAACTTCAATTTTAGACAAGTAAATTTTCCCTTTAACTTAGAAAACAAACAGAATAATTTTAATTAATCAAATCTTTAGAAATAGAAAAATAATCATAGAAATAGTTATAAGAAAATGTTAAAATATTGAATCAATAACAGTTACTGTTAAGATAGACTTTAGCAAAATCAAAGAAATAAGTTGAAGATTCACTTAAGCTTTAAACTTCATAGGAATTATAAATTTAATAGTTGAATAAAGATGTCATTTCTAAGACTTTAATCATACTTTAATTAAATAAACGTTGTCTTGAATTAGAGTAACAAAATTATAGGATGAACTCTGATATCGAGCAAATTATATTCTTATACAAATAATGGAGTATGTCTATAGTAAAATCAATTGAAAAAGAGTCCTCTGAAAAACAATTATTAGGAGACATTTTAAAGTAATTGAACAACTCATTAAAGTTTCTTGCCTCAAATGATAACTTAAATAAAGATTCTAATTCAGCAAATGAATATCACAACAAAATTGAATAATACATTCAAGATTATCATTTATAAGTTACTCAACTAGAGTCACTACTATATCAGCATAGAATCAAATGCCATAACGATAATTTAACATTGAATTCTCTCAGAGCAGATGAATTTAATGCATTTCTTTTAAATTTTCCCCTAGAAAATGTAACTGAACAAAGTACCAAACAATATGAATTATCAAAATAGATGAACTCTTAATCGGAATTACATATCTTCAATTTGATTTAATTGAAAGATGTTGAAATTACTAAACTAAAGCAAAAAATAGCAGATATGCTAAATATTGCTTTAGAATTAGGCAATTCAGTGTTAGTCGAATAGATGCAACTCACCTTAATGTGATCCATATACAATTGTGAATGAAAATCATATTTTTATTAATTTTAAAATAATATCATGATTTCAAAACATGATTAGGAGTTTAACAGAATTTTAATAAAACCTTTATATATATGACTTATTCAAATAGTAGTATTGATGTTTCTTTTGGATATCCCTCTCTCAAATCTATTATTAAAATTATAATTAATTTGAGCAAATGTAATAAACAACTGAGGAAGATGTACAGAGATCGAAGGCCAAATAAGATTTAAAATCTGTAAAATATATGTAGTGAAAAAGATATTCTTATTAGTGTCAATTATTATGGGATTTTGTTTTCTATTTAATACGAACGTAACATTTGGATGGGATTACAAAATAATTATTGTATATACTTGCACTACATAATTTGCTTTTATGATATCGAAATTGCTTTCATATAAAGGGTATTTACTTTGGAATTTCAAATTAGAATAAATTCTTATTGTTGTTTTGCCTTATTGGAGAGTGCCCTGTTTATTACCTATTTATTAGGAATAGTCTACAATAATGAAATCTCAGCAATAAATATTAATTTTATCAGTTATGCTCTACTCATATTGTAATTTGTAATTTTAGCAATAACAGTTTTAATAAGTAGGTAAAGTGTTGAGAGTGATGCTTAAGATTAGTCAAAATAAATATAAGAAATTGTATGTATTACGATCTATTAAAAGTTGGTTGCTGCAATAAAAAGCATAGGCTCATTACAGATAGTATTTTTGAGTTTGAAATGGAGTCAATAAATTAATTGGGGTTGGATGCAAACTTTAGTAATCGTTTGGTTTATTCTTGGTACTATGACATTGATTGAAGTATGTTTGATATTCGATTTGATTTTAAAATGTTGTAACAACGAACTTTAAAATAAGAAACTATTAAGTAAAGATAAATGTGTAGGTTTTTAGTTTTTGGAGGGGCTTGGGTGAATATTGTTCTCGTAGGATTTATTATAGATATAGGACTGACTTTTTTAGGATTAGGATTACTCTTGGACTATAATATTGGATAGATAAATTTATTGGGTTTCATCACTTCGATCGTTTACTATTTTTTTTAGATCTTGTTTTATTTCAAAAACTAGGAAGAATTAATGTAGTATCATATATGATTTTTAGTTAATTTTTCAATTTATCTGAAACATAATAGTAAATAAGACCACCCGAATAGCCTAATGAATAGATTACATTAAAAGAAAGAATCAAAGAAATTCACAGAATTAGCATAAGCAAGGTTCCCTAATTTATGGTGAAATTGTCAGCCACTTACTTTAGAAAGTAAGAAATAAATGAGAATCAAAAGAATCAGAATGAGTTAGGTTCATCTTAGGATAAAAAGTTTCGATCAATTAGTTATTCAGATGTAAAGAAATAGAAGGAGATTAAAAAGAGTCCATCTCAGGAGTTGGAGGAAGACTTAACTAAAAAATTTGATTAATTATTATCATCTCCAAGAATAAAATTAGAAGTTAGTGAAAGTATGGCCCCAGAGTTGTCAAGCAGAGGATAGTATAAATAGAATGTGTTATGCCTTGTTTGTTATGAAAAAGAAAGTAATATGATTAACTAGCCTTGTGGCCATGGAGGATTTTGTTAAGAATGCTCGTAACAATTATTGTCAAAGAGTAATTATTGTATGTTGTGTCGTAAACCTGTAACACATACATTACTTGTATAAGGAGTTGAAAACAGGGAAAGTTTGGTTGAAGTAATAGGAATTTATTAAGGGGGGTAAAAGTAAGGATGAAGACACATCTTATGAATTCCTTATTTATATATAATTCAATAAACTAACATTCTTAAATTTTAACAACCTAAAATATTTAATATATTTATGAACGAATTAGTAATTCTTATTATCAATTTAATCCTAGAAGATCAAAAAATAAATAGAAAGAAAGGTTTTTGATAATTATTATTAAATAAATATTAATATTGATTAATTTTAAAATATATTATCATGAGTTTAATTTATATAATTTTCATTCATCGAAAATGGTGATTCAATAATTGATTTATAACAAAACAGAAAAATTGGAGAATTCAAATGAGCAGAAGAGACTCTCCAAGGTTTTGTATATCTGGTTACAAGAATTCTAAGGAAGAAATGATTTATGCTGATTTTTATTGATTTTTATTGATTTTTTATTAAATACTCCATTGAAAAAACGATTTCAGCATAATATAAAAAAAAGATGTGTGGATGTTGGGGTTAATTAATATTATGTAAAAGCTTTAAAATAAATAATATATAACATTCAGCAGCTTACTTCTTCTTCTACATCCTTTGCAAATTCCAGTTTTAGATCTTTGTAAAACTAAGTCAAATGAACATTCGCAATGGCTACACTGTTTGCAATTGACTTAGGTTAGATTGGTAGAAGGGGAATCACCTTGACTATTTTGGATTTTAAAGCATTTAAATATTGTAAGATTGGAGATGTGATAGGATCTGTATTTTCTGAAGTATCGGGAGAAAGAGATAAAGCTTTAATTCGATCACTATAGTAGTCATTTGTCCACCACAGTTCATTCTCATCATCAAAGTTTTTATCCATTAAACAATTTAGAATGATGGCTGTTTCCACAAGCAACTATAATAGAAGATTAGATAAAAGCATACTTGAATTGTTTCTTTGATGATAAACTCCCTATTTTCAGAAGTATCATTTCTGGAATTAATATAGTTTGTGTACTCGTTTCTGTAATATTCTAACACTTTTGATTTAATTTTTAAAGCCTTCTCAGTGTAGTTATTGTAAGATCTCAGTATCAATTGAGATTTGCCTTCAATTCTTTCTGCCAAAATATCACATGAATCAACATAGATTTAATTTTTGGCTATCTACTCCGTTAAATATTCCTTGATCGGCTTCGTTCTCATTACATTAGCTAAAGATTGGCTCTCCACAAAATCAATAGCTTCCTTTGTAGTGCTGAGAGTTTAAGGAGTGCTATCCGATTTTTTGATTTCGTTTGCTTTGATCGGTTATTTCTCTTTTTGTTTGGCACACTAAAGACCCATATAATAAAGTATTGTTATTATTAATAATTTAAATCAAATTTAGCCCATGTAGTCCCAAAGATTATCCTTATCACCATATCCTGGTATGCTAAATTCATGAAGATTGTTAAGAAAGTTGTCCTAAGTTGTTTTGAAAGGAGAAAATATTTTATCAATTGTTAATCTAAAAGCGTCATCTAATTTGGAAATACACATTACTTAACATTCGAGGAATCAATTTTTATAGTAAAGGACTACTCTCTTCAATGCAAGGGTTAGTGTTGATTTCAATCAACCAGATATTTCCATTATTATCAATCATGAAATCATATCCAAAGATTTCAAATTGAAAATCTCTATGATCTAAAATAATAACAACACAATATCAACTATTTCGCAATTTAGTACACGCACAGAATATGGTCTAATGAATGAGCTCTTTCATTTTTTACACAATTCCAACTGAGGTTACCTTGGTATTCTTTTACGATGTTAAATACTATTATAAGTCTTGGAAACTCAATTGATTTCCTAATTCATATTTACAATAATTAGAATGATTCTTCTGGATAGCATTGTTAGTCAAATGTATATACAACGACCTAAGATTTTTAATGTCGAAATGCTCACTCGCTAATCGTAAATACCTGAATTAATTTAATATTGCTACCCTTCCTTAAAGAAATAATATTTGCAAGTGTGATCTATTAATACCCAGATTCTAAAATCAAATTTCCTTCCATTATATAGAAGAGGGGTTTCAAGATACTTTTATAGAACCAGTATTCTATCTTAATTTGGAGTTTAATCTAATGTAATCTCAATCTGAGCTTACCCAGTTTCTAAGTTGAACATTTTAAGTACTTTCATTAGACTCTGGGTATGTTATGAGTAAAGTTTTGGTCGCTCTTGATGAGGGCATTATTTATTTGTTAACATTCCTTGTTTTACAAAATTCATTAATTTGATTTATCAAGACTTTTAAATCAGAAAACAATTGTATTCCTCTTCCCCTATTCAAATCAGGTGGTTTGAGTAACCAAACGTTTTTAAGCAGTTTGTCTTTTTGTATTTCAACGAAATAATCTACAAATTTTTTAAAATCATTTTGCAAAGTTGTTGAATCCAAGTTGATTATGAAAGTTACAGGAACAAAATCATCCATGTGCTTATTTGTTCTCAGACAATATGATTTCAAATTAGCATGCAATTTATTTTTGTTTGATATTTCATTGTGATGTTCTAAATGATTTATGCAAACACTTTTCGATGTTAACGTTGAATAATTGAAACCTTTATTCGATTGTCTCCAAATAAAGTTCACACTTAAATTATCTATCATCTACTTACTTGTAACTCGTTTGCTATTCACCAAACCATGCTCTCCCTTATAAAATTCTCCTAACCAAATTCCCATTATTCCCATTTTCACAAAAAAACTATTCTTTTTTATATTAAACATTACACTATATTAAACTGTAAACACATTTTTATAAAAGGCAGGTTTGGTAATCCTTTAAAATGAAGATTGGGGTCTCCTCTGATTACTTGCTTTTTTCTTCTCAATTGATTTCTTTCCTTAAAATAAAGTGCTATTGAACATCCCAATCTTGCTCAATCCTTCAGGAGTATGTTGGCGAGGTACCTATGGACCGAATTTTAATTGAATAGGCTCCAATCTTCATTATTGTGCACAATACCTGCAATCCTTAACTTTTATGGCTTATAAAAACATCAAATTTTATATTAAAATTATAATTATAGCATCAATTTTTTGTACTAAGTAATTCATACAGAATGTAAACAGTACTGTTGATTATAAATCTAAGTTTAATCGTTCTATCCATCAACATATTTTGAATTAATTTAATACATCTGATGTTTATGATTAATTCTTTTAAATTATTATTCAACATTTTCTTTAATATAAATACTTCTTATTACTTTAACAAATCATATGACTTAGGTGAAATAAAATAACAAAATTTTTCATGTGATCATATTTATAAATTTGAAATTATGCATCTTTAATTTTATAGGAAGATCAATATAGTATCATAAATAAAGTAAAATTAAATAAACTATTTTATAAGTTATAGATCTATTCAAAAAATCAAGTATTCTAAAAATCAACAAATTTTAATGCAAAATAAATTTAAGGAAAAACAAATATTAAATTAATATGCCTTCCATACCATCGTTACTTTGTATAATACTGTTTCAAGTTAGTTAAGTTTAGTCATTCAGTTATGACTAACAATTATGATAATTCTTGAATTTTATTAGACTCTCCTTGTAATTGTTTTAGAGTCATTCTTTAGCGGGTTAGTTATGACAATTAAAGGATTTTCAATTAGATATTATCTTTTAAATAGGAAGATATGTTTAATAATATTTTAAAATTTTGTTATTGTGTAATTAATGATCTCCTCAAGGTGTAGTCTTGAAATTTATAATCTCCTTCTCGCAAAAGAGATTAGCAACAGTGTGCTTATGATAACAAATGATAAAGAGGATATAACCTTTCCTCATCATTAAAGTATAGAATATTTGATTGATATGTAATGCTTATTTTTTTCAGAAATTACTTTAGATGCTACAATTATGTTTCAAAATCTCTATGATATCTTTATTAACAAACATTCCATTTATTACTACTCAATATTTATGAATTTTCTTCATTATTCGACTTTTAAACAGCCTAAGTACTATAATATGGTTTTTCAATTTAAGTAACTTCTACAAAATAGAGCTGATTATTATTATATAAATAAATTTCTTGCTATTTCTCATTTTATTCTTTTTTCTTCAAATAAATCAAAATATGTTTTCTGTAATCTTTAATATTTCAATGCAACCATCATTTGGAATTTTAAATTAAGGTTATTTATTTCAGTACCCAATCACTTATCAACCCTATACTAATCCAAAGCCTGTCATCCATAATTTGTATATATCTCATATTTTCTAGTTATGTTTGACTCAATTTTCTTCTGACATTTATAATTTTATTATTATTTAATGTGCACTAAACTAAATATTGCTAATTCTAATTCGAATGTTATGCTTTATTTGAAATTGAGAGAAAGTGGCTGCGATAAAGTTTAAGCACGTTAATTTTGCCGTAAGAATTTTTGCAAGGTATAACACGATTTTATAATATTATATAGATAGATTAAACTCAAAAATAAATTGGACCACCAGGCCACAAGGTTTTGAAATTGCATCCAAATCGTTTACAAGGAGAGAAGGGATGGCAACCTGGATTTATGATGAAATATGACTTAGGCAGCGGTTACAGAGACTCCAAAGGTATTGTATCAAAACTAAATATTAGATTTGGTAGAGGAATAAACTCCGGCTGAGGAAGCAATCTTGAAACAGTACGAAAAGTACGAAAAAAAGAAGAATGCTGTACTTTTGTAAAAAATGTTGGCTGTCAAAAACTATGCTGATTCATTAAGACCTCCAAAAATAGATGTGTTTAGTAAAGACAGTCTGGATAGGATAAGGAAGATTTCTTAGGATTTACATGATAATCAATAAAAACCAAAAAAGTACTTTGAAAAAGGAGATATGAAGTTTTATGAACTTGCTGACTATATTTCCACTCATCGCTCAGGTTAATTAACTGATTTGAGAATCAATTTTGATCCTATTGTAAATACTTAGGTAAAATTAAAAACTGAGAATTCCCAATATTTAAGTCCCACCAAAAGTTTCAAAAGACAAACAACAATAAGTGCTATTGAAAAGGGAGCCAATCTAATTATGGCCTTTTAGAATCAAACTCCAATTAATGAAGAATTGGACACAAGATCAACCAATCATAATAATAATGAGGTAACATCGTAGCTTATACGATTTAATCATCATAAATTAGAATTGGCTGAAGAATTCAATTCATCTTAATATTTATTCACTCCAACTAGTGCTCATACAAGATAGGCAAGTCAAATTGATTAGAATGATGAAGCAGTTAAATGTTTCGTATAACAATTTTATGACAAACAATACAATGATAAAGTGATTCCCTCGACAAAAAGAAATTTGAGATTGCGAGCAATTGTGAATAGTGGAGTTCCCAAATAAGAGACTTCTAGACAAACTAATAATAAGAAAGTAAGTAAAAGGTTGAGCATGTGATCTCATTGTCTCGCAGAATGATAATATATTTAATTAATTTCTAAGAATTTGGACATTCTTTAATCTCATATTCCTACAATTCCTTGAATTATTTTTAATATCCAATAACACAATATGAACATACTCAACAAAGCAACTTTAGGAGGTGGATGTTTTTGGTGCATTGAAGCTGTTTACAGGAGAATATAGGGAGTATCTGAAGTTTATTCTGGATATAGTGGAGGTGCATTAAAAAGCACTGCCAATTATAAAGATGTATGTAAAGGAAATACAGGACATGCTGAAGTCGTATAAGTGCTTTTCGATCAAAACAAGGTGGATTATAAGGATTTACTCTACATCTTCTTTGCATCACATGATCCAACTACTTTAAACAGATAAGGTAATGATGAAGGGGAACAATATCGTTCAATTATTTTTTATCATAGTGAGTAACAGAAGGCAATAGTCAATGAAGTTATAAAGGAACTACAAAAAGAATACAAGAATCCAATTGTGACTCAAGTGGTGGAGTTTAAAGAATTTTATAAAGCCGAAGATTATCACCAGGGTTATTATGATATCAACCCAAACGAAGGCTATTGTAGAGCTGTAATATCTCCAAAGATCAAGAAGATTATTCAGAAATATCAAACATAACTTAAGCCAGAATATTAATGATTTACAATTTAATTTCTGTATTTATCATTATTCAGAACGGGCATTTCTAAACTTGACCATAACGACTGAACGAGCTGGAACTTGAGTAGTATAACTGACAGTTGCTACTCCTAATTCAACTTAATTAATGAGATCTCTGACATTCTAATCTCCGCTAATTCCCAACTTATCAAATTCAATAGTTATCGATTCTTATAATGATGCTTGATTAAAGAGAACTGCAACTACTCCAGCACCGTTATCAGCAACTTGAGCAGCCCAGACTTCACTTGTCAACACCTTCTTTACTCTGGTAGCTTAAATACCCAAACTATCCTTAAATATTATTTATTAGTATTACTTAATTAACAGCAATAACCTCTGGATTCATCAATATCTTCTTCGTATCTTGACTCATGTTTGTAATATCACAACCAATAAGTAGTGGAGCCTTCAAAATTGCCCACAAAGCAAAATGAGCTTGATATTCGTGAGTTTTCATCCCTCCATTACCGACTTCTAGCATATCTGGGTCATTCCATTGTCCTGGTCCAGCATATTATGCCAAATTGGCTTATTCTTCCAAAATAGCTAAGCCATAGAAAATGATACTTACCAATGAAGGAATACCAATGATCTGAAATATCTCCGGTGGTTCTCCAAGAATTTGCTATTGGTGGAGCCCATAACCATGGTTTCTCCAAACCCCATTCACACATTGAAAAATAGATCTTCTTGGTCTATTTCATTAAAGCAGCAGACATTGGAGGATACCTTACTTTTGGAGAGGTACCATCAGTATGACAGTTATCGTACTTCAAATAATCAATGTCCCATTCAGCATAGGTTTATGCATCAATCTCTTCATATCCTAATGAACCTGGTTTGCCCTCGCAGGTTTACATACCCTGGATGATATTAATATAATCTTACAGCATCTGAATATAATCCAAACTTCAATCCTCTTGAATGTACATATTAGACCAATGATGGAATTCCAGAGGGGAATTTGACTGGATCTGCAATTATCTTTTTGGTAGCAGGGTCTCTGGCTGATTACCAGCAATCATCTAAATTTAAGTAAATGTATCCTGCAGCTGCCAATCCAGTTTTAACCAAAGCATCAGCGGTCTGTCTGACAATTTCTTCATTGATGTTGCAGCCATATTTATTCCATGGATTCCATCCCATAGGAGGTTTTCTACCTAATCCATTATCCAATGCATTTAGCGTAATCAATATGACGCAAATGAACAAATATTTATACATTATTATTAATTTAATATTTAAATAATATACAATCTATTTAAATATACTGAGATCATCTAATATCTCTTAGACTCTATTTAACTATGATCTAAATTTATTCCTTCTGCATTTAAAACATATAGGAAACGGCTTTCTACATAATGACTATGTAAATCAGAATTGAATTAAAGTCATCCTTCCCCTTTATATTCTATTTGTTCATAAAGAAATATTATTGGGACAAGTGAAGATTCCTCTTCATTTTTCAATCTTAGATTGTGTATAACAACTTTACAATTTTCATAAGAGATGAAATAATGATTTATAAATTCCTGGATTATTATGAGCTAGTATTAATATCAATTTAACAACTTATTAATATATTAAATCAAAATTTAGATATAATAATGATTTTTACATTCATCACAGAATGATTGAATTATAGAATAAATTATAATTTCAATAATAAGCATTAAAGATATACTTGAGATAGGATGTCAATAGTTTAAATAATTTATTTATATTTCCTCATATCGAAATTTCATCCATCTATGAATCTGTATCCACTTCAGTCTTGCAAATGGGACAGAGTGTACTTTTGTGTAACCATTTGTCAATGCATTCTTGGTGGAAGAAATGCCCTAGAGAATAATGAATGTATTATTTTACAGCATGGCATAGTACGAACAAATTGATTCTCTTAGTAATCTTCTAAACAAATCATACATTTAATTAGATTGTCATCATTTTAATGTTAATTTATGAATTCCATAGTAATTTAACGTACTGGCAATAGATTGATCAGTTCTTCAGATGCTCTAGTGTTTCTGAGTTAAAGTAGTAATTGTTAATTCTCATTCAAGAGAATGAATGTATTTAACAATCGATGGAGTGCTTCAATTTATTGAGTATGTTGTCTATGAATATCGTTTCTCCTATTGGAAACAAAACTGGATGGTAATAACTATTCAAACTATCTATTTTATTGATGCTGCATGGATTAGTTAAAATCAATATCAATTTGAGTGTAATTAGGAACAACCAGTCCATGGTCTTATAAAAATTGTACTTAAAATTCGAAATCTGAAATTCTCAGGATCTGGCCCTTCTCTATGAATCGACTAAAGCCACAGAAGTAAGATTGAACGATAACCCTTCTAACTGCTTCCTTGACACGATCTCTTCGAGAATTTTAATACTATACTGGACATTTTAAACAGCATAATTTAACATCTCTCAGATTCTGCACATTTGGGATACTCTCAATGATCTTAGAAAGAATAATATCAATATTTACAGAGTTTCTATCGATTTTCCCCGAGGCATTGTCACATTGCAAAACCAGGTATTTTTATTAGTTAACTTTGATGGTTGAATCCTAAATAATTTGATTGTCCTTTGGATTAACACTGAAGTAAGACTTGATCTCAGAATCCAATTGGGACGAAGGCTTCCTTGATAAAATCTTGACTCTCCTTGTGGTGTCTTGGATGTAATACCCATAACAGTAGATTTATGTTAGTTTAGTGATTATTCCTTTACTTGGGAACCCACCGACTACTCGAAATTCGAAAGATCCGATTGAGAATTTGATTCCTGATTCCAATACTCTTTGACGTACTGAAAAGAAAGGTAAAAGTACGTTTTTGATCAATCTTTAAAAGTCTATCACGTTATCTTTAATTAGTGCTGGATCAAGTATCGTTCTAGAGTAGATAAATTAGACAACCTATTCACATAGAGCGTGACACTTTCAAGTTGAGGGAGTTGTACTTCAGTTATCTGAAAGGTTCTCCTGTCTTCGAGCAATGTGGAATCCTGCCTTATTTGGATCTGACCATCATTGACAGAAAAGATCAGTTTGCATTAAAAACAATTGGTAACCCTCCCCAACTGATCGTCGAACTAGTGGCTTTTACATTTGGGACATCGAGCCAAGAATTGAACTTCTTCTTGATTGCCATATATGTGATGAGCTGCAGTAGTGGCAGCTAAATGCATAGGATTATTAAACTTACTCTTTGACAAATAATGCACATACTCATTGGGTATATCTTCTTATTATTGAGTTTAAGTTTAGCCCATTTAATATAAAAAATAATATTTTATAATAGTTCGATCATTTCCTTTATTAGAGCCAATTCTTAGGTTATTTCTTCTCTTCATGCTCTTCTTCTTTGATGCTCTAATGATTAAGGAATTAATTCTGTTGGATTTGGGGTGCCATCCTTGCTTATTGAGTTTGCTGTGGATGAATTTGGGGTTACTAAATGTGAGGCAAGTACGGACCCATATTGATCTAATCTTATTGAATGCATATATATACGATGAAAGTGTTTGGAATTTGCGTTGGCAATATAACTGGGTATTGTAATTGAGGACAATATTGATTGAGCATGTCATTCCCATTATACATCCTCTAATTTTGAACTTCCAAGAGCTCCTTAAATGCCTATTTTAATCTAATATTAATAACGTACATCCAAGAATTATTGTTGTGGATCTCCTTCATTATCGAATTAATCTTGATTCATGATCAAATTTTATAAAAAAATAATGCATTAGAAATATACGGAAAAATTTAACCAGTGAATTTAATAATAATTATGAGAACAATCACAAAATTTATCATCCCCTTTCTGTGTATCCTTCTGAATAAGTACAAATATAATATTGCCATTATATTTAATAAAATTAAATTAGATTTAATCAATATAATCATTTCCAATAAGATTGAATATCTATTACAATTAGAGTCATGTTATCCTTTTTATAATTTGTATTTTTCGACGATGCCTTGTCAAGAAGATATTAGGCCAATTAATCAATCTCTTTCCTATTCCAATTTTCAATCAACTTCTGCAGTTCCTCGTTCTTTATGAGCTAAAATGATATAGAGTTCTGTCATACATCCCAAAATCCATCCGAAGCCAAAATCAAGTATTTGTCATTAGCCTGGATTTTGTGCACTTTAATCTCAGGAATTGCAATAAGACCTGACTATCGATGTTTCTTATCTCCAAAAGCCCTCGTCACTGCCAGTTCCCCGTTTATTCGCGGAATAGAACTACGTTATTCAATAAATATCACTGTCTGTCCAAAATTGTAGCTATTTGTTCCACTCGCTTGAATTCATCTTCCCTATTCAACTTGTGTTCCGAATTCAACTTCTCTATCTAGAGTTCTTCAGTGATCAAAACGCATGCTGAATCTCCGAGATTCACCACATAGAGGTCCTTGTGTTTGTTGATCACACAAAGAGCTGTCGATCCACCCAAATGATGATTCTCCTCCTGACAATCCAGAATGTATTGATTCATTCTCTCAAAGCTATTTATGATGGCCTTCTCGAGATTATCCTCAAAATTGCAATCCTTCTGCAAATATTCATGAAGCTTGTTTTCAAGGATCGCTGAAACTGAATGTCCCGCATGTCCGTCATATATGGCGTAAAAGAATTACATCTCCTAATTTATATTTAGATTAGGAATTCCAACAAACTTATATTACAACATGAAAGTACTCTATCTTCTTAGTATCTCCTCCCACATTTCAACTGAGCTACATCTGCGACTGTTTTACCATTATGTTAAAATTATACGAACTAATCACTTACTTTAACAAATATAAATATACATGGGTTCATTGAAAAAGATATCAGTTTGTTATTTCCATCCATTCGAAGAATGAGTGCTTTCAGGTTGAACATCAACCACATTCACATTTAACTACAATTTAGGTTTGGGCTTCTTCTGATTATTCGTTTAATTCGAGTTCATAATAGTAATAAAATTTATGTAAACTATTATAATAATCTAAACGAAAAAACAGAATTATTAAAATAACTGAATACAATTCGACATCAAATTTCATTACTATATAGAATGACCCATTAATCAAAATTGATTTAAAGTATAACTAAGTCTATAAACTAGTTTATAAAAAATTATAATTATTCATTTGAATTGCAAGTGTGTACCTTAGTATAAATTAAGATACATAAAGTTCTTACATAATGTAAGGTACAATGTCATAAGTAATTAACTCATCGTTAATATCTTAAATTGTCTATATAATATTTCTACATTAAATTATAAATTAAAATAATAAATGAAAATCGTCATCCTTTTAGTTCTAGTGATGTCATCATTGGCAAGGCTTACTTATAAGAATAGCGTATTCGGAAGAGAAGAGATTATCCAGGCCAATAATACATTGTGGTTTACACAGAAATTAGATCACAATGATCCAACATCGAAAGAAGTGTTTAGACAAAGATATCATGTTTATGATGATTATGTAGTGAGAAACTAGCCTGAATCAGTTATATTGTACATTTGTGGTGAATGGACATGTAAGACTGTAGTAGAAATATTATAGGTGACGGTATTGGAAGTGGATTAACATTTGATGCAGCACAATAATTGAAAGCCCTAGTATTAGTTTTGGAACACAGATATTTCGGCTAGTCTCAGCCATTTGGAGATTGGAGTACTCCAAACTTAAAATATCTCAATATTCATTAAGCTTTGGATGACATTGCATACTTTATCTAGGACGTGAAAGCTAAAGGTCTCTTTAATATAAAGCCAAACACCCCATGGATTCATCTTGGAGGTTCATACCCAGGAGCACTAAGCGCTTGGTTTAGATACAAATACCCCCATTTGACAATTGGAGGGTTGGCTTCTTCAGCAGTTGTCAAAGCAGTTGCTTGTTATCATGACTACGATATGCAAGTTTATCTTTCTGCCTTGGAGAGTTCTTAAGAGTACTATAACTTTATATTTAATTAGATGTGTAGATAGAATCCAATAGGTTAATGAAAAGATTGAAGCCGATTTGATAAAAAGTCCCAATACTATTAAGGCAGAGTTCAAAGCTTCAGAATTAACAGATATTGAGTTCTTGTCTATGATTGCCGATATCTATGCTGGTATGGTTTAAGGCAGAAAAAGATCAAAGATGTGTGAGAGATTAGAAGGTGGAGCTACTTTAGACGATTGGTTTAAATAAGTTAAAGAGATGGCTTTAGAAACAGTTGATCAAGAAAGCTACGGATCTGAATTTTTAAAGGACATCTCCATTGATTTCTCAAAGAATTCAAGACAATGGACATATTAGACCTGCATTGAAGTTGGATACTTCTAAACTGCTAATGTATTCAATCATTTTAGATTTAAAGCCTAATGTTGAACAATCAACAAGATCATAACAATTGAAACTTGATTTCTTTAGAAACCTATGTGAATACTCTTATGGAATCTCCATATTCCCTGACGAAGAGAGAACTAATGCTTATTTTGGTGGACTTGATATCAATGTGGATCATCTTATCTTTTCAAATGGATCAGATGACCCTTGGTAACATGCTTCAATCACTAAATGGAAATAAGGAAAGGAGTATGATGTCAAGTACATTAAATGCAAGGATTGCTCACATTGCATTGATCTTAAGGCTACTAAAGCTGATGATCCTCCTGAGTTAACTCAAGCTAGAAAAGAAATCCTAGCCATATTTTAACAATGGATTAATGAATACAACGACCAATAATCCTAAATTATTGAGTGAAATATAATAAGAAATATATATATCTATCAAAGTAATTATGCAATCAATAAGGCATAAAATGGCATCTTTAGTGATGGCAAAATTACTGAGGAGGTCTATTAAATTGTCTTTGCATCATTCTCATTTGTAAGAATTCCTACCATAATTATTCTAACTCACAAGGACAAGGTTGATATGGTTAATGATGGTACATTTGAGGTTCCTCTTATCGATATTGCTATCTCAAAGGTGATGAACATAGAGATTTGATTTGGGACTATTATTGAGGGGATTTTTATTATTGCCATGAGGTCATTCTTTTGTGTCCTGCTTATTATTCTAACTATCTCTATGGTTATTAAGGCATTTTATTCTGGTGTCTATGATTCTCCTCCTCTTAAAAGACCTAGTTCTCTTGAATGTAGATCTAGCTTTGAGCAAATTAAACAAATTGTGGACTCTATTCTTCAACACTCATCATTGAACTTTGTAATGGGAATCTCACATATGAATGACTTAGTTAGGAGATATTTATTTAGCATCCCGAAGTGTTGTTATGCTATTAATTATTTATATAGTCTTTCTATAAATTTGATCCAAACATTTTATTAATGCTGTTAAAAATAATTAATTTAATAGTAGATTTACTTAAGATAATATAAACCTGTCCCCTAATTAATTGTTCTTTATCAATTAATCAATATTTAAAGCTAATTTTAAAATTGCCACTTAACTAACTCTTTTATTTAATGTATCAATTGTTACTATATAATAGTTTTAGAGGCTATAAGTGAACCCATAATAGAAATCATCAAAATACTGGCAATTCTAACATTATTAAAAATTAAGAATCCATAAATTATAATTGCTTATTTTGAATAAATTTTTATATCATATAAATAATAATAAAATGAATACAGAATATTAGGAATAGGATATTCAGTTGGAGAGAAAATCTCCATAACAATCTGAAGATGCAAACAATTAATTATTTTCTATTTGTTTTGCCATAGTTTACAATTGTATTTGGGGAATGCTGTTTTGTTTTTTTAGACATCGTTATTGTAAGACAATTGCATTTTAATCAAGAGATGAAGAGGAATGCAAAGTGATGAACTTTTGGTCACTCGTAGCAGAGATATTTTTATTTACAGTAGCCATCTACAAATTGTAAATTGAAATTTCTAGATAGAGCGATAGAATTACCAGTGTATTATAGAGCCTTAGGGAGATGGAAGAATAAACTTTTTGAGATTGCAGAAAAAGTAGAATTCGTTTTGAGCATAATTGTTTTAATAGGACTGAGTGTAATTTGGAATTGATTTATATAGTATGCTTATTTCCAATTTGAGGATTGCTAGGGATTGAGAACCTTTGTTTTAGTGTATTTAATAGTGACCTATTTGGTTTTGGGCATATATTTGGTTTCTCTGCTTCTACTAATCACAAACAAAAGTAACAATTCTGGATGAGAGATTAAGAATAATGATGATTTATTATCAAAAATTGCATTCAAAAAAATCATTTTCTCAAAGTACTAAAGTGTTATTTCAAGAGCTAACTACAATTCATTTTAGGCTTGAACTTTTTCTGTTTGGCTGGCTCTGGACAAATAGTCAAGAAATCAGGATCATTCTCTATGGGAATATCATTGATGCTGAGACTATCTAAAATAACAGTTTTATCCCCCTTCCTCATTATTAATTTAGGTTTGCGTCCAATTGCAGGCATGTACTTACTACGTTAAGACGAACAATGCGAGAAGGTTTGATTTAAATTATTTGACAACTTAAAATTACTCTCGCCTGATTCCCACATACTGTTACTTCTTTGATTTGTTAATACATTATTTTCGAATCTACCCTTCTTAATTATTCCATTCTTACACAGTTCTCCATCTCCATGTTACATGCCCCTCTCCCAATATCCCTTATAATATTGATCCTTCCAAAACATCTCTCCATATCCATGTCTGTAATCATTCACAAAAGATCCAACATAATAATTTCCTGATGGCCATGTAAATACTCCTTGTCCATGCTTTTTATCATTCTCAAACATTCCCTCATAACGAAAATGACCCTCCTTCAACGGATCCCACTTATTCCAAACGCCCTTCCCATGTCTAACTCCATTCTTAAAGAATCCTATCAAATTACCCTATATATTCAACCTCTAAACTCAGCTCCATTATTCCATATATAGGTACCTTAGCCTTCCGGTTTTCCATTGCAAAATTGTCCATTATAGAGATCCCCATTAGCAAAGTTCTCTATCCCATGTCCATGCTTCAAATTGTTCCTAAAACTTCCAGTATATTTATTATTATTCTAAATGTAAACACCATATCCATCAATTTTTCCAAATTTCCACTCTCCTTCATAAAAATCATTTCCCATTCTCCAAACTCCATGTCCATGCTTGAATCCATTCACCCATTGTCCATCATAACTTTCGTTGTTGCGAATATAAACTCCTTTTCCTTATGGTTTTCCATTCTAATATTCTCCCTCAAATGTCTCCCCTGTGTCAAAGATCTCCTTGCAATATCCATGTTTCCTGTCATTCTACCAAAACCCTTCGCAAACTCTACCCGGCAACAACATTAAACCTTAGTAAGTAAATATTTTATCTAACCCTATCCATGCTTTTTGCCGTTGAGCATTTGACCATAAAATGTTCCATTTGGATAATCTTATTCCTAATAATTTGCCATTCTCTTCAGCATTTCAATCTTATCTCTAGTCACTTTTAGAAATTATATCCTTACTCATAATCTTTATTGTAGATGTGGATGTTCTGCTGGGGTTTCACAAGGCTAATCGGACTTAGAGGCTTATCATCTGGTATGCTGATAGACGCAATTGTGGGATTGAGTTTCAAATTTTGTTAAACTTATAAGCCTATTAATTAATCATTTCGTTATTGCATTTAATTACTAAATATAATGATTGCAGAATATCAACATTAAATATTTCACTATTATTATGGATATAGTTTAAAAAACATATTTATCAACAATTGCTACCACCACTCTTGAACATATGCGTAAAGTAGCCAATTAATAGGCAAGCTGCTCCAACAAACAACAAATGGAAAACAGTTGGCTAGTATTCATCCTTCTTTTCACTTGGAGAAATCTAAATCTGATCAATAGGAGGAAGAGGAACAATTTGTTTGGGAGCCGCTGTTGATTTGAAAAAGGAAGTATCCGATATTAATGAATGTGTGTCTTCTCCAAAGGTGGGCTTTGTTTTCAATGTCTCCGTTTAGATCTGTTCTGAATTGGCTCTCTAAAAGGCAGTGTCAATGTTATCGTTAGGATTGATAATCACTGTCTAAATCTAAAATTTTGCCTTTGCGATATTCTAGAATATTATTATACACAACTTCTTTATTGCTTATGATTTGGATTATATTTGTAGTCATTGGATTGAGGATGCCTTTATTTCCAATCACTTTAAAATCTACATTGTTAGTTGTTCTGATCTAAGTAACTATCATTATAAATAAGAATACTTTAAATGCCAAATGATATCTGGTAATGTTTTGGATTTGAATTTAAGCTTTCTGATTTGAAAAATTCAGCTTCTCTTTTGGATTGACGACAAAATGAAAATTATACATTAAATTATTATTTTATTTTGATTATTTTTCATAACATAAGCAATAATTAAGCAAGTGCATTTCAGATTCATATCAGGAATGGAAATTACACATGTGAATTTCTATGATGATCAACCTTATGTAAATTTATTTGGGACATATATCTATATTGAAAAAAAGTAGTAAAAAATGATCATATGGTGGACTAACAGCAAGTGGCTTTAAACTAGTATGAGATTATATTTGGAGAGCTCAGCTGAAGTCAATGAAATTGTATGTTAAAATAAGTAATGTCAATGAGAAGATCGATTAAGGTCTCTGGAATTTACTAATTGCACTTCTTAATATTATAAGGAGGATTGATTCCTTAAACACAAAAGAGAAATATATAAAAACTTTGTCCTAAGATTGTAATTATTCCTTATTAGAATGTAACAATATATTTTTATGAAATATTTAGAAGTGAAATTATGTTTATGAAATAGAATTAATTCTATAGAATTTAATGAAATAGATTTACAATCAGAATAATTTTTTCAGGAAACATTAATTCATATATTGCAAAATAATTGTTCCAGGAATAATGCTAAGTTCTCTTATAACCTTTGATATTAAATTGTCCTTAATTTTAAAGATGTTATTTTTAATTTCTTAATTATTATTTTAATCTTGGAATAGCAGAGTAATTAGCAATATAGAGTTAAATAAGATTTTTATTAAGAAGTAATTAAAATCTTGGAATATAATTAAATTTATAAAAAGCTTCCAAAAAAGAACCCATTAAAATATAAATATATATATTTAAATTCTTACGGGGTTTATAATCTACTTGGACCCCCCTTTAAGAACACATTGGAATATTTATATTGTAAAAGGTTATTCTAATAATTTACTCGTCAAAAATCTGAATGTCCCTATTTTAGTGTTCAGCCCTTTATTTAGCCAATGATGGTTAATGCATAGAAGTAGATCTAACAACTCGATCTGGGTCTCTCTTAATAACTGTACTCTTATTTATATACTCTAGCTGAAGAATGGAAATGAATAATTGGTTTATTTGCCCTCAAACTCAATGGATACAATTCTCCGCTTTGCTAGAGAGATTGATGAAAGTACAATCAAATTTTAAATTATAGTCCGATAGATTGGTACTCTAGATCTTCATAATCCAGAAACTTAAATTAAGGTCACTTTCCTCCTTAGTTTAATGGATATTGAACAATTATCACTTAGATTAATAGGAAGATAAATTTTCTAATCCACTTCTCAATCTGTTGTCTTAGAAAAATTGGCCCCTGGAGTAAGTAAGAAAAGATATTTAAATTAGAACTTATTTAAACTCCTTACAAAATTTCTGTGGAAAAGAAGGCTACTTTTACCTCAAAGGATCAATTGGCAAAGAGCAGATTGGTATTTTATATATATAATGACAGGGATAATTGAAATAAGAGGCAGATATTTTACGACTGTTAAAAAATAACTCTCATAAAAATATAATTTTGTTAGAAGAAATAGTTACAGATTATAACTCCATCTCTGTTATTTTGGAGTATTGTAAAGGAGGAGACCTATTAAAACTTCTCAGTTAGAGAAATATTTAAATTGATATACCTCTTCTCATGTTTAATCTTCTTTCTGGTAAAATTTAATAATTATTTGAATTCAGCCTTAAAGCATCTCCATGATTTAGAAATAGTTCATCGAGATATTAAGTTATAGAACATCTTATTCAAAGATTCTTAACATATGGACACTTTGAAAGTATCTGATTTCGGTTTTGCTTGTAAAATATCTGATATTTAATACATAAATCCGAGGTATTTACGATTTTAATCATTTTAGATGTGGAACTCCTGGATACACAGCCCCAGAAGTTTTTAGTTAATCATGTAGTTATGATGAAAAAGTAGATATTTACAGTGCCGGAATTGTGTTCTACAATATGTAAATTATCACCTAAGCTTTAGTTTAACATTCAAAAATCCATTTGGAAACTTCGAGAATGTTTCTGAGCTAATTAAACTTAATATTAATGGAGAATATAATGAGACCTATCTAGAAAAAACTAAGGCCCATAATCCTCTCGCATATGATTTACTAACCTAAATGCTTTCAAAACATGCTAACAACAGACCCAGTGCTCGTGAATGTCTTGATCATCCATATTTTAAAAGTCAATAAAAAGTCGACTTTACTAAAGAGATGATTCAAAGAAAAAGAAAGCTTAACAAGTAGAAAAGAATCACTCTAAAAATGAAATAGGAAACAGTTGCTACTTAATGAAGAAATTTAATATCGTATTATTATTTTATATAAATTCAAAAAAAATTGCAATAGAGAGATATTAGCGCCTATCATTTTGGATGATTTCCAATGAGAATGTGTATGTGAGGGTACAAAAAATTTAGACTTTTAGGATTTCTAAAATTAAAATTTTGATTCTATGTGTTTACTGGTCATTATTTGATTTTGACTACATATATTGGATTATGAATAGCCAAGTCATAAAAATACTTGCTTATTTTTTATTCAAATATAAAAATTATTACACCTGATTTCATGAAGTAGGTACTACATTTGTAGTTATTTTTGAACCATTTTATATTTTTAAATTAAACTAAAAAATAAAATACACTTTACTTCATTATATATATTGAATAGAATTCGAATGGGTGAATTATGAATTAGGTAGTTGTTTAAAAAGTAAGTTTGCCTAAAATATTTATTTTGGCATTTATTCCTTTGTAATTGAAGCTTTATTACTTTATTAATGAAAAATATGATTGATGCTTTTCAAGCATCTAAGGTAGCATCTTAACTATTAAGGTCATTTATGAAATAGAAATTACTGATCTTGATTCAATAATAGTTAAAATAACTAAAATTACTATTGATAATTCAGTTTATGAATATTGATTTTACTTCACTCATCTTGTAATTCATATTGAGAATTTATATGAGTATATGTTAGTTTAATTAAACTTTAACAAATATATTATTTTTCATTCATTTTTCTAATGAGGATCTGCAGGGTCTACAAGGAATAATTTCAAACGAAATGCATCATTACCAGACATGTAATAGTTTTACATTCTTTTCATCTTAGCAAAACCCAAGGATTCATACAATCTCAATGCAGCGTGATTTGTCTATTCCGTTTCTAATACAATTTCATCACCACCTTATTTATATTTATTATAAATATTCAAACCTTTTTCTTTTATTCTGTCAATAAATTTTTATGCTAAAATTCTCCCTATTTTTAGACGCCTATATTTCTTCTCTACCACAATCATAGCTATGTAACCCCGATTTCTGCCTGATTTATTATGCTTATCGAGTTTTCCTATTACAACCTAGAAATTCGATAAAAGTAATCACCCCAATTATTTCATTGTTATAATAGGCAAAAATGGACAAATCAGGCCATCCATAAAGGAAATATCTGTAAGTGTAAATGGAATATGGCTCTGATAATTCAGCATCAATCATAGGAATTATTTTAGGTATTTAACTGTAATCTGTGAAATTTGTATATTGAATATCCTCCAATTTGATTGATTAATCTTAATCCATAATTTAAATTAATGAAATATTTCACTATTGAGTTGGAATTGTAATTTACAAGATTATAAAATAAAATATGAAAAGAAACTATGAACAATCGTTAGAATGAATTGGAGGATCAAAAAATTATATACAACCCTACTACTATTAATGAAAATTCTTTAAAAGGAATAATTCATACAGGTTGTGAGAGGAATTATTGATTTCATAATGGTAATTATATTAGGATATTTAATATACTTTAAATATCTCTCATAAATTTTATGGTCAATCGGCTGACATCGATATCATATGTATTGTTATTTCATAGAGAATTGTAAATTCGATAATGCATTATTTAATCAAAGCTCTAAAAATGTATTTGAATGACATGATATTTTTAATATTCAAATCTTTATCTATCTTATTTGTTAAGCAGGGTAGAATTTCTTTTTGGAATATAATTATTTTTAATTTCCTTATGTGCTTAAATAGTAAGTATTGCATTTGTATTTAATTATATCATAAAGTAGTTGTACTGAAATATTTTGTAATAATATTGAACTTATATCATGGAGCTTTGTCCACATTCCAGAAAAATTATTTAAACCAGTCTCTTGGAATATTACAAGGGTTAGCTTGCATTGATGTCCTAGGAACAGTAAAGTTAACTTCAGATATTTACGTTAAACAGATATTGGGTGCTTATTATTGGTCATTATCATTTGCAATAGATATATCATGCAAATCCAAGTATGGAGTTCTTTTTAAATTATGTTTGCCATCCTTCTAATTGTTGAATAAAATCTTTAATATTAAACATACATTCTCAATCGTTATCAGAATATTGTTAGTATTAATTATTGTAATATAATATCAATTTGCCCTAAAGTAATGGAATCAAATTGTACTAAATAAATTTCTATTTTTAGTGAAACTAAATAATTTTAATTTCATTTTTTGTAAACTTAAATCTTCATTATTTACCACAATATTCTTTTCATATATCATAAAACATATTTCTTTTAATTAAAAAATTATTGGTTATTAAAATCAAAATATTTAGAAAAGCTCGCTGTTAAGAATCAATTATGAAATAAAATTTATAACTAGATTAGTAATCCGAGTTATCATAAATGAAAGCTTATGAATTTATTTTACGAGTATTAAGGGAAGAACATGAAGAGGAACATGATGATGAGTCTTCTAATAAAGCTATAGTTATTTTGATATTTTTAAGCACAGGATTGTTGATTTTTGGATTTTTAGTCTGCTTATGTAAATGCTTATATGACAGGATATAAAAAAAAAGAGAAGCTTAAGTGCGTTAATTAAATGAATCTTAATATTAATAGTAAATTGTTTAAATAGAAACACTATGCCTATATAACAGAGATTTGGAGGACTGTCCAATTTGTTTAATGCCCATACCAAGTATTTTACTAGTAACTACTGCATGCAATCATAAGTTCCATTAAGCATGCTTAGCCTTATGGTTGTAAATCTATAATATATGCCCTACTTGTAGAACAAGAGTTTCTCAATGAACTAAAATGTCTGAAGAAAAGATCACAAATGTTGTTAATGAAATATAGCATGCAAGGAAAAAACTAATACCATATTTTATTATCATCATATTTCTTATATTTGATTTATTATTTAATGAGATCTTTGTTTAACTTATAATGTAATGCATATTTCTTACATCTAAATAATTAACCTAAGTATTAAAACTGACAAAATTCACTTTGAATTAAAAAATAATAATAAATTACTTATTAGATATGAATAATAACTTTACTAATTAATTTATATATGAACAACTCTCTAAAAAGTAAAACTGTTCGATCAGGTTCTGCTAGAGTTAAATCAGCTATTGAGAGAGCAGGACTAATTCAACAAAGAGAGCAATTGAGAGAAATGTTGATTAGCAAATTTTCAAAAGATTTCGCATAAGGCAACAAGAATAAGGAAGTGTTAATTTAGTAGATAGTTAATGAATACTTCGCGAATGAGCAAGTATCAAGAATAAAAATGTTAGGTTACCGAAAATTCTTTAAAATAATTGAAGACAAGAGTCTAAGAGGCAATTCAAAAATAAAAATATCAAAGTTAAACTTAATAAAACCCATCCTTAAATACTTAAATTGACAATAGAAGTGAATAGAAATCGCAAAATGCTCGACCTTAAACTGTGAAGAGTTCAGTTAGATCTGAGAGGGATGCAGATCAATATTCTGTTACGTCTTCATAATTTGAAAAAGCACCAAAATCTGTTTACGTTGTCGATGATGAAGATGAATGGGCTGCTTTGGTTAAATTTGATACGGAACTTCACACAAAGGAACAATAACTAGAAATGCAAAGGTAGGGAGAGTTTAAAAAAAAAATGAAAGCAGAGCTTGATAGATAATTAGAGGAGAAAAGAAGGAGATTAGAGGGAGAGAAGAAACAGGAAGAAGCTTATGTAAAGATCAGAGATTACCAAATGAATGTGTATGATCAACGAGAAGATTAGAAGAAGAAGGAGAAAGAAAGAAAGTAGTAGTTGGAAAAAGAGCAAAGAGATCGATAAGTTAGGGAAGAGGAAAAGAGAAGATTTTTAGAGAAAAAGAGATAATCAGAATAGGATGCAGTATTGGTTCAAAGAATTTAGGAAGAATTAAAATAAGAGTAAAGGGAAGTGCTTCAGAGGAAGGAGCTAGAGAAGAGAAAGTTTATGGAAATGATGGAAGAGAATGAAAAAAATAGATAGAAACAAATTCATGATGAAATAACAGAGAAACAATAGGAAATTGATATGTAAAGGAAATATATAGATTTACAATAAAAATTAGAGTAAGAGAGAGAATTAGAAAAGAAGGAGAGAGAGGATAAAATAAAAAAGATTATGAGTGATTTTTCATAAACAGTAGTTAAGAATCAAAAAGATCAAATCAAGTAATATCGTATTTAGAAGTAGAGCTGAGGATGATAAAATGATGAAAGCCATACTAATGCAAAATCAAATAGAATAAAATGATGAAGATCAAAAAAGAAGATAAATTAAATAACAACAATAGGAGATGAGATAATATTTAAACAAGTAGATGGATGATAAAAGGTAAATATAAAACCATTATTTAAGATAGAAAGTAAAAGAAGAGGAAGAATTAAATAAAAAGTAGGCTTAGGTTTGGTAATAAGATCTATAAATGTATTAAACACATGAGAAATAAAAATTTAATTACATAAAGGATGTTAATTTGAAGCATCAAGATATTTTAAAGTAATAAATAGACGAAAGAAAATCGTAGTAGAGACCCAGAAATAAAATGAATAATGAGGAATTAATGCATAATAAACCTTTACTGAAAGAATTGGCAGACAAGTAAGATGCAATTAAAGTAAGAAAGATGAATGTATGATGAGATTAATTTTTTCATATAGCTTTATATATATTTTTATGTTAAATATATATATTTAAATGTGATAGCAAATCCATAAATTAAATTATCAAAATATGACTCATAGTTACGGTTTAAAAAAGGGTACTAGAAGTAAGTTTGCCAAACCATTCAGAGGACATGGAAACATTTCAATAAGAAAAACCCTTTAAACATTCAAAAGAGGTAAGTCTTTGTTAATAATCTTAAGGTGATTTTGTTGATATTTTGGTTGATGGTGCTTAACACAAAGGTGTTCCATTTTAATATTATCACGGCAGAACTGCAAGAGTATTCAATGTCAATCCAAGAGGAATTGGTGTCTCTTTACAAAGAAGAGTGAGAGGAAGATATGTCGAAAAGCGTTTCCATGTTAGAGCTGATCACTTGAGACCCTCAAAATGCAGATAAGAATTTGTCAAGAGAGTCTAAGAAAATGATAAGAAAAAGACTGAAGCAAAGAAGAATAAGCAAGTCATTTCAACAAAGCGATAACCAGTTTAACCAAGAGGAGCAGCAGTTGTTATTCCAAAAGAATAAACTTTCTAACACCCAAAGGCATTTGTAGAAATTATTTGAACAAATAAATACATCAGTATATTATAAAAAATAAGTTAATATAAATAAAGAGTTTTATAATGAATCAATTCATATATTTCTACTTGGTTTTATGTACCTAAATGTTTGTATTTATTTGCTTTATTTGCATTTATAGAACTTGCATTCTAATAAAAGATAAATTGTATTTATATTGACATATTTGATTTTATTTTTAAGCATTTTAGTTATATTAATAGTATTTAGATAATGATTATATGATAAAAATAATAAATAATTCCTTAAATTATATGAAATGTATCTAAATAATAATACATCATAATCATTTTTCTTATTATTATTGAGGTCCATCAAAGTCTTCCTCATCTTCCTTTCTTCTGTAATAATAGGTTTCAAGATTTCTTTTGTTAATCTAATCAGAATAAAATAAATAGTTACTTTCTTTAATTTTTCAGGAGGAAAGATTCTTAACAATCTCCAAGCTAAATCCAAGGATTTGAAAATTGATCTAACCTCATAGGCTCCTTAACTGATGAAGTTATTTTCAAATTTCTTCAAAAATTCTAAATATAAAAGATCTTCAGCAGACAAGGCTTCTTCTCCTACGACTGCTTTCATAGCTGCTGTATCCTTACCAATGGCATAATTGGCATACAACTATAGTTGATGTTAATAATGATAGATACTTGATTTGAGACTTCAGGATGATCTTCTCTGGTCATACCCTTACCAATAGCAGATTTCATCAATCTTGATAAGGATGGTAAGACGTTGATAGGTGGATAAACTTATTTGTTATTCAATTATCTATCAATAAATATTTATCCTTCAGTAATATATCCTGTAAGATCTGGAATAGGATGTGTAATATCATCATTAGGCATTGTCAAAATGGGTATTTGAGTGATTGATCCATTCTTACCCTAGACTCTACCTGCTCTTTCATAAATGGTTGAAAGATCTGTATATAAATAACCAGGGAAAGAACGTCTTCCTGGCACTTCTTCTCTGGCTGCAGACACTTCTCTTAAGGAATCTGCATAGGCTGACATATCTGTTAAGATAACCAAGACATGCAACTCTTTTTCGTAAGCCAAATATTCTGCAGTTGTTAATGCCAATCTTGGAGTAATAATTCTTTCGATTGTTGGATCATTAGCCAAGTTCATGAACAAGACCACTCTTTCCATAGAACCATTTTATTCAAAATCTGTTTAGAAAAATCTAGCAGTTTCCATATTGACACCCATAGCACCAAATACAACTGCAAAATTTTCATCTGAATGGTCGAGAACATCTTTACCCTTGACCAATGAGGCTTAACGCACAATTTAACTAAAATTATAGATGTAGAATCATACGCTCCTATTTCGTTATGAGGTAAACCATTGGCAGAGAACAATGGAATCTTCTATCCTCTGGCAATTGAGTTCATGCAATCAATAGCTGAAATACCAGTTTGAATCATTTCTTGAGGATAAACTCTGGAAAATGGATTAATAGGCTATCCTTGAATATCCAAGAACTCCTCAGCCAAAACAGGGGGTCCTTTATCAATGGGAACTCCTGATCCATTGAATGCTCTTCCAAGCATTTCCTCAGAAATTGGCATTTAAAGTGTTGAACCTGTGAATTCACAATGCGTGTACAAATTATCAATACCTGAAGTACCTTCAAAGATCTGGACAACTGCCTTCTTACCAGCGATTTCCAAAACTTATCTAAAAGGATGATAATAGATCAATACCCCTTTCTGACAGATCCATCTCCCAAACAAACATTAACAATTTCTGCATATCTAGGGAATTTGACATTGTCCAAAATAACCAATGGACCGTCGACCTTCACCACTGTTCTGTAATCCACTCTTGGTGTCACATTGTAATTTCTGGTAGCAGCTGCTGCATTCAATCTAGCAGCTGCAACTTTGGCAATATCATGTGCCTTAGGATGATGACTCATTAATAAAATAAAGATATTTATAGTTTTTAAGAATTTATAAACCCCATTTTATATCGTCGTCGATATACACTTTAATATAATATTAACAACAAAAAAGAGAGTTCAATGTCTCCAAATCTTAACCCTTCTATCCTTGCCTCCACTTCCAGCCTTTTCTCCTCCAATTGGAGCCCAATCAACAGCATAGACTTCATCTGCATGTCCAGGTAAATCAAAGGCTAACTTCTTCTTTTATAAAGACCACAATTTCAAAGTAGAATCCTTGGAAGCAGACAACATATATCTGGAATCACTAGACCATGAAACTTAATAAACTGAGCCAACATGACCTCTCAAAGTAGCAATCCAATTCCCATTGTAACCATCCCAAATCCTCAAACTCTTATCAAAACTAGCTGAAACAATATATCTCCCATCTGGTGAGAATTATACATGATTCACTTGTTATTGATGCCCAGTCATTCTAACTTTTGGCTTTGAAGATGTATATTCCCACAACATCAAAGTTTAATCATCACTAGCACTCACAAGTCTCTCATTTTTTCCATTCAGCATCTTATCATAAAGGACCTTAGCCTATTTTCTGTTAATCTCAGTATTCCCTTCGCTAAAACAAGCGCATCTAATTGTGTAATCAGTATGTAAGGCAATGGAATTGACCCAATGACCATGGCCTTTTAATTCTTATACTCTTTTTCCTGATTTATTCCACACTCCAATTGTAGTATCTTCTGATGCTGTATAGATGTATCCTTAACCACCCCAAAGCATTCTAGATTTAATAGAAAATGTACTTAGTAATCGCTTTTTGATGAGCATTGATGGATATTAAACAAGACAATGAGATTCTACTCCAAATTCTAACACTGCCGTCTTTTGAAGATGAAGCAACCAAGGTGCATTCTTCATCTAAATGCATAGGTTACCAGGCTATACTAGTTACCCATTTGGTGTGTCCTATTAATGGTTACCCTTTTAATTGATTAGTTTCAACATCCCAAATGCAAACTTAACCATCATGACTACCAGAGGCTATGTATTTGCAATCAGGACTCCATGCTAAGCATAATACCCAATTTTTATGGCCTTTGAGTGTAGCTATTGGTGTTTCTGTCAACATATCCCATAATCTTATTGTGGTGTCTCCACTTCCTGTTGCTAAGACATCTCCTTGGGTTCTGAATTGAACGCATAACACAGGCTATTCATGACCTTCTAAAGCAGCTGTTTATCGTGTGATAGGCTGAATTCGAAAGAGAGATTAGGGATGATATGTTAGAGAAAAGGTGTTTTCCAATTTGTATTCAGGATCTGAAGCAATTAATTGGTTTAATGTGTCGACTAATTCTATATTGTTGTGGAAGAATGAATAAACTTAATCTTCCTCTGTTTTCACCAATTATTATAAAATTGATTGCAATTCTTCTTTTGTTGTGTTCACTGATAGTTCTAAGGATTTTTAGGCTTCTTCCCCATAAGGATTAATCAGAGTCACGAATACTCTTGTATCTGGGGGAAGGAGAGTAATTTAATTAGGTTTTATTTTTTTCTTGGTTTGATCCATTTATTGATCACTATTAAAATTAATGAATTAAGGTAATTAAGACAAGAGAAAATAGAGAGATTATGAAGATGAGGATTCAGAAGAGGAGGAAGTTGAACAACCAATAAATGTGCATAATAAGGGAGATATGGAAGAGGAAGTTAATCTTGACTTTGTATTCCTCGATCCAAATCAAAAATAATTTCACTCCATTAAAACATTTATCAATGGCTATTTAGAGGGAATAAGCTTTAAATCTTCTGAGTTGGCCAACATCATATGCGATCAAGTTGAATTGGGAACCATGGTTGGACAAGAGGATGAAGACAATGTTTTTGGTTTTACTACAATATTAAATATTGGTGAAATTAAGTAACTTAGAATTTAATCATCAATAGGAGCAATGCCATCGGTGAAATCTTGCATTACGTAGATACTAAATCACAATAATACAATAAACAACATCAGCAATTGTAACACATCTTTTAAACACCTAAGAAAATAGGTTTATTTATTAATGAGAGGATTCTTAATTTGGCTCCTCAACTTGTTCCCATTTTGCATAATCAACTTGTAATTTATGAATTCGATTCTAGAAAGAAGATATCAATTGGTTACAAAAAGAAGACCCATCTAATTCACTCACTAATCTAGATTACCTACTCGTCATTACCAAGTGTTTTAAAGATAATGACTAATAAAAGTAAACCTAAAAAGTAAAAACACTTCTAAACATTAGAAATCTACTTCAGATCTCAACGACTTGATATTCTAAAAGTTTGAGGACTTTGTATTTTTGCAAAAGTCTGTTGTTTCATTTAGATTCCTAAGTGAAGGATCCAAATAGACTCAACAAGTCTCTGACTATATGAAGACTGAACAAGAGGGCTAAATTTGTTATCGATTGATCTATCTGATACAATTAAAAGATTATCTAGCGTAAATAGCGAATATTGAATAATATGTATAATAATGAATTATAATGTAATCTAACTTAAAAACTCACCTTATTCACTATTCAAATATAACTTCATTGTTATAATTTTTTCGTCAAATATGCTTTCTATACATAAAGCATAAAAACAATAAAATGAATTTATAAAAAGTATTAATTTAATTTAATATTCTTATTTAAATTTAGAAGACACTCAAAAATATAATATATGTGAAATTATTCTCCTATCCAACCAATGATATCTAACTCATTATTCATCAATATTCTACTCTTATCACCCTATAGTTACTTCATATATGAATAAATTCAGTTTTAATTTGAGCAGCACTTTCTTAGAGATTTAAACAATTTTATCAATATTAGCTTAGATCAAATTTTTTTAGTTACCCAATTTTCACTATATATAGGAATTAATAATTCCAATTCATCACCAATAAGTAATGATTGCTATTAATTAATAACATACTTTCTCAAAGTCATAATAAATAGATTAACAGTATTTTAAATTAACAGTAGAATTATGAACTTTATTATATGTATTCTAATTATTGTAATTATTTTAATAGATGATTAGATTAAGAATTCAATACTTAAAACACTATTTCAATAAACTCATTAACATTATTATTAAAACATGTCTACATGTTTTGTAGAATGGATATTAAAATTAGAAAAAAAAATTACCCTCATACCTCTATTGTCAACATAAGAAAAATCATCATAAGGATAAATTATTATTATTATTTCTTTTAAGTTTAATAAATGGAATCAAAACCTATCAGAGCTAGCTCATTATCTATTGAGTATGATTAAATTAATTAGTAAGTATCCTCATATCTCAAAGCATAAAGCAAATCATAGTTATTATAAATACCTATTATAAACTACTATTAACACTCTAAAGTTTAAATTAATGCACAGTGGTATATTCAATTCAATTAATTTAATGCAGAGGAATACTAATAATGGTTGATATGAATTATAGACGACTGAATAGATATATCTATTTACTTTTGTTAGATTAATCATACTATTTTAGCAGGATTTTGAATCAATTTAAGAGAAGTTACAAATAAGATTTTATTCTCCTTTGCTTTACACTTTTTATGGGTACAGAGTTCTTATATTTAAAACTGTAAAATATAAGAGCAGTTTAAAATTCTTTTGAAAGAGACACTTTTCTTGTTATTCTGATAAAAGCTGAAACTTTAGAAATATTTAAAAATAGAAAATGTATCATAACTGCTTTTTAAATTAAATTAAATTCAATTAAAATTCTTACATACTGCAATGTCCAGATAATATGATGATAAACACATATTAGGATTTTATACCGAGAATGATGAATCGTCTCATTCAAATTCAAAAGAAAGTTAGAATAGTAATGAGAAAGGAAACATCATTCGTCTATCTGTATCAAAAATCTTTGGCAATAAAAGTATCAATAATGAAAAGAACTAAACCAAAAATTTAAATAAGATAAAGAGGATGAAGATGTTTAATAAAACTTATAGAAGAAAAAACTCTCAATAAAATGATTTTGAATAGGTAGATTAAAAACAAGATTAACATTAAAAGTTTTAATCCTTTAGTGACGACAAGGATTATTGTTAGAAACTATAGGGAAAGTGTCATTCAAGAACCAATTTACCTAAATATGTCTATCCAGGCGAAACAAAAAACATGTATTATAACATATGTTAAAATTTAAAACACTTTATCTGTAAATATTTCTAATCATAAAGTAGAATTTAATTTTGAAGAATCATATTAGTCATATGATGAAATAAAAAAATTTGTGGAATCACCTTAACGACTAGGATATTTCGAATTCAAAAGGATGCTCAAAGAAAGCTCGAAGTTATAACAAATAACTAGAATGTTTTTTGCCTAATTAGGTTGGGCTCGATTTTTCATACTGAATAATAGAGTCGACTTGGAATAGTACTTCAGGTATAAACCAAATTTTCTGATCGATAAGTGATGAAAACAATATTGTATCCATGTTTTTTATAAGGCCTAATTTTATTATTTCACATCTATTAAAAATTTATTTAATTAATATATTTCATTTTAATAACAATGGAATAGATAAAACTTCAAATAAAGGCCACAGACATGGATGAAGATTTCATTAAGAAAGTTACTGATATTACATAATCAGCTATGCAACAATTTAGGTCTGAGAAACAAATTGCTCATCATATTAAATATGAGTTTGATAAATTTGATCAATTTGGTTGGAATTGCATTGTAGGAAGAAACTTCGGAAGTCACGTAATTCATTAAACAAAAAAATACATTTTTTATCAACACAAAGAATTGTATTTCTTATTATGGAAAGCTTGAAATAATCCGATTATTGATTATTAAGAATAAGTTTATAAATTAACTGTTTCATCTATTTTTTCAAACTTCTTTGTTACAATCTAATACTAAGTCTATCCTTAAAACTGAATAATAGAATGGTTTTATATCGAATAAAGAGAGTTGAAGATCCATCATCATTAAAATATATTTATCAAATATAAATAAGAATAAAATACTTAATTTAAAACTTTTACTTAGTTTAAAACTCACAATATATGGAAATGAAATTCAGAAATATAATGATATTTTTTAATATAAATTTTGATTTAAAAGCTATTTTACATTTCTAACTTATTAAATAAAAATAAAATATATTATTATATGAAATAAGCAAACAATTCCTACTAATTGTAATAATTTGATCCAATAGAGGTGATTGACAATTTAGAAACATTAAAAAAAGTGATAAAATAAAAGGATATTTAAATTAAAAATATGGAAACAGAATTTTAGGAAAGATTAAATACATTTTAATTAGCTGTTGCAAGAGATTAAGATGGATTGAAACAGGACATAATATCATTTTTATTAAAAGACAATGAGCAACAAAAAAAGATTGAATAGTTGCATATAAATTATGAATTGTACGCTTTAATAATTATCATCATTAGATTGCAAAATTAATTGGAAGAGACATTCATAGAAAGTAATAATAAAATAAAGACCTTACTTGATATAAATGACAAGAAGGATTATGAAATAGGATAGCTGAAATAGTAAATTAGAGACACTGAAGAAAGAGTGAATCAACTGAGGAAAAATTCAATTTCAAAAGATAGAAATATGGTTGAAACTGAAACAACGATTAATAAAAAAGTTCTTGATCTTTAAAGAAGAGAAGCTGATTTAACATTCAAACTGAAACAGGCCTTGGACAAAGTAAATATGAATTCAAATTATTATTAGAATTAGTAATTATAAAACTAATTTGAAAATTATTAAAATGAAAAGGAAGTTAAATTAATCAAATAAGTGGAACATCTAAAGAAGTAAAATACTTCTTAATTAAATAATATCTCATCAAATTATGAGGATTAAGTTAAAACATCAAAGGAGGTTATTGAATAATTGTAAGAACACATTCTCAATTAAAAAGAAAGATTCTCCTTTATTTAAGACGAAAATTAAAAGTTAAAATATGAAGTTGAAATTGCAAATGCTAAAATAAATTGTAAACTCTTCCTTAATTACTTTAGAATTACTAACTATTATAGATAAACTTTAGTAAACAGAAGCCTTGCATGATCATACAAGAAAGGAATTACAATAAATTGAAGATGGTAAAAAATCATTAGAAAGAAATTATAAATTGTATTAAACGCATTTATTCTTAGAGAAATCTAAGCCTTATAAATCTAATTGGAGGAAGCCACAAAATATATTGATTTAACTACCAATCTTCAATAGAAGCTTAATAAAAAAGACTCAAAAATATCATGTCTATAAAATGAAAACCAATAATTACAATAATTAGTTTCAGATTTGAGGCATTAAGTTTCATCAGTTGAATAGCATTTTTAATTAAATGTTGATGAATAGAGAAAAGCTAATGTGCTATTATCAAATAAAGAGTACGAGCTTTAAACAATAATTGAGAGTTAAGCTCAGAATTTTGTTGAATAGGAACTGAAATTGAAATAAAGCTATGAAGAATTATGGTTAGATTACTAAAATTTATAATATGCATATGAATTGTTAAAATAAAAGAGTGGTGAAGATTCATTTAGATTAAAACTATACAAAACCAATGAAAAAAAAGGAAGTAGGGCCCTACATGGTAGTCAAACTAGAATGACAATTGCGGAAAGAGATCAATAAAGTAACTAAGAAACTATAAAAATCAATGATGAAGCCTTTTTAAAGACACTGGAAAACTACTAAAATTAGGACTAAGCGAAGTAAACTAATAAAAAATTAGATCGAAATGTATATGTAAAAAGAGGTTGAGTTAAATTCTTTTAATTTATTTAAATTATAAACAAACTTATTAATTTCTATGAAAGATGATAAAATAAACTGATTATTATATATCATTTTGATTCTTAAAGGGCAGCCTTCTATTTTTATACTTTGGCATGTGTCTCTTCCATTTTCTCATAAGCTTCTTCTAAGATTGATAATAATGCTTCATGTCCATCCATCCTTACTTATCTTTCTTCTTCTAATTCGCTTTTGACTCTGATAACAACTTCTTTGAGCATGTTGAATATACCAACTTCTGCATCTTCTCTTTTGAAAAAATATATATTTGTGTTACCTTTGCGATTTACCTTGATTAGCTTAATCAAACAATTTGGAAATTTCTTAACTTGCTTTTTTCACAATAGATTGATCTTCTTGAACTCTTTCTTAATTTTCTTAAACATTATATTACCACAATGTAGGTAAATCATTTTGTAAAGTTGTATTTATGATATTTACTTATTAGTTTCTCACTTTAATTTCCTACCCTATCTATTAAAGTAATTCTTAAACCTGTCAGTAAATTAAATGAAATCTTACTTATTAATCGTAGCCAGACAATACTTATTCGCTTTGTTCTCTATTAGCTTTAGTATCGTCATCCAGCTTTTTCTATAGTTTGCTCTCTAAATTCTTGATTTCTTTTAACTTTTGTTCATGTGAGGAACTATATTTTTCATTTTGTTTTTCAAATTATTTTGTTAGATCTTGGAATTAACCTGTCAGTTATCCCTATTGTTAACAGAATTAAGTACAAGTTATTCACTGTAATTATTGATAATATCCTTCAATTCACTTTTAGCTTAATTGATTCTGTCATAAATTTCATCAATTTTTGCATCCTTTGTGTTATCAACTTCGAATTAAAGAGCCCCCAATTTTTCCTATAATTTTGTGTACCTCTCATTGATTTAGGCATTAGGATCCATTTAATAATAAATAAATATAAATTTTATTTCAGTTCTAATTTTTTTTTTCAATTAAAACCATCATAATTTCTTTAATTTCATCCTCCTTATTGCTCTCCACTTCCCCTTCCGAACTATGTATATAAACTTGTCTTTACTTCTAAAAATCTAATGATTTGCCAACTGTATCATAAGGTAATGTGATGGTAGATAACATAGAAATGACAGAACTTACAGCAAAGGCCAAAAAGGGTAAATGTGCTTCTTAATCGAATAATGGTATTAAAATATAAGGGGAAATGGCAGCTCCGATTCTTCCAATAGCAGCACTACTACCAAATCCTAAAGTTCTGTTCGAAGTGTGGAATATTTCGGTAGAGTAAGGATAAAGCATAGCCCAACATTCTTTCATAAAAAAACGAGCAAAAAAATATGGCCAAGAAGCATAATAAGACCAAACATGCATTATTGTTGCACAAAAAAATGAGATAGTCATTGTGTTCTTTCTCCCTAGAAAAGGAATTTCAACTATTAACAATGATAGGATGATTGAAGGTATTTCACCTAAAACAGTTATCAAATAGTCAACAAATGTTTTCTTATTCTATCCTAAGATGAACGGAAGAATAAGTAACTATCCAAAATACATCTAAGATATAGTTTATAGCACAAATTACAAAATTAATACAAAACCATACTATCCATAATCTTATGGTTGTGCTTTTATTATTCTTGCTAAACAATTCTCTAAGTGTTCCTCTTTTTTCAGAACGAAACACTTTAGTTACCCATTTTTCTATTGCTATTCTCTCTTTAGCTGAAATATATCCATATCTTAACATAATAACATATAATTATACTTTGATCCTTTAAATGGATCTGAAGATACCTCTGGTTACACAGTTTTAAATAGTTTGCCTATAATCCCTGTATTATTTTCATTTTTATGGATGATTTCTTCGATAATATTTAAACCTTCCACTACCTAACCACTACCCATTAAGTATCTAGGACTCTCCATTAAATAGATCCATGCCAAAATTCCTACAATCAAGGAAGTTGTTGAACTTAGACTCATCATTAATCTCCAATGTCCTTAATTGAAATTTTCAAGACAGAAAAATGCCAATAAAAATGCATAAATTTTGCCAACGGATACAAAGAAATTGATAATGATTAAAAATCGTCCCCTTACATCAGGTGCAGTAATTTCTGATATCATTGTCGTTGTCAAAGGAATTGAAAATCCTTGTCAATTAATTGTACAAAATACCATAAACAAAACCATATCCGAACCTTGCAAAAATCATATGATAAAAATTTGTACAAAGCAAAAAGGTGTTTGCCATAAAAAATTATATGATGCACGATAAGTAAATACATTTCAATCTACCTTTTCGATCTGCTACAAATCCAGTCAATATTGAACCTAATACCATTCCTTGTCTATTTTGAAATAGAAGACTCTACCCAAATAAAAAATGCTGGTTAAGACTTAGATTTACAAACTTGTTAGTTGCCACTCAGATTTTAGAATAGGCATTAAAAAACTCATTAAAATTAACTCGCATCCATCATTCAAATCAATAAATACTAAAATTGACAATGCTAAAACTTAATATCTCCCTGTCCCACACTTACTTAATACTATTATAGATTTACTCTTTTTTCTATCAATTAATCCAAAGATAATTTTGCATTCTCTTTATAAGGATTCATTATTTAATGATATAAAATATTATAGTATTAATAATCAATTTTGGTCTCTTGATACCTATTATTATTTTAGGGAATTGAAATTAAGGTTGAAATTAGAATTGATACCATCTTCTTATATACTAAATGATTGTAAAAAGAAGAGAAGGATCAAATATAAAATAATCTAAAACCTAAACAAACATTTATAGACTTCATTAAGAGTGTTATTATTTGTATTAATTTAAAGTAGATTCGAGAAAGTAGCTTAGTTATCTGACTGCAGATTCAACTTGCTCATTATCAGATTAACAATCATTATCCATAGACTATAATAATTATTTAGAGTATGTACTTGTGAAATAATCTAATTAAAAGCCGGTGGTATGTTGAGTACTTTGTCATCGTAACATTAGAACTCTCTTACAGAGCCTTTTGAATCATATAACTGCAAGTGAGGATATTTTTTATAGTTAGTCAATTTGAAATATTTAGTTATTGTTCTTTAAGGTAAGGGCTTTGTTTTTTCAAAGGTGAGGGCTGTTGAGTACTTTTTGATGGTTTTTTTGACTGTGATTTTGTTATTAACTTAAATGTTTTCTTTGTTTTTGATATTGGCTGTTAATGTTTCCTGTAGAAAATTATATTATTATAATTATACCCATCGTTATTTTGAATTATTGAATTTTCTATTTGTATCTTATAATTTAGACATGTTGAATGTGGTTCTAAACTATAATAATAAAAATAATGTGGCATTCAAATTTAAAATTTCGTTAAAAATGCCTAGTTTAAATTCCAAAAAAATGGCGGAATATAAATTTCTTGTAAACACATAAATTAATTTGAAATCAAATTTATTTTGGGATTGAAATGTATTTTTTCATACAGGTGGTAGATTGATATTTTGAATATCTTTTTCGGATATTTCTCCAGCCTGCAATTATTTCTATTATAAACAATAGTTAATTTTACAATGATTTTCTGACGTTCACTCTTATTACCTCCATTATGTTTGAATTTAATGTGTAGATTCAATGAAACATCTGATCCGTAAACCTTCTCGCAATTTTTATAAGGACACTACAAAATAGATATATTCAATACACACTTTAAAATTCTTATCAATTTCAGCTGCAGTTCTCCTCTTCTTCTTTTTCTTGTTCGTTGCTTCGATTTCTTAAAATTTTTACTCAATCAATTAGACTCTCTATTTTAACTCCTGTATTTGAGATTAGAATTCCGATAATTAGGTGCAATTCTTTTAATACAACATCATCATTTCCTAAATGGATTATTGGCTCTCAAATTGCATGTTATCTATTTTAACCTAATCAATTACCCTCAAATTATTTTGGAACCTGTTCTTCAATATAAGCATTCTTTCTGTCAGCATCTTTTACTTAAACATTTTGAATATTCTTCAGATTATTATTTTCACTTATCAAATTTGATCTATGAGTAAATCACCACATTGTACTTACTTCTGATTTATAATAATAACCTTCTTAGTTACTTTTTGCATCTATTGTAGCGATCTCATAATTAAATTTTATTGCTCTTCAAAATTTATTGCAATATATTTTTAATAATATATAAACATATATATAACACTACTAAGAAGACTAAATTACAATTCGATCCTTTGCACATATGTTTCAATCAAAGTGTCCTTTAAACTGAAAGCCATCATATCCTCTATCATCTAGACTATACATTTTGTTCTAAAACAAATTTCTATTGAATTTTTTATTAAATAATAATTTTTTATTTAGAAAGTAAACATGTCAGCATTTAGAGCTTTCATGATTTATGATTACTAAAGAAGTTTCTTCCTTATGTTTATAAGAAGAGGTTTTTAGGTGTCTCCTAAATGGAATGGCTGTAGAAAGGAATTGGAAAATAAACTTCAAGAAATGGTCAAAGAACCCAAAGATAATTTTGAGTAACCCACAGACTATGGGAAGTTTAAATGTAAGTATGACAAACTGAACAGTAACATATTCTGAATATAAAAGAATGTTATTTCATTCTATTGAGCAGCAATGAAGTTAGAGAGGATTATCAAAATTAAGTTTTGAGTGAAATATATGAACTCTTTTAAAGTATGCCTAATTACTAAAAAGTAAATTATGCATATGCATTCTTAGATTAAAAAAGAGGATTTGGAAAAAAAAGAAACTGAAACCATTGAGAAATTGCTTGAAATGAAAGAATAAGATTATGCTAGAAAACATGGAAAGGTGAAAGCCTTTGAAGAACCTTATGAGGCTAAGCCTGATAATATGCTTTAATAACAAGTACTTTAATTTAATTAAATTCAGAGCTAAATATAATCATAACTAAAAGTTGGATCATAAATTAATAGTTCATCCAATCAAAGGGCTATATCCTAAATTCAGAATGGCTCTGTTGGCTATAAATAAAGTTCTGCATTTAATTCAGATAAGGATTTAAGTGCTGATACACTCATAAAAATATTTCGATGCTTCATGATGTGGGATTACAATAGATAATTCTTTTTCATGTTCATAAGAAAAGGATTTCCAATTGATAAGACTTGGAGTCAAGAGAGAGTTAAATTAGAAGCAGAAATTAAGGCTAAGTAGTTAGATCCAAATGATCCTAAAGCAAAACCAAAAGAACCTCCTGAACAATTCAGCTATAGAGGAAATTTTGGCTAATACAGGGCAAAATACGATAAAAAAGCAAGTATGATTCCTATTCTATTTCAGAATGTTACTTTATTTTACTCACTAGATTCAAAATTAAGGAAGATCCCTAAATCAAACTCTTAGAAGCCTTATACGAAGAAGTATAAAAAGTAGACAAGTACATTTCTGTAACTATTTTAATCTATTCTAGCTAAAATATGACGCTTTAGAGGGAAAGAAAAAAAGAGAGTTAGAAAAAATTATTGATGAACATGAAAAGGAGTTAGCAAATCAAGTAAGCTAAAGGTTTATCGACACTAAACTAATGGAGTCTAAATTAGGTTTTATTCATTCTCCAGAGAGAGTGTCGAATAATAACTTATCTTCAAAAAAGAGTTCCATCTTTATATCTAATCAACTTTAACAACAATAATAATAATAATAATCCCTAATCAACTCTGCATAATCCTTACAATAACCTTAGATAAGCCAATAAAAACAATAAAAATTATAATAGCAATAACAATAAAAATAATAACAAGAAGAAAATTTCTAAAAAAAAGAAATTTAAGATGGTCCTAGTATTGATGAGAAAATAGATGATACTGAAAATATCCCATATTATTAGGAAGAAGGTGAACTTGCAAATAGAGTTTATTTGTATTATACCAAACCATTATAGGTTTCTTAATATATTAAATCTGGGAATTGAATATATATAATATTTCGATTTATCTTATTAATTTAAATTTATCGTTATTTTTTAATATTAAAATAAAATATCTATGGATTCTTTTCATTTGTAGATTTTTCTTTTAATTGGAGTAAATAATATTTTTTGAATCTATCTTTGAGTTATCTTAGTAGATTTCTTGATCTCGTAAATTATTAAACAAATCAAATTGTTTTTTATTAAATGCATTTTTGATAATACATCAGTTTTCATAGTTGATGTATCTAACTGGAATTAATGATTTAAAGTATTTATATAATTTAAAAAGGTAATGGATTCTAAATTCCATAACTTTAAAGTTGTTAGTGGAACCTAGTTAATGATTTGAATAGAAATGTAAGGCTTAACTATAATTCTTAATAAGTTTTTTGAAATAAAGGGCTTTCGTATAACAATGTTTAAAAAATAGTAAATTCTATTAAAAAATATAAAAATTATTTTATTGATTATTATTCCTAAATTTAGGAATGTTTTAAGAAATGATTTACATCAATCTAATATGTTTTATTCTTTTAAATATTAGGTATTACATACTTGTCAATTGGACTGATAACTGTGCTACTTAAATCAAAGCTCAAGAAATAACCAGTACTATAATTGCCATAATTAGAAATTTTTTGTTCATTCTCACTTTCAGATTTTACACTTTAAAGATTGAATTCAAAAGAAATGACACAATACGTTAAACTTTAATAGAGATAAATTAAATAATAAAACTAATTGTAAAGATCTTGTTTAATTAGAAATCAAAATCAATTTTAATATTGTTAAAATATAAATAGCAGCTCTATTTAGCAGATGGGACCTAGTTTGTGTACTTAATTGACAAGTATAAACAAAGTATTAGAGATTATAAAGAAAATGTATAACTATGGACTAATAGCTAGTTTTGGCATTGATATTATAATTTAAATATCTAGCTAATTCTAAACCTCTTAGTTGACTTGATTGTAACTATCTCAATTCTTCTTTGAGATTGCTATTAATTCATAGTTTTCATAATAATTTTTTCCTACCTAATAGTTTCTTAAATTAATTAAATAAAATAATTACTCTATTTAATAGGTGTATTATGGGAAATTCCAACTCAGTCTAGACACAAGCTTAACCCCAATAGGAATGCAAAGCATGCAGTGCTTGTCCAGAGACCAGATAATTGAGGGATGAATGCATTATTTTCAATGGAGAAGAATAATGTAAGAAGGAAATAGAAAACCATAAAGTATGTTTAAAAAAGTATGGGTTTGAATGAATTATATCCATAAGTTAGTTATTAAATAATCGTTTATGTAGATATCCTTAAAATAATTCAATCCCAATTACTTTCCTGGTTTATTCTTTTCCCTAATATTTTATAATAATTAATTATGAACCTTTAAGCAAAGTTAATTATGATATATTTTTTATATTACATCTACTACAACCATTTAGATATACTAGGACAAATTTAGTAATCCTTATATTTTTACAATGAATTGAATTATTTTTTTGAATTTTAACTATGTCATTGAGAGAAAACTATTGAATGTTATAGGCTTTCTAGTATTAAACGATTCTCAAATATTAAGAAGGAAATGAATTCTCTGTTGATATAGACTCATTACATCAAACTATAAAAAAAAATGGAATTTAACAGTAAAAGAATAAATTTGGAAATTTAATATTTAAATCCTGAAAATTAAGAAACAGATGAATGGTTGCTAGAGAAGCGCACAATTCTTAATTGTCTATTGCAAATTAAGGCTGGAGATATAATAATAAATGTAAATAAACTATAAATAATAAATTTTTATTCAAAGTTCATAAAAAATTCAATACATTAACAAAAAGAGGGACTATGTGTCGGAACGGAGAATATTTAATACTTAAAACAGATTTAATGATCGTTTAATCTTCTTATAAATAAAAGTTCATAGAGGGCACTCAATAAAATAAAACACATAAATATCAATAATTCTACATTGAGGGACTTATTGATCTATCAGTATTTAGAACCTATTGAATTGGAGAAAGTTTTCTTGTTAGATTTTCTAATTAGGCAATTAATTTATCGTAAAATTAAGCCTCTGGACAAGGTATTTTACTATTCTTATTAGTTTTTGATTAACTCATTTTTAATTTGATATCTACAATAACATTCTAAAGTTGAAATTATATTTATTAAAATAATTATTATTTATTTTCTTGCTTTTGTAGCATATCATTATACTGTTTTTTGAAATGCTCAATTTGTTTTTTTAATATATCAATTTCTTAGTTCTTAATTATGACCTACCCATTTGCTTATCTAACTTATCTAACACTTTCATCATCTATTTTCATTTATTTATTGAGATCCTCTTAATTGTTTTAAGCATACACCATTTTAGCCAAATACATAATATCTACAGTCTGGTTGTAATGCAATAAAATTGGATTAATAGTTAATAAGCAATAATACTTAAACTACAAAGATGGTGTGTGATTGAAGATTTTTTTTAAGAATTTTGGGAATTAACACCTTGGAACAACAGGAATAGTGGTTATGATGAATTATTGTGTGTATGTCTGGTCTTTAAAAACTATACTGTAAGTTATTATTAATTATCTTATTTTTTCTTTTCCTAAAGTCTTGGTTTGCTGGTTTTTACCATACAAATAAAACTTAATATGTTGAATGATTAAGTCCAGTTATTATAGACTTGAATTCAAGTTCTCATTATCTATGTGTAAATCTTTACTCAATTAATCTAGAATTGACCAATTATTCCCTATTCTTTCTGAGTATTAAATTTATAATCTAAGTTTATAATTTAACTTAAACTTTTACTCTTTTATAGAGTTATAATATTCATCAAGAAACATCAACAATAAGAATTTCTTTTGCGTTTCTAATTTTAAAAATATATAAATACTTGATTAACCAACAATAAGGAACATTCTGCTTTAATCTAAACTTATCTTTCCATAGAACTGGAAATATTGTCTCACTTTTTGAATATCGAGGAACACATCATCAAATGTGAAAGTTTCATAAATTTACTTTTCAATTCTAGTTTTCCCTTGAGAATAAAATTTAATCTATCTTTTAGTATACCATAAATTCAATACTTTCTATTAAATTCTATATAGGGAAATGAAAAGTTCTTTTAGGATTTTACAACCAAGAACAGTTCAATCTAATTCAATTAGATCATGGTAGTATTGACTTGAGAAATGATTGTTTAATTAATATCAACACTCTTATTTCTTGTTTGATTAATTAGAATTTAAGATTGAAGCTATTCTTCTAATCTATATTATTCCTCTTAGTGTTTTTCCTATATTTGCTTAATCTCATTCATTAGATCATCATTTTATTGTGAACGTTACTTAACGTCTTTTTTTAAGTTTTCAATTAACTCTTTCATAAATAGATATTCTCTTTATTGATCGTCTATCTACTATGACTCACATAAATTTAAACTAATACTCAATAATTCAAATACTGAATTTATTTTGATTTTCTTGGCTAAGTTTACTCAAATAAGCTAACTCTTTTTCCTAATCTTTCCTATGGATTCGATTTCTAATTAGAATCTATCTTCTTTTGCAATAGTTTATTTTATTATTTCAAACTCGAAACTTCTTTTTCATAGTTTTTCAATAACTAATCAAGATCCTCATTTTTTTTCCTAAATATATTAATTATCAGAGTACTTCATTTATTGATATTAATCATCTTTTGAGTTATTTATATCATTATTGAGCCACATAGATCCAGATAAGCTGCTGTCCACCTACTCCGATTGTGTACTCTTATCAAATATTTCAATTTAGTTAGTAATACTTTCTTAGTCATTTACTTCAGGTTTCATTTAGCATTATCCATCAACAAAAACCTTATTTTAATATAATTCCAATTGTTGTTTTAATAGAATCTATTCTTCCCTATAAGACATTAGTTATATCTTACTGCTAATGAACAAATTTATCATCAGATACAAAATCAACTAATTTTTCATAATATTCCTCTGCAGTTTTTCCTTAAGGTTGATACTGCTTATTTTAAGACACAAATGCATTAATCATTTCTTTCATATTTTGTATATCAGATTAAAATATTGTCTTTTCTTATTTATATTGATGAATTTCTCTTTGACATTATTCTTTGTGATTGAGATATTCACTTCTATTTTCAGAATATTCTGATTATAATTTCTACAATTTCAATGGAGATTCTTCTTCCAACTATTATTATATTTTTAGTTATGTTTCCAAATCTGCAATAATCTCTTATTTTGATATGTTATCAGATTTCACAGTTTCAATCTCTTACTTTAAGAATGAATTCTAAGATTGAATATCTTAAAACTATAGATTATTATTATTGATCTGTTGAATTTGTAGTAAGCTGTTTTGATATTGATCTTAAAGTTACTCATTATTTTCTGTCTACTTATTCAATTATTCTTATAATAATTAACATTGTTGATTAAACATGATTAATTGTTCTTTGCATAGTTCATAATCAATCAATTATTAACTTTGTTCTGCTAAAGCTTCATCTTTTTATAATAATTAGGCTTGCACATATTCCTTAAACTAATCAAAATCCTCTTTCAACTCTAAATATTGAGTCTCAAATTTATTATGCATTTTGAACTCTTCTAACTCTTCAGTCTTTGAATTAAGTAACAACTAAAGCTGGACATTATCCTACTACAGCAAATCAAATTATTATAGAGTTTATTAAGCTAATTGATATTCAGTAGACAATTTCTACTTATTTTAAACAACATCAGCGAATTTTTATTCATAAGTAACTAATTCCTCTTCAAGTGAAGATACTTTTGCTTATTCTTCATTAATTTCAATATTTTTCTATTCAATATCTAGTTAAAATTCCTAGTTTAGTTGGTTTAATTATTGTAATTACTATTTTAATTATTTAACCTCACTATTCAACTTTTCAATCTTCTTTTTATTAGCCTCATCCTCTTATTATAAATCTAAAATCATATTCTACATTTGTTCAATCTCTTCATTATTTTATGAGTTCTATTCACTTCTAGGTGATTCCATTTTATTCAGAAGAGTTCCAATATTTTCAACCTAGTTTTGTTGATTCAATTTTAATTCATTGTTTTCTGTTTCTAATTTATGCTTTTCTTATTCTTGAATATGCAACTGATTGGACAATAGTTCAACACTTAATCGTAATTGTGAGATCTTATTAATTTGAATTGCTTACTTCAACCTATTGTTTCTAAATTAAATCTTCATTGATTTCATTGTTTTTGGACTCAATTTTCTATATAGCAATTAAAATTAAAATACTTAGGAATTTAATAATAGCTCTTAATTTTATATTTGGGATTGCTCTAACTCTTTTTTCAACTTATCTATTTCTTAATTACACCTTGATATTGATCAATAATACTAAATTGTTAATTCACTTTTATCTTGTTGAAGCTAAGAGATAATGTTTTATAATTTTTCTATTTCTCCATCAGTTTGGTTATTATCAGGTATTTCTTACTTCTAAGTAATCAAATTTTTCAATTCTTCTTAATGATCATGTTTTAGCACTTCAATTTCCAAATTCTTGTCATCTATTTGATTTCTAATTTATTCTATATTTTTACTTTAGTTCAGATAATTATTATTAAAGCACTGCTATCTAACTTTAAAATTGTTCTATCTAATTTTAATTATGATCCATTTGACTATTATTTGAATCCATGCCTACTAGTTTAATTTTAAGAGATGCAATTTCTTAATCTTTTTTTTGGAGATTTGCCTTAATCAGCTTTATTTCCTCATCCTTACTTTAATTATCACTTTCAAGCATCTCAACCATTTCTTTTAAACTAGGAATCATAAAATTATTTTACTCATTAACTTCTGATTTCAAGCCATCCAATTCTGTTGACATAAAAAAAATAACTTTTATTTTAATTAAGATGAAAAACACATTCATTGAATCAAAACTGATTTTAGATTTTCTTAATTTATTTTCTGAAATAATATTTAAGAACTATTCAATCTTGTATAAACCTTATTAAATTAAAATGTAACATTCTTATAGGAAATTTTAATTAAGATGTTATATTCTAATAAAACAAATATTTAATATGATGGATCACCATTTAAGTAAGTTATAACTTCTGTATATCTTGAATTTTCAGATAAAAATTTTAATACTAAACCTGTTTTCAATAAAATCTTCCACTTATTTATTTATACACAAAAATTATTCATATTAATTATTTAATAATGTAAAAATAATAAGTTGAATAGCAAGATGGTTTTGTGAGTTTTATGCTGGAAAAAGATGATTCTTAACTAATTAATCCTGATGAAACATTTCTCAAGGAAAGCAATAATTAAGACTATTATTTGTAATTGAGTCGACAGTTTTATGGCTAAAGTCAAAGAAAGGATAGTAAATATGTTACAATAACTAAAGCGACAAAATCTACATAGATAAATCCAGGTGTGTTGAAACAAAAGATTATATAAAGAGTGATCAATACAAATGCATAAAGAGGAAAATTCGCTGCTTCCGTGCCGACTGTCAGTGAATAATTGTAAAAGGTATTAGTTTCTTGTAATTATCTATTCCCCTATTATAGTAGATCTAAAAGCTCTTATCGTCAAGTAAACCTAAAAAGTAACCTAACATCTAAACTCCCTAAAACCATAAATTTACTTTAAACAAATATATTAGCTAAATTAAAAATTCTAACATCCAACAGCATCCTTTTAAGCTTAATTTACCTGTCACAAATAAAAAAATAAATATCTATGAACCCAGAACCCATAGACTTAGAATAGAAGATTCTAACCAAGACCAATTTAATCAATTTACATAGAATTCCCATAGAAGCACACTAAATAGCAGTACAAAGAGCACAACAAAATTAGAAAAAAATTACGATATATCTTATCCAATTAAAACTGAAGCAGGAGATGACAATAAAATAAATATATTCAAGATTTCATATAGAAATAAATAAAAATGAATGTAGTATCCGTAATTTTGATTTTTCAATAAACATTCAACAAAAATAAGCATTCATATATATAATAATTCATTGTTAAATATTCAAGAAATTTCTGTTATACTTTCATTAGAATTTTAAACTTGTCTCACAAGCTTATTTTTACACTAACTTAAATATCAGTATAATAATTGAATTTTTCAATGCTTACAATCAATTTTCTCATATCTTCTTCCTCAAAATTTCTTTTTGCTAAAGCCATAATATTGTCTTCCTTATTTTCCATGAGAACTATAAAAAAATAAATACTTGAAATATTTTAATTGATTATACTTTTAATATCTATTTATTATTTTTTTGATGAAACATGATCTGATCTTAAAAAGAACTATATCTTATATAATTAATAGGATTTCTTTTTAAACATAACAATATTATAATCATATAATTTTACTTAATCTTAAATCATATAAATATTGAAGGTTAATACAAGAAAATGAAGACAATTAAATAAAGTAATAAATACGGATATATATAAAGCTTTAAAAGAGCAGATATTATTTCGTATTTTGATATTAATCATCTTGTGAAAAACTTTCCTCCTTCTTTGTTTCTAGAGTAACCTGGATTGGTGCTTTTTGAATGGGCATCATTGAAGACATAAGGGGATTTTCCAATACCAGGCAAGCAATAGCTAAAATGATTATGATTCTTACTGATTAAACTCATACTATTTAAGCAACTTTAATCTTTTTAAGTTTTAAACCTAATTCAATAATCCCTTTTGCTTTAGAATGATATCTCCGTTCTTTACTATGTCATCAATAATGTGATTTTATATAGCCGCTTTAGGTACTGAATTCGTTCTCTCATCAAATAGTAATGTTGATTGGAGATTTTTTAATGTAACAGTTTTCTTATTATTATGATTGATGTTGGTTTAATTCTAATTCTGAATATGTTATTGACGAGTCTAAACATCATCAGCAAATTAGACAGTTTAATTAGGCTTCTCATTTTTCAAAGAGTTTTATTGAAGTAATCCTGGATTATGGGATGTTCTGCTTCTGTTTTTGTCTGTATCAACAAATTTATCTAAAATAGAGGTTTTAGGTTTTGCTTAATCTTTTACGATCAATTATTCGACAGCATTAGGCTAAACAGACATATACACTTGATATTTGTCATTCACTTACAGAGGCTCATTTTAGTATTAGAATGATGGTAATGTTTTATTGTGTATTAATCTAAAGTTTTTAGCACTCATAATAATAATTATTTATAATAAAATATTTCAATTTAGCATTTCTAAAAGGTAATTTTAAGCATCAATAACAGTTTATTTAGCTTCTTTCATTCCATTAATTATATCAAAAGATAAAAAACCATGAGGCATAGATTAGTATTCAATCAATTTCACATCCTTTTTCAATTAAACCAACTTTTATAATAACCTAAAGCTTTCATCATGAAGTGGGTCATAAGTACCAACAGCGATCCGAGTTTTAGGAAATTATCTTAAAATTTCATCGCTAGCCATAGAAGGGGAGAGCATTGGATCAACTTATGAATCAAATTCCTTCTATACATATGAGTTTAAACATAATTTTAAGACTGTGTGATGCAATACTAAAATCTTAAGAATTTCTCTTACAAAAATCATCAAGTGACACTAAAAAACTTGGTGTGAATGACTTCATATTTAATGAAAGAGCAGGATAAGCCAACAAAATACCATCAGGAACTCTGACTCCTGCCTTTATTGCTTAGATTGTCAAAGCAGCAACTAAATTACCTCCTGCACTATCTCCAACCAACACTACTTTGGATGGAATAATATTGAAAAACTTCTAGATGAAGGTGATAATAAACATATAGGCTTACCAACAATCGTCTAATCCTTCAGGATATGGATGATCTGGTGCCATTTTATAATCAATAGAAAAGATCGGAACTTTCATGTTATTTGCCCATTTTCTAGTATAAGTCTGATGTGACCTCGATGACATAGCAACAAATCCTCCTCCATCTATGTATTTAATTATGAATTACGTATATGGATCACAATCTTATCAAAATTAAGGTCCTTATTTTTGGTACTTTTAAACAAGGACATAAATCCATCTACCCCTTTAAATTTCAAATCTTCATGGCAGAGAATCCTTACTTGCACTCTCTCTTAGTTTATATCATCTTTCTATAAGTCGTCTATGGATATCATTTGGTCTGGATAAAATATACCACAATCATTGTTTATTTTATTGATTGTTCCTTATTTGTATTATTCTAAGATATATTCCTTGTTAATCTTTCTGAAGAATTTAGGAATGTAAATCTTCTTATTAAAAGAAATAGATGGGAAAATAGCTGGTAGAAATTTCTTTATGATACCAGTTTCAGGTAGATTCCAAGCTTTAAAAGCATCTTCTTTTTTGGCTTCTACAAGAAAATGGTCTGCTCTACTTTTCATCTTTTTCTTGTTTAACCCATAATATAGTACTCCAAATCCCTCCATAAAAGTCTTCATTAATTCCCCATTATATTCGGATCCTTTTGAGATCATTGCATTTCCAAGTAGAATTCCAAAAGAAACTTAATCATAAGATTTCTTAATTTATTCATCACTAGCCAATTGTTTTTTTTCGATAAAAGGATTAATTAATTGCCATTCTTAATGATCTGGAGGTATGGCAAATAAATCATTATGTTATACTCTGGTAGCTCCTGGTAGAATTTCAATACAAGACTACAATTTAGCTAAATATATAGCAAGATTTCGTTTCTGTTCCTTCTCTAATTCCAGAAAGTTATCCATTAGCTTTAGAATATTTTCTAAGATTATGTGATTCATGTAATCAAGAACTAAGTTTGTAGTGTATTCATTCAACTAATTTCTTGTACACGTGATATTTAAGCTGCTAACATTTTGTTCAACAGCCAATGCTTTGTTTTCAAGTAATTCATTGATATTTATAATTTGCATCAACCCAATCGATGCAACCTAAACTAATTAGACAGCTTTTTAACATAAATCTTAATTTTAAGAATTGTTCATAATTATATCTTAGGCTTTCATTAATAACTGATTAATCTTAGAGATAGAACTTTAAATATTAGCTTATAACTTGTCTACAGTATTTCTAGCGAGGATATTAATTTAATGATTAGGTTCAATGAATATACCGCTCTAATCTTACTCAGCAATTAAATGTTATTAATCGACGTTGTCTTAGATATCATTTGGCTCTTTAATTTACATTCTCTTTCAAGATTAATTTCTATAAATAAATAATTATTGAAAGGAAGATTTATAAAAAGATATTTCATCACATGAATTCTATTTTCATTTCATTTGCTTTTTCAAACTTTATATGAGATTACTAAGACATTATATTAATATTACATTTTAATTCCTTTTCTCAATTTTTCATACTTTTATACTAAAGGTTGCTACAGGTCTCCATTCTCTATAATTTCACAGCTGTCAAAATTTGAAATCTTTTCATCATCAAAACTTAACTATTTATTTTAGAAAAAATCTTGTTTGCTTCCACTCTTATCATCACAAATGGATAACTAGTAATTTGGATTCAATGATTGACAGTAATTTCCTATGCTGCTCTGCTAAGTTAAATTACTATTCTTTCTAGCATCATCCCTTTAAATAGAATTATGTCTAGAAGACAATGGAGGGGGAGCCAAAAAGTTTTAAGAGCTCAAGATTAATTAATACTCTTACCCATGTTAAATAGCCCCTGATAGTTATTTTTCAATAGATTTTTTCATTTCATTTGAATTGTTGAACTAAATATTCTATTTACTTAAATTCTAATTTGTATCTGTTTAAAAATGAGTGGACTATCTTATTTCCGACCATTCATAATTTCCATCAAGAACAATATTTGAAGATTCTGCTGCCTTTCTGAGTTCTTGTATAATCATCTTATAATTGGGTTCTTATTTAAATTGCAATCTTCTAATTGCACTAATTTAAATAAATGGACAATTTACTTATAAATCTTCTAAAACTCTGGAATTTAATCTCTGAACAATTCATCTTCAAGTGATAGCTTTAATTCCCCTACCTTTTTAGTTCTTTCCTCATCTGTCACATTACCCATGTTCTACCAAGGTAACTATCTTATTTATAAATTTACATTTACCCACGCAAAAAGTAAAGTAAAATGTACATCAAGGACTCCAAATCATCTTTTCTTCCTAATTCATGACCCAAATGAGCCTGTATTGATGCATATCGAGTAGTTCCTAAAAAAGACTTTTACTCCTTAAAAGGGCTAGGTATTATTGGATCAATTACATATGTTTTCCATTTGCATCTCTATAGACTTTGCTGATCCCAAAATCAATCAGGTGTAACTTGGAAATTTCATTCCCCAATCCCAATATCATATTCTCAGGTTTTAAATCTCTATGTATTACTCCATTTAAATGAGCTCTCTCTAATAGACTTACAGCCTGTATTCCAATGGTTAGGACGGATTTCAAGTTGAATTTCTTGAGTTATTTGAAATGGAAAGCCAAATCTTTGCCCAACAATTAAATAACTAGGATGTTGTACCCGAGATCTTCCCCTGACCAATAAAATTTAGGAAATCCCTCCAGTCCATCTAGTATCTTCAAAATCTGCACTTCTCTTTCCAAAGATTTAACTTCTTCATTCTCTTCCTTTTCGACCTTTATAGCCACTTCCTGTTTGGAGATTATGTCCTAACCAAGAAACACCACTCCAAATGAACCAGATGATAGCTTTTTGATGATGGAATACTAGTTGTTAAACACTTTGGTTTTAGATTACTGCTGTAGGTTCATTTCGATTAATAATAATAAAATAAGCAAAAAATGTCTCAATTTATAAAAGCAACACTCCCTAAGAAAACTTTTATGGTTGAAAAAGGATTCTATTCAATTAATTTAGAAGATGGAACTATTTAGAAGTTAGGACCTGAAAAGAAATGTTATAAGTTACCATCCTATTCTTCTCATACATCTCCAAATGCACAAAAAGATTTATTTCAAGCCAAAAGTCAACAAAATTAAGATTCCACCCAAAGAGTATTTAAATCATTTGATTATAAGTAGAATAATTAAGAAATGAGAAAGAATTAAGAAAATACTAGAAAACTTAAATCCCAAAGGAATAAATGACTATTTGAAGTTTAGAATTTAATAATTTATTACATACATATTGAACATATTCTAGTAGTCAAAGTACCTCAAAAGACTCAGGTTTCATCTCAATCAACAATTTAAATAATTATTTTCTCACACTACTAATTAATTATAACTAAATTAAATTTGTTTCTTTTTAGAACAAAATGAGGAATGCAAGTATCTTTTCATGGAATATCAAACGCTTAATTAATTTATATTATGAAACAAATTGTAGGGATTCTATCATAAAATTATTCTTCCTCACTTATTATATTGAAAATAATTACGATTCTTATTGTGTTTAATTTATTTCTTCGCCTTTATAAATATCTTTACCAAAGCTTTTAAATGAGTATAAAATAAAAAATACTAAGTATGCTTAATATAATTTTTGATCTTATAATTCATAATTATGTCAAATAAAACACAATATCTCTTATATAAAAAAGTAAATTATTAAAGTAAAACAAACACTAATATTGTGTATATGTTTTATTTATATCAATAATAAACAGATATGATATCTACTCTTTCTTTAAATTATCATGATAATTCTACAGAAATATCTAAAAAATATCTTATTTATGTTGATTAAAGTGCATAAATATCTTCTATCTCTATGATTATAATATGTAATTTATGATATTATTATCATAAACAATTTATTATGTGATTATCATGGTAAAGCTATTAATGAAACAAAATAAATTATTCCTTTAATATTTAAAAATGCTTTAAACCTACTTATTTTATATAAAGGTAACAAAATATATTCATTCTTAGTTAAAAATACTATTTATCTGATTTCTTAGTAAGCAAATTAACTTAATTTCTATCAATTTATTGTAATAAATTCAAGTTATTTATGAAAATTGGGAAGTTCATATAAAAATTAAGTATTTAAATCAAAAATTAAATGGAATTCAATTTAAATGTGTGTGTTGCTATTAATTTGTTTAGAATTTTTATTAAATAATTTTTGAAATATTAAATAAGTTCTTCTCAACCATTTAATTAAAAACCATTTTAATTTGGCATTTGAATAGAGAAACTGTAATAAAAAGTTTTGATAATTTCTTGTTTATCAACTAATATAAATGAATGATAATCAAATTTGAATTTTGGGTATGAAGCACGATTTTAAAAAATGACGCATCAATTGCACTGCATTATGAAATCATTATAATTAGAAAATGATTCATTATAAAAATGAGTCAAAGGCTTGAGTTACTCTAAAAATAAATGCCTACCTTCTAATATACAATCGACGGAGGCATTTTAACTAAAGAAGAAAGATAGTTTTATGAAGAAAACGGGTACATAGTGGTTAGATAGATCTTTACTCCTGAAGAAATAAAAGAGTGGACTTTAAGATTTAGGGAATATGCTGATGGACAATTAGAACGCAAATACGGAATGTAAGTTGTAAGGGACATTTCTCTGGTGAAAAGAGGAGGAGGAAAACAATTGGGAGAGGAAGCAATAACAAAAATACAGGACTGGTAAGAAGATGAAGTATTATTCAAATTTTGTTAAAACCCTAAAGTTATTTAATATCTTAAAAGCATCTGCGGACCTGATATTAAATCTGTTCACACAATGTTCATCAACAAACCACCCAACATGGGAAAAACATCAAGACACCCAATTCATCAGGACTAAGTTTACTTTCCATTTGGACCAGCACATAGAATAGTTGCTGGCTGGGCTGCTCTTGAAGATACCAATAGGGAAAATGGATGTTTAGTCATATATCCTGGCACTCATAAAGGTAAATATCCACCTGTATCCTTAGTTGGACCAGTTGAACATTGTTATCCTGATTGGAAGGAAGGAGTGAACAAGGCTTATTGGGGTGTTAAAGATATGCCTCCAGAGAGTGCTCCAAAAATTCATTTAGAAATGAAGGCAGGAGATATAGTTTTCTTCCATCCATATCTCTTTCATGGTTCAGGAGAAAATAGAGTAAATTTTATAAAATAAATTTTAGACAACAAATTTCAGAAAGTCTATATGTTGCCATTTTGCTTCTTCAAATTGCCAATATCATGATATCAAGGGTACTTTTCACGAAAATTTGGCCAATGACATTATTGCTTATGCTTCAAAAAAGTTTGGACATGTCAATTACTTGGATATTTGGAGATTTAAATGCAGACTGGTTTAAGGCTAGGCTGATCCACTAGGATTATGATAAAAATATATTATAATCCAAATACATAAATTTAATTATTCATTTTCAATTTTAATAACAAAATAAAGTATTAAACTTAGATAAAAGTTAATCATTTTATAGCCGAGTTTCAAGAGTAAGATTATTCCTATTTAGCAAAGAATCGAAAGCTTGAAGATCAACTAGAATTCCTATTTTATAATTATTTTTTATTATATTTAATTAAGTTCTTCTACTACAATATATTAAATATAAAATATGTAATTTGATGAAGATTATATGATTACGAGTTTAAAGTGACTAAATTTTGGATTAGTTTATTTCTTATCTAATAGCCTTTTGCTTGGTATGAATAAGAACTTAGCTTTGTATTTTTGGGCTTATTAGTTTTTGAATTTTGCATATGAGAGATGAGCATAATATTATGATAATTATCATAATAGATTGAAACATTATATATATTTTAATAAGGAGTGCCTTCAATTTTAGGAGACTTTGGGGATTATATTGAAAAAGTAGAAAAAGGTTGTAATCTTTATGTTTTCTTGATGAAGATCTTCAGATTTATAGAAAAAAGAAACAACATATAAAAATAGTATTAGTAGTAATTATGAAGATATAAATAATCTGAGTGGATATAATTTCTAATTGAAAAACAGATAAACATTTTTTAGGATTAATATTAATTAGCATACTTTTATTTTTGCATATGTAGAGGTACGCTTAATAAAAAAATTATGAGAAATAAATGATTTGAAATTTTCATATCATAAAGTGGGTTTATTCTATTATATTCAAAAAGAAAGAGATTTATGTGTGTGTATACAAATCAGAAGATAATATATGATAGTAATTCAAATTAGTAGCTTTTCAAAAGAGGATAAATTCAAATTAGAAGTCAATTAATGTATATTATGACAATAATCATCTAAATATCTAATAAAAATAATATAATACTGTTAATTATAGGATAAAAAAGCGAGTAAAAATAAGTTTTGAATAAAAGAGAATTCAATAATTAGATTACTTACTATTTGAATTTAACAGTATGATGTAATTAGATTAAGCTAATTCAATTTTAATTGGTAGAACATATTAAATTTGATCTCTTTAATTGAAATTACAATTAAGATATATTAAATCTAATAAAATTGATAATAAGACTGTTTGGATAAGCAATTTATTATCAAATAGAAATAGTTACGGAAGAAATTCATAGCAATAATTTTATTCGCGCTAAAGTAGAATAAAATAGAATAGAATGATAAAACATTATGAGGGATATTATGAGGAATAATGGAATCTGGAAAAGTGGAATTTTAATGAGGAAAGTGATGTTTTTTTAGACTTTGAATGATATTTTTGATATAATATCAAAGTTGTTGCAGTAATTTACTGAGAAATATTAATTCGACATATAAAATTAAATTTTTCTGGAATATCATGATGAAACTTCCAAATCATATAATATATAAATTAACTAAAATTACTAAATGACAACAGTTATTCCACTTGACCAAGAGACAAATTAGCTTAAAGCATCTAGTTAGCCAAATGAGGTTGCAATCGAAGACTATGATGAGTTTCGAAGACCCCCAATATTGGAAATATGTCTTAAACACCAAGTATCTGATTTGATGAATTTAGTCGGCCACAGAATTTGCAATAGCAGATGCTAAAGTTGAATTAAATAAGAATAATTTATGTCCTTGTTGTGGATAACCTGTTATTCTTACTTAATTACCATTGACAGCCTCTATTTTAGATTTCAGCTTTAATGGACCTGGAGTTTCCCTTTATTTCGATTTCTTAATGTTTAGTTCAATATTGATTTCCACATTTATGTAATGTTATTATCAAATATCATAGTATCATTTGTGGAATCTATGATTTAATAGCCAGTTCTTTGGGAGATACATGCGAGAAATTGAATGCGTCAGGAATACTAGAATGCACTAATAGTTTTTATAGCAAATATGCTAAGTCTAATCAAGATAATAAGGATGTGGATATAGCAGGAAGTGTATTAAACTGTGTCACAACATTAATCTTAATAGTTCTTTTGTTTATATACAGAAAACGAATAAATATTTTGGCTAATAAAATTGATGAGAAGAGTATATTGGCATCAGATTATTCGATAATTGTTGAAAATATTCCAAGAGATGCAAAAGAAGAAGAGATTAGATAATTCTTTAGTAAAATCAACAACCGTGAGTACAAAATACAAAAGATTTGCATGGGATTTTAGATCTAGGAGTACTTGCGAATTCTAAAACAGAAGCAGGATCAAGAGAAGACTTTTACTAAGATTTTAGAATGTGAAAGGTTAAATAAACCTATTCCTCCTCATTTGCCAAATAAAGTTGATTTAACTCAAACCCTGGATCAATTAGCAAATCAATTGGATTTGTATGAATAAAACTTTTAAACTTCTTTACAATTTAGTGGTGTTGCCATCATCTCATATAATACAGAGGATGAAGCTAATTCAGTTTGTAAATTCTTTAGAGCAACTAGACTGCATCTTATACTATCTTAAGTTTTGAGAGTAATTGGTAAAAGAGATATTAGAAGATTTAGAGATAATGTAATCGTAGTGTCAAAAGCACCTGAACCTGGAGATATTTTATGGGGCAATTTAGGAGTTACATTGTTAGAGTAATACAAAAGAAAATTGATCACAAATCTAGCAACAATATTGTTGTTAGGAATTTGCTTTGGCATTTTATTCGGATTATCTTATGGTTAATTTTCAATGACTGATACAGGAAAAGGAGAAGATCTATCATAGGCAGAGATTGTTGCGATTACAGTTTTAGGAGTCATTGCTTCTGTTTTAATTTCAATTATCAATAACATATTGGCTATTATTATTAGAAAATTTGCTGAGTTAGAAGCTCCAGCAACTAAAACTGAGTTTGATATCAGTGCAGCCAAGAAATTAGGGTTTGCTTAGTTTCTTAACACTGCAATAATAACATTAATTGTTAATTTGGTGATTATAAAGGAGGGAGAAAAATCTTATTTTGCTGTAATCAAACAAGGAGGTTTAAATTAGGATGTTATGTTGATTTTTATTACCAATGGAATAATGCCTTGGTTAACCAATTTGTTTGACCCATTCTACTTGTACAAGTTGTTTATGAGGTATTAAATTAAGGTTTAAGGTTAATCATGTAACATAACCTAATAAGAAGCGAATGAGTAAAGACATAACATCTATTAATTAGATATTTTGCAGGTCCCATCATTGATTTATCAAAAAAGTATGCGTAATTGGGAAAGACCCTATTATTCACATTCTTCTATGCCTACCTACTGCCACTTGGACCACTGCTTTCTTTGGGCTCGTTACTGATGATCTATTGGGTAGAGAAGATCTTATTACTCCGAAGAGATTCAAAGCCAGCTCCGACGGGAAGTGAGATGGCAGAGGAGATGATCGACTTCTTTGGGGAATTCACTCTCTTGCTTTATGCAGTATCACAATATTACGAATTAGATCGGTTGCCTGATTTGGGAATCAATTTTAAATGAAACGATATTTCCGTTAACTTGGGTTCAATTTGCAATAGCCATTTTGAATTTCTTAGTACCCATAGATACTATTTTTGACTTATTTTGGAAAACTGAGGACATTTCTACGCAAGAGTTCTATGACACCTAGTGTTACAAGTTTTGGGATGATTACGATAGGAGGAATCCAATCACTGCTGAAAAGGCCATTGAAACATTTTTTAAAAGTACAACGGCAGGACAGTAGTAGTAGTAGGTGGATGGAAGGGGGAATGTCGCGATGATAATGTAGGATTACAAGAAATAGGATAAGAAGAAGAAGTATAAGAACAAATGAAGGGCTGAGGATTGAGAATATATTATTATTTAAATGAATTAATCATCCATTATATTGGAGGAGAATAAATACCATTCGGCTTAGTAGGAGGAAGAAGAACGGATGTTGACTGCGAAGGCATGTGATTTGAAGAAGGCTTTGATTTATCGAAAGTTTCAGCAAAATGAGAGGAAGGAGGAGTTGGAAGACATAAATTAGTTATTTGATGAAAGATAGTTGAATATCTTGAATGACCTTGCGAATGACAATGGTAATTATGAGGAATAGAATCAAATTGAAACAATAAAACAGGAAGTCAATAAGAAATTGTAAACCGTAATGGAACATGGTATGAAACGACATTCTCTGTATGTCATGAAAAAACCATTGGAAAATAAGAGAGTATTTAAAATCTAAGTATTCAAACCTGAAGACAAGTTCAGAATCTTTTGGGATCTATTCACTATGTTGATAATCTTTTTCGCCATATTAATTTTACCTCTCGATATCAGTTTTACAATTGATTCCCCATTTTTTGAATACTTCAACTATTCCTCAATTGCAATATTCAGTCTGGACATCCTCATTAACTTCAACACATCCTACTAATAGAAGGGCCAATACGTAATTGATCGTAAACTGATAGCTAAACACTACTTGATGGCATGGTTCTGGATAGATTTGAGTATATTTTTAATTAACCCTTAGTTTCAACTTTCCCTTTTGATATCATCATTAATGCTTCAACACAAGAAATCATTCAATCTGACGAGGTTGACGAAACCTAAACATAGGATACGTAAAATCAACAACAACACTCAGCTTAATTAGCCAACACCTTGAAATTGTTGAGAATTTTGAAATTTTTTAGATTTATCAAAGTAGTCCGATTACTAAGAGTATTAAAATTAAAAAAGATATTTTCTAAATTCGAAGATTATGTTGATTTCTCAAATTCCATGATATCACTCTATAAGGTCTTGAAATTAACCTTCATAATGCTCTTTGTAGCCCATTGGTTGGCATGCATTTGGCATTTCATAGCTGATCAGGAAGACTCATCTGACAGTTACAGTTGGCTTAGAGCATAAGGTTTACAGGACAGTGATTGGTATGTGAAGTATATCGCATCAGTGTATTGGGCAACAGCAACGATGACTACAGTGGGTTACGGAGACATCACTCCAGTGACATCAGTGGAAAAGATCTTTGGTATAGTGGTCATGTTGTTGGCTTGTTGTATATTTGCATACATCATGAACAGCATTGGTGGGATATTTGTATCCATGGATTACAATGAGAAGTTAATAAGACAGAAGATGGGTCAAGCCAATTAATTTCTGAAATCGAATGACATACCTAAAGATCTGTAGGCCAGAGTAAGGAAGTACTTGGAATACAAGTATGAGAAGGAATCCACACAGGTGAATGAAAAGGAGGCCTTGGATGTCTTATCATACTCTCTGAGAGTAGAAGTGTTGGCTGCAGTCAATACAGATTTGATCAATAATTCTAGAGTATTCAAGTAGAACAAGTTCGAGAAGGAGTTGCTGTTGCAATTGCCATTTGAATTAGAGGAACAGATCTTTGGTCCTGAGGAATGTATATTTTTGGAGGGAGATGATCCTATAGAGTAGGAGAATGGATAAAACATTGAAGATAGATGCCTGTATTTTCTCAATAAAGGACAGGTTATGCTGTGTATTTAAAAGACCTTTACTTGCTTAAAGACTTTGGATAAGGGGGCCACGTTTGGGGAACTTGGATTCTTTAGTAACAAGTCGAGAAGTGCATCTGCTTATACGCTTGATTTTGTCTATGTGCAAAAGTTGAAGAAGAAGAAATTCACAGAAATTTTGAAGAAGTATTAGACTCAGAATCAGTTATTTTAAATGAATAAACACATTATCGAATTGGGGGAAGACTATTCTCCTCTAGGGTTGCCTTGTTTTGGGTGTCAGCAGATCAACCATTTCTCATCCACTTGTCCCAAATTGCATTTTATCACCAAATATGATAGAAAATAAGAATTGATTTAGGAATTGTAGCAGCAATAATAGAAATTCACGAAGGAATTTAAGAGACATGAAAAGATTAGGTACAATTCTAGAGGTTGCTTTGGTTTGACGAATGAAGTTGCTAAAGAAATCAAGTAGGTCTATTCTGCCCAGGAAGAAGAGGATGAGGACAGATTGGTCAAACTACAACAGTATTTAACTCTAATAAAAATAGACGCAACGAAGAAGAACCTACTCAGGAGGGTTTCGAAGTGATGGAGAATCAGAAAGAAATTAAAAGTCAACATCAGGATGAATTTGAGAGAATGTACATCATGACTGCCTTCTTTACTCAATTCAACATAGACGAGATTATGAAAAATTACAATGAACGAGTTGATGCTATTCTCAATTTGCAATCATTAGCTTAGGAACGGAACATCAGAACTCAGTATCATTCAGTCAAGTCAAACACGAAGAAATCTAGGATAAGATCGATGTCTGCTGAGCGTGCTGTATATTTTGAAAAGCTAATTGAAAAATATGGAGGGCCATCTTAATTTTTAGAAAAACTAAATTAAGATAACTGATAATAATATTATTTATATATGTAAAATCTCAAACAATTGGTGTATATGAGATAAATGCCCTCAAATTTAATAGCCTTTTCCTCGAAGGAGGGTAAGAGACTATTCAAAGAAGCATTGGATTAAAACACTATGGAATGCTACTTTCCACTTGCTGAACAATTTATCACCTAATTGCATCCGACTACTTGTGGATCGACAACATTGGTCATGGTGTTGAATGCTCTTAAGATCGATCCAGGAGTGCAATGGAAAGGGTATGAGAAAAAGTAATTATAGAATTTGGAAATGGTACACCGAAGAGAATTTGCATGGTTTAAAAAAGGAACATTTAGATAATGGTATAGATTTGGATGCATTTTCGCATATTGCTAAACACAATAAAGTGGCCATTCAAACCTTCTATCATCCAAATTTGTATGAATAACAATATGAATAAAAAAAGTAAGATTGTATTGCTTAAGCCAAGTTTTTATGATTGTTAAGAGAAGTGTACTCGAATTCAAAATCACCATAAAATAGCATCGGTTCAGACATTCTAGACCTGTTTGGAAGCTTCTTCCAGAATGGACAGACTCTTTATGGTAGTAAATAACAGCAGAAAAATAATGGGGCAAACAGGAGAGGGACACTTCTCGCCAATAGGAGGAATTCATTTAAAGGAGAAAAAAGTGATGCTCTTTGATGTTGCAAGGTATGCGAAATGGCAATATAAGATTCAAGTATCCTCCTCAATGGTGCGATTTTGATCTGCTCTATAATTCCATTGCCCCAATCGACAAGGACAATAATATGACAAGGGGATTTGCATTGATAACGAAAACATTGGATTACGACATTTAAAGTTAATACTCAAGGTAGATTCTATAGGATTGGTTTAAAAATAAGACTGAGAGTAGTAGTGATCTGCCAAACCAGTTATCAGTTATATTTGTTTACTACTTGTTTATAGTGTTGCAGAGAATTGAAATGCAAAAGACAAATATTCACACTATCCCATTTTAATTGGCTTTAAGGGAGGAATCTAGATACAATATTGATTAAGCTTTGATATAGATTAAAGGATAGAAACATCTGCACAGTTTAATAAGCGATTTTACTTTTTAGTACCCTGATCTAATCACAACTATAAGTTGTCTTCTTTACAACATTTTATGTGGTTATCAAATAAGCCATAGAGAATTGACTGAAGAATATGAACTGATGAGAATGATATTAGGAATTTGATTAATAATGATATTAATTAAATTAATAGAATTAATTTCACTTAAAGGATTATAATCTTAAAGGCGATGTACCTCCTCCTCCATTTCCAGTGGTATTATGTGCAATTTTCTTAACTGTTTTAATACTTTGAAATGTTTTAGTGAATGGCTTCTTCAATGATTCTGCAATTCTCAACCCCGTGACTTTGTCTCCTAATTTTCTGAGTTTCCAACCTTTCTTGATGGTTAAAAAGAAAAATGAGTATCTAGAGAATTCAGGGTAGAGTCTTCTTTTTCCAAAGAACTTTTGAAGTCTCGCATATCTAATTAAATCTATTAATAAGTAAGTATTACCTTTTGAGGACGATATCATAATTATTGAGAGGGAAATAGTAGATGAACATTTGCATTTTATCGAAGTCAGTAATAATAGAATTGTTGGTATGTTGATTATAAGTTTGATTATCCATGACGGAAGTATGATTGATATCTGTGGTCATTTCTCTTCCTTGATTCCTAGTAAACGTCCTGGTTGCATTAGATTACCTTTTCTAAGTGGGCCGTTTTTGGTGATGCCTGACTTCTAGGTCTGAAGAATTAGGTGGGAATATCTTTTCAGGAGTCAAAGTCCTTTTGATAGTTTAAGATTGTCTTCCTTTCTGAGTGTAAGTATGAGATCTAAGAGAAGATTAACGAGGTATAACTTCTTCATTTGAATCCTTTCTTGTAAAAGTGATTTTTTGTTATTGAGTTCTGGCAATTTCCTAATTTTGTTTGGCTGGCACTGGCAATTACATTAACACCTAATCTTTCTCTTCATCAGATTCTTCCTCCGAGATTTCTTGGTATTCATCATCCTTCATTAAATCAACTCTGACACTATCCCTCATCCCTCCTCCAAATCCAGCCGTTTAGAGAGTGGCTCTGGGATTGACTACCTTCCTCGAATAGTTTTTGGAGTCATCATCCTCATTTTCTGTTATCATCGTCTATTAATTAGGTTTCTGACTAATCTTACTGAATGATCTAGAGTTGCTTCTTTGATTCAGCGAAGATGGCACATCGATTTCGACTTATTTTATATTATGGATATCTTACTTTCATCCTCATACACATCATTCATTAAGTTGGAGTGTTATTCAAAGTCTTCGAAGTCTGTGCCCTTACTCGCCAAATACTGTTATTCCTATTAAATCTCCTTTGCCTTAGTCATCAGATACTTCTGTATCAACCAAGGACTCACTTCCTTCTCCTTATTCAGTCTCCCTATCCTCTTGTTCCTTGGTTAATCATGAGGATATAACTCCTTCTTCAGTATGCTTTCCTTATCTGGACAATAATGCAAGTAGTGACACTTATCAATCAGATGTTGGTTACTTTAACAACTGTAACAACTCACCTGGAGTGCACTGTAATCTTGATGCAACAGTGTGTGTGTCAATTAACAATACTTCTCGTAATCATTAGGATAAGACAGTAAGATCTTAATGAAGTTCTCCCTTTTGATTTTAAACACTTTAGTAAATGCTCTAGAAATAGCAGTAGCCTTTCGAGGTTAACCTGTAAAGAACGAGAACTCTCCAAAATAATCTCCTTAATAAAGAAACTTCAAGCTATTCCTCTGAACTCTCTCATTCAAACTATTAAAACCTTCGAAAATGATCTCCACCTCTCCTTTAGTAATAATGTACAACGAAGAATCATCCAATTAATTTAATGTAATAATTCTCTCTTCAGGTGAAAAACTCTATTCCTCCATCTATCCCAATAATGACTTTATCATCTTTTCAGAGAAGGTCTTGATCATCACCTTACAACTGCTGAGTATATTGCCTCTTAACTGATACTGCAATTCCTCCTATAAATTGCTACTCAATTTACAAATTAGAGATGAGACTTCCTCATCATTCATATTCTATTCTTCTTACCAAATATACTCCAAGTAACTCCTGATTCTTGTTTATAATTCGAATTGAATCTTGTTTTTTGACATAAATGTATTAATGAGGGTCACACTTCTACTGTATTCCATAGCTCCTTTGTACATGTTAGATACAAATATTCCTATGCTATTCACTGAATACGCAAACACTATTGAGGCTATCAACATAGTTAGATTATTCATCAGCAACTCTATGTTATTTTTAGCTGTTATATCCCCATAACCCACTGTAGTCATTGTCATCGTTGCCCAATAAAAGGCCTTGTTGTATTTAGAGGCATTCCCCTTATCTCGCAAATCGTATGCATCCAACCACGAATAACCATCATTATAGAATGCCAGACCATGCCAAACACATGCGCAAATGTGAGCTATGAACACTATCATCATGGTCAGCTTTAGCAATCCAACCAAGTCATTCAAAGAACCATACAGATTGAAGAATCTAATATTATTTACACTCACACTTACTCTTATATTTATGCTAAGATCTTATTGATTTTTGTCAGACGAAGAACATAGAAAATAGCACAGAGAACTATTTAAACGATCAACATTTGGTTGGACTCATCATTGTTTGTGAGAATAAAGAATTGAAGAGTCACCGTACTCAACGAAACCTTAAGTCCTTATATATTAACCATAATGTACCAAATCAACAAATGCATATTATCGAAAATAATTTATCAATATTCGTTTTCTATTCCGTATTATAAGTCCCTTGTATATGAATGCTAAATTCAAACCAACAAACACGTCCAAACTCAATATCGACAAAAAAACTATTTCGAGAGACTACTTGTATACGCTGATGCCCAGGAAATCTCCGATTGAATCCAATTTGAATGAGATCTTGTATGGTAGCCAAAAGAAGATCAGCAAATATGTTAAAATTTAAAACAGGCCCCAAATAAATATTAATTAACTGTAAGGAGTAAACACCTCGATGTACGAGAAGAATCGCTTAAAAGCCTCCCATCTTGTTAACGTTCTCTTGTCATTATGCAGATAAGCCTCATTTTCTAATTATAAATCATCCAATGCTTGGATTTGGTAAAAGGAAAGTTGATGCAGCTTTCTCAAGTAGGATCTGTTCCACAGGTTGTTAATAAAATTGTTTTGGAAACTCTTCGCTATTATCAATTTCAGAAATTAAGGTTTTCCTCCTTACTCCTCCTCGTCTTCAATTGCATACGCAGATTGATATTCCGATTTTCGCATATTCTTCATCGATTTATGCATATCAATAGGCATCACATGAATTGATTGCTGACTGATATCTCCCAATTTCTGCTAATCCGGAACTGTGAAAGAATTCCAACTGGCAGGCAGATTCCTGTTGGAGTCTCCATCCCCAAGGACGATTCTCCCTGAAATCATACCTGAGTTTGGACCTTGAAAGTACTCATCTTACAAACTAAATGAGTTTTGAACATGCTCGTTTGAAATGTTCATTAAATATATTATTATCATTTTACAGTAGTCACTATATACATATTTATTATTAATCTCAATTTTATCATTTCAAATTTACTGCTCAAATTGGGTTTCGCAATCTCATTAAGCCAGCCGACGGTAATTTAAATCATTTAACTCATTTCAATAAAATGTTGATTTTCTACATATATTAAGTGAACAACCGTAATAAAAATATTTGTTATTATTTATTCGATTTATAGAAGCCTAATAATATAACTAATCATTATAATCAATTGATAATCTAATAAATATATTAACTTGAATATTATTTATACAGTTGTGTGATTTAATGAAATTTACACAGTTTTAAAATTGCTATCTAAGAAATCATTATAAATATTATAAATCTAATTCATATAGTAGACTATCTTATGAATTATGAGATTCAACTATTATGCTTTTCAAAATCTCATTATATATTTAATATCCAAAATACATCAAAATGCTTAAATATTAATGAATTTAGCCTATCATTTTCCCTTTTATTATCCTATGATATATATATTCGCCATAAGAAATCTTTTAAATCTCTTGGTTAATTTGATATTCATTTTTTAAAATTGAATATTCTAACTTAACTCACAACTCTCCCAAAATTAATTTTGATGCATTTATTCTTAACATCATTTAATAATAATTTATACTCTTTGTTTAAATTGTCAATTAGCCAGTGTCGTTTAAGGATAACTCGTTTTAAGATTCATCTCCTTATCATAATGAAATTAACAATAAAAACAATTTGAAGTACTGAGTTATTTAATTTATAAATTTGATGTAATTTTATTATTTAATATTAATATCACTACAATTTACTCACCATAGCGAGTTTGCTTCAAAGAAGTTTGGTTCGTATTTACTGGGCTTTTAGAAGTTTCTAATGAAGTATTTACGCATTTCTTCCCAACAAAATAGACACATGGAATATGGGAGGCCAGGCATACTATGATTATTAGCAAATAATTGAATACCCCAAATTGAGTATATCGACTGGTCTGGCACCGAACCAAGTATTGACTCCTGGGATGTAGACGATGCAAAGGAAAATGATGGTTTCAAGGATGACTCCATAAAACATGACATTATTGATAGGAGAATAGATCAAAGACATCTTACGTTCTAAAGAGATATAAGATAAGTATTTACATTTGCATGAGAACACATTGGACCATTAGACCAAGACGACAGCAACGAAGTAAGAGGTTTAGGCATATTTAAGAGCAGCAGTTTTGAAGCAAGCATTTGTATTGATTGGATATCCAGATCCTTCAAGAAGTGAATCTGATCTATCAAAGTATCTGCACAATTGATCAGAAAATTGGTTGTTCCATTCCTCAAACACAGGGAACCATCTATTGGATGTGGAATTATAAGTAACGAAGATGTATCTCAAATCATAATAGATGAGTTCTGGATTAATCCAATTCAATGGAATGTTTTAGAAACCAACTGTATCTTAAATCTGATTTTCTGATGGGGGAACCAATACTGGTGCCATTTACCAATTAGGACTGTAAGGCTGCTATGTTAAGAATGGACTAAATAAAATAGAATGACAAATTACTTGTTCATATTAGGCATATCCCAAACCCAACTTGTAGGAGGTGGAGCATATGGTTGCCCATTTGCAAGAGTAATTGGAGCCCATGGGATTTGCTAGTATGGTGTATTCATAAAACTAAGAATGAGCTTTGGAGGGAATCCATATTCATTCATTGTACTGAAATAACTAAAGAATCCTGCAGATGTGGCTATGACTCCTTGTAACAGATAGGCATGAGTGATCAATCTAAGAGACACTAAATGGTCATCCTTCTTTCTTGGTTTACGAGTCATGATATCAATTTCAGCCTCCTCATAAGCAAAAGAAATAGCAGGTAGAATGTCAGTACCAATACAAATGGTGAGAATAAAGGCATTACTCAATGGAAGGGGTAATCCAATAGCGATTTCACCTACGTATGGGAACACTTCAGTAATATTGGATGTAAGAAGATAGACGATAGTTTTTTTAAGATTGTCGAATATCTTTTCTTCCTTCTTCCACACCATCAACAATTGAAGCAAAGTCGTCATTCAATAAGATCATATCTGCAGCATCTTTAGTAACATCAGATCCACTGATACCCATTGAAATACCAATGTCACCTTATTTGATTGCTGGTGAATCATTGACCCCATCTCCTGTAACTCCGACTACATGACCCAAATATTAACAAGCTCTAACAATCATCAATTTTTATGCTGGAGATGTACGAGCAAATACAACCTAAGGTTTACTGCACCAACTTCTAAGTTTTCTGTCTTTCATTTCTTCAGGTAAATTTTCACCTTGAGCTGCTTCCTCTTCAAGTGCTTAAACAATTAAATCACCATGAATAACAATTGCTGGGGCAAGTCTAAAAGCTTCCTCATATGCCATTGATGGATTTTCATCCAAAAGATCATCAACAGTCTTACCAGTGATGATACCAATTTATTTAGCAATAGCACCTGCTGTGGGTGGTTGATCTCCAGTAACCATAATAACCTTAATACCAGCTGATTAACATTTTTTGATAGCTTGAGGTACAGTAACTTTAGGAGGATCCATCAAAGATAAGAGACCTAAGAAAGTGAAATTTTCCAATTTAAATTTGAGTGTGTCAACTGAATTTAAATTGAATTAATATCCCTTATGATATTCAGCTCTTGGCAAGTGCAATTTTGCGAATCCTAACACTCTTTCTCCACCTTTACCAAAAGTTAAGTTGACTTATTTGAATTTCTAAGTAATTTATTCATCAATAGCTTGATTTCTACCTTCCACTAAGAGGTAACTGCAAAATGTCCACAATTTTTCAGGTGCTCCCTTAATGTAAACACAATAATAGGAGTCTTGAGTTTCCCAATTGACAATACAAAGTGAAAACTTATTGGTTGAGTTGAATGGCATCTTAGCCAATGATTTATCTGGTAATTCTGCGAATTATCTTCTTTGTCTTGTCAATTCAATGTCTTCGATTGGTTAAAAGAACTTGATCAAAGCAGTTTCAGATGCATCTCCAATAGTTGGAGTATCCAACCAATTGATATTTTATTTATCTTTAGCTTGAATATTAAACTTGGCTTCACTAGTAATGATAGCACAATCATGTAAATCTCTAAATGTAGGATCATTAGTCTCATATTCATATTCTGCATTCTTCCCTGCAATCAATTTATTCAACGCTCTCCTCTTCAATCCATCATACCAAACATTTTCAACACTCATCTTGTTCTAAGTCAAAGTTCCTGTTTTATCTGAACAAATGCAACTTGTTGATCCAAGAGTTTCAACAGCTTCCAAATTCTTCACCAACACCTATTTGTCTGCCAATCTTTTTGCAGTGATAGCCAAAGAAACTGTGATACATCCCAATAATCCTTCAGGCACATTTGCAACAATAATACCAATAGCTTAACCAACAGCAGTATCTACTGATGCCTTTTCGACAACCCAATGAGAGAATCAAAAATAAGATACCCAAACCAACAGCAATACAAGAAATCAAAATAACGAATCTCTTCAATTCAATATTTAATGGTGTTTCTGGTGTTTCTCCTCCAGTTGCCAAATCTGCAATCTAACCCATTACTGTTTTATCACCAATTTATATAACCATTCCCAATCCAGATCCTTCTTTGCATAAGGTTCCAAAAAATGCTAAGTTCTTTGTTTCCAAAGGATTCTCACTTGTGCATTCAACCACTCTCAACAATGGATCACATTCTCCTGTCAAAGCTGAGTTATCCACCTTCATCTCTCTAGATTGTATAATTCTAATATCAGGCAGGTATTTTGTCTCCCATCTTCACTTCTACTATGTCTCCTGGCACTATCTTCTCTGCAGGAACCTGTTTCCTTTGTCCCCCCCTAATTACTATACAATTTTAAGGCAAGAAATTCTTAAATCCTTCCATCAAAGCATCAGCCTTGGCAGATTGATTATAGGTAATTGAACCTGTTAGTAAAATAATTGCTATCAAAATAATTGCTAAAACATAGATCTTGTTATTGTACCCAACCACAAGTTAGACTTTGCTCCTAGGGCATCTGGATTCACACCATACAAAGCAAAACATGCGAAGGAGGCTATCCATAACAAAATTGAAAATGGCTGAACCATCTCCTTTATCAATTTAATCCACCATGGAGTCTTCGCTTTTTCTGATAACTTATTATCACCATACTAATGGTTCTTTTATACAGCTTAGTCATCAGATAATCCTTCCTCTCTGCTTGTTCCCAATCTGAAATATTATATCATCCAATTACCTGTTTGCTAAAGTTATTATATCTACCTTATGCTCATCCATGTTCCTGTACTCTTCTCCTTTGTTTTATGCCTTTTTGAGGACATCTTGTTTTGTATTGGTAGGAGTATCCACTGGTACAATGACATCCTTTACCATAATTTTTTATTCCTAGGAATACAAATTCAGAGCTTACTTTCATCTGGTTAAGCATCTGACTTTGTCTAGAAACCAAGGCCTACGCTTTCATGGAGCTCTTACGAGCAGATTCGCTTTGCTGCATTCCTAAACGCACACTTTATCTCAAAATTTCGAAACCCGCAACGATCTGAGGATTCGTAGCCTATGTGAAGTTCTACTAACCGTCATTTAATGGTCGATATGAAGCCATTCACAATAAATTATGAAAAATAATATCTAAAGAATATTCATTCCATCACACCTTAAAATATAGAATCACAATTTCAAGCTGAAGATTGCATCACTAATTAAATCCATAAATGTAAAATTATTCTGCTCAAATGAAGCATCAAGCTTAACATTCTAAAAAATAAGCACTTTCCCATTAAATCCACTCCTCTATCGATTATAATCACAGAGAAATAGGCGATAGAAGTTCTATATTCGGAACTCCGTAATCTTTTAAAAACTTCACTCAATAGAAATAAATCTGACGACAATACGACAACGAACTTTAGAGAATTCAAGGAACACTTATTTTTTATCATTTCAACCACTGAAAACTACTATTATGAACATTATAGAAATAATCAAATTTTCATCGAGAAATTCCACGACTTAATTCTGCATCAAGTTGAAATAAGAATGCCTTAATACTTATTGTACAAACTCATTGGAAGATGAAAACAACCAATAAGGGCTGGGATCTATGATTCTTTGTAAGAAAGAAAATCTGAGAATATTTTGATGGAATTAAATTAGAAATTAAAAACTTATATGTTAAAGTTAAATTATAATAATTTCAGCAGCATTTTGGTTTTTATTACTCTTTTTGCTTTTCCACCATTTCTTCTGTCATCTGCGACCCTATCCTTACACCAATAGACTTAATATTTAGATCATATCATACCTCATTTGTCGCATCAATGTCTCTCTATTCTATTTTTTTTAGTACAGCTTCAGCTGCTTCTTAAAAGATCTAATATTTTTATGATAGAATTACTTTGTCAACTTGAAATCCTGTTTTTGCAGAGGCCTCAACGAAAATCAAGTCGTGCTTCTTGGCAAATGTTTATCCTTCCTCAGCCGAAATCACTCTTCTAATAGATTTTCATATAATTTATACTTGTCTGATAAATCTGTCTTGTTAGCAACTAACACTAATGTAATTTTATCATTTGCATAGCTTTTTGTCTCTTCCATCCATCTAGTGATATTCTCAAAACTATCTCTGCTTGTCACATCATACACAATCAATGCACAAATCGATCCTCTATAATATGATCTAGTAATTGATTTAAAACTTTCTTATCCAGCCTAACATATACACTTTAGTTTATACAGTATCCCAAATTTAGAGCTTTATGTTCTTTTATCTAATATTCAAAGTCTTGCTTCCGAACTCAACTCCTATTGTTGTATCATGATCCAATTTAAACTTTCTATCCAAAAACTGCAAAAGCAAGCACGATTTTCCAACACCTAACTCTTTAAGAAATCTAATTACTTGAATCTCCGATTATAATAAATTTAAACAAGTATGCATAAGAACTCATCAGAATGAATTTTTGTTTTTTATATAAATATTATAATATTAGTAATTGTTACTTTTACAATTTAAATGTTGAATTTGTAGAAAATTTAGAAATTATATAGATTAATAATGCTGTGTCTTATCAATTCTATTCAACAACAAGAACTACGATTGATTTTCTTCTTTACTTCTTGTACAATAGCCTATTTTTTTAAACTTCTTATTCCCATTAATTCTTCAATTTTTCCACCATCTTCATGCTTTTTTATGAATTCAAGAATTTCTTATGTAAATTTAGATATTATAGAAGGAATGCTCATGTAGTTCTCATCCTAAGCCAAAGAAAATACGCTGCTTGAAGTTTGAGAATATTACATTTAATGGGTAGCAGCAAATTACTCACCTTCTTCAAATTATATGTAATGCCTTACAATTAAATAATCATCCTCAATACCTATCATTCCCACCCTCCTTATCTTAATCCATGTCATCATAAAACAATTTATCGCATTTATTACCAACCAATCTAATTACTAGTTTCTCTTAATCCACATACTATTGGATTTCCTCATACCATTTCTTCAGATTCTCATAACTATCCCTGCTAGAAAGATCAAAAATCAGAATAATTCCAATGCAAGTTCTATAATGAACCCATGCCATCGAACGGAATGGCTCTTTCCCAGACTTGGACATAATATACATGGCTATTTACAATGTCAATCAGTTTTATCTGAACCGGCTTCTGACCTATCAGTATCTCCTTTTGACCAATTGTGATCTTGTCATTATGTCTTAGCACAAATTGATTAGTCATGAACATTGATAGAAACGTTGACTTCCCCACTCCCGAATCTCCTATGATAGCTATGCTTAGCTCCCATTCACTTTACAACATTTCAAAATTATTTCAATTTTAATATCAATTATATTCAACAATTAATTATAATCATTTTTGAGCCTTGACTTTTTAAAATATACCATTGTCTAACTATGATTACTATATTAATTTATCAATCTAGAGTTTTTTTTCATTACTCTCCAATTCCACCAATTTCGATTTCAAAATAGAATTCAATCTTTCCACCTCCAAAATTAAAGTGGTGTTTTTTTATTCCAAATCCTTATAGTATTAGGCATTAACTGAGCAATTGCATTTCTATTGGCTTAATTCCTTAATAATCTTATCCTTAGATCTACACTTAACTTAATACTTACTCAATTTAAGATTGCAATTTCTGTATGATGACCTTGCTATCAGATATGTGATTAGATTTGATCATCAAATTTATCTAGTTATCTTACTTTTACAGTTAATCTAAGTAGTAGGTTTCTATGGCTTGTTTCTCTTTATTCAATTAATTTTTCTCGTCCTTCAAAGATTAACATTGGTGACCTAAGATTGACAATTGACTTTAAAGCTATTGGATCTAGGCATTTAACTAATTCTCCAATTTCTTTTACTAATCTTAATCCTGGATTATTTCATTATATTTCGATTACATTTCCTCAATTTTACTAATTAAATTATTTAAATATCTACATTTAATCAAATTATTTTAATTTCTCTTAATACAGATTTATTTAATCCTGCAATTATTCGATCTCCTTCAACTTCTTAATCTTAAATTCATTATATTCATTCATGACTGCCTTCAACTGCTGTTTGTCTTCAACCACACTTTTTTATCCAATATTTATCTGTAACTTATGCAATTCGGAATAGAGCAGTCTAATTCTTATTAAAGTGAATACTTATTATCCAATTCCTTATTGAGTAGCAGTTATTTCATTTGCAATCTCTCCTGTTGGTAGTTGTTGTGTAGAGTTGTAATTTTATCTTAGAGAACTTGAACTTAGGCCTAAAGTGAATTGATATTGTCTTCCTTTCCTTCGATTTCCTCTTTTGAGACTTCTTGCTAACTAAACTGCTTCTGAGTATTCACATAAACTTATTCAAGTTCAAATTGGTAATTGTATAGTTCATTTTGTAAATATTCAGTTTGATTTGTTAATTCTGATACCTTTTTCTCAAGAGCCCCCACTTTCTCTAATGCTAGATTAAATCTAAACCTTGATATAGTGTCAATTAAGTTTATAGGTATCGATTGGTCATCTTCAATTCCTCATTTTGATTTGAATTTTTTGAGTTCAATCCTGATATTTTACTATAATCTATGTTAGAATTGACAATCGGGTTCAAAGGGTATTATATTTAATTGAATTAAATAGAAACTCTTTCTTGACTCGGCCTCTTGGAATTCATAAATTGATATTTTTCTGTTAATTATTTTTGTTAATTTCTAATAATGAGAAATATGAATTATGAGATTTATAAAAATTTAAGAAAATTATCAAATGTGCTCAATGATCTTATGATTGCATTATTTTTATAAAATAAAGAATCTAATTTGCATTAGCCATTTTTTAATTAATAAACTAAAATAAAGAGATGTTCATTAAATTTTGTTTTCTTTGAAATAAAATTATACTGAAAATTTTGAAATAAAGAATTATTTATACATTTTTTTATAATTCATAAAAAGCGATTGCATCTAATCAGTGTAAGAGATTCATTGATTTAATTAACAAAAGTAAAGAAAGTTGAATGGAATATTTGATAATTTCAATATTTATGAAAATCTGAAGGAAGTAGCGATTTTGGAGGACAAAAAAAATTATCTTTGAAAAATCTTATTTGGAGAAACAAAATGTATTACTTCTTTGTAAATATTTTTATTCTTTTTTATTTTATAATTGATTTTACTATTATAGGTAGATTACTTTTGTTAACTGTTTATGTAATAGCTAAATCAATTTTATAGATAAAAATCTCTACCTAAATTAAGTGAAATTTAAGCAGTGAAAACGATAATTTTACTTATTTTTATAGATGCATAATCCATAAAGTCTATCCAATAAAGAATTTATCCAAAAGAGAGTCATTCAAAATGGCTAATCTTTTGAACATAACATTTATAATAAACATTATTTCGAATCTTTTCTTAAACAAGATTAGTCATTAAATGATTTAAACCAGTCAAATTATTCTATTATATTAAGCTCAGATGAATAAGATGTAATTTATCAAATATTAAATCTTTTTTCTTATTTTAGTCTAAATTTAACTTAATTAATAGTTATTATTATTTTTATAAATTCATTTCTAAGTTATTGAAAAATAATAAAAATGATAAAACTAAGAGTTCTATAACAATTACAACATAAAACCATTATAATAATATAGAATCTGTTTGAATTTGCTCTCTTAATGACATCAAAATTTAATTTCTCAAATATAGTTTATATTATTTAATAGATTATTTTTATTTAAATTTTCATAAAGCAAAAAAAATGGAAATTAGTAGCCATATGTTTAAGGAAAGCTTATAATATTGTAAAAGGGTGTTTAGCCATATTAAGGTTATAGGCTATGAAGATTCTTGAATTACACCAAATGAATAACAATATTAAATTATGATAAAATTAAGATGCAATCTATCAAATTTGTTAATGCCACAAAGTCTTAATCCTTTTGATTGCCAAATTGGTGATAAATGATATTCTAATGTAACAAAATAAGGAGATGTAAAAATAAATATCTAAATTAGAAAAACGAACAACCACAAAATAAAATGTATATTGCTAAAGTGAGAGGGATTTAAAATTAAAAATACCTATAAACACTAGACTTGCATAATTTCAGGAATATTAAATTGAGAAGGTAGTTTAGTAACACAAAATCTAAATGGCTTTTAATTACAAAACTAGTTTTGTTATAAAATAATTTAATTATATACTTCTGGCAAAGAACTAAATTAAAAAATATTAATTATATTAAATATTAATGCTTCTAAATGTTATACTAATGGGAATGATTACACTTGATTATTTATTTTTTCATTTGATTGATTAAATTATATCTTGAAATATAAATTTAAATCATGAGAGTTGAATCGAAATATCTTAATAAAATGTAAATATTTAAATTTCATTAAAGAAGATCGACAATTAAATTATTAATATTAGATGAACAAATATAGTTTAATATTTTTAGATAAAGGATCTGAAAGGGAATATTAGGAATAGAAAATCAATTAGTTGAGAAAACCAGTCTATTTCTTTAGCGCAATAGGGTTGTTTTTCATCAGCATGACGAAAATGATCACAGAAATCTTGGATAACTAATTGAATCATTTGAGCATAATAATTGTGACCTAAATTTATCTCATCCTATCAATTTTCATAATAAAATGGAAGCCTCAATTAGTATAGTCCTGTTTGGTGATTTTAAACTATTTGCTATTAGCATATTAATATATGTTAACAAGTACTATTTCATATGAAGCCCACTAATTATTTGCTAATAATTTTGTTGCTTGTAATTTTGTGATCATTTTGGCTGTGGATGTGTATTAGGGAATATTCCTCGTAACCACTACAATGCTAATACGATTAGGGATTGCTATATATGAAGCCAATAACCCATAATACAATGTTTATTTTGCTACAATATTGTTAATTTTCTTTTTAAGTTTTTATATTCGAAAGTTAAATTACGAGAGTCGTAGCTTCTTTTTATTAAGTTTAAAGGATAATTTAATGGAATAAATTTTGCCAATTATTGTAAATAAGTCATATATCTTATTTCAATTTGAAAGTAGCCATTTGAGATTTTCATTAATTTCATCGCGTTAATTGGAATTTTGTTGTGACAACTCAGAGAATTTGAAGTAATTCTTAAGGGAGTGGAATTATTAATAGTAAAGTCTCGAATAGTTTTGCTTTTCAGACATTAGGCGAAGATAATCTCAAGAGATTAAGTCTTATAGTAAATAAATTGAGATAAAAAAAGGCTCCAAATAAACGAAAATGATAACAATTTGCTTCTTTAGTTATTAATAGCCGACATTTTTGATAAAATTTGAGAATAACCCTCAAGCATAGGAGAAATTAAAACGCTATTTTTTCAAGACAATTGAAAAGGAAAGACATATTCATTTCAAGATTTTCAAATGTATAGTAAGCAATCTGTCAATTTCATTAAGATAAGCCAACATGCATCAATTACATTTATTAAGGATAAATTGTTTCAAATAAATTTTGAATTACAAAATATTAAACAATTAGTTCAAATAATAAGAATTTTCAATTGACCCCATTTTATCAAGATTGAAGGAATTTTTTAAATTTAAATAGATAAATTATAAAATTATCACATCGTAAGAGGCTAAGGTAAAGATGATTAAGACCTACTTTATGCGATTGATTTATGATATTTTCAATGAGAGTAAAAAAGATTCTACAATAATAATAAACTTGGAGCATTTTTAAGAACCATATATAAGATATTATGGAAGGGAAATCAACGAGTTTTAGGATACAGCTATTTTAACAGTTGTCAAAACATTAGTTACGAAAAAATAGAAATTAAATATTGGAAACAAAACAACTATTCTAATAATGTTGAATGAAGAACCGAACTACCCATTCTAGTTTTAACTTTAGAATTGATTTTATATATCTGAAATCTTAATTAGTATACAAATATTAATCAATATTCTGAGATTGTCCTCTTCCTCTTCTGCTATTGAATTGATTAAAGAATTTAGCTTGTAATAATTTTACGATTCAACTCATTCTAATATTAGATTGGACTATCAAACAAAGTAACATTAATATCTGTTTTATTAAGTGGATTGAGTTTACTCTTAGCACTCCTATGATTTATTTATTTAGTATAATTAAAATAAGTAGGTTTTTGAAGGAAGCAGTCATATTGATTACCTCTTGTTTAGAGAAGCTATGCATTTTTGAATTGTTCAAACATCCTTGTTTATAATTTAAATGATTATTTGGAGTAGAGAGTGTAGTTGTCTTAGAAAGAGCATTTTTAATCTAAGTATCTTCCATTTAGTTCAAGTTCGTAGGTTCTATTAGTAATTTTATCATTGAATCTACATTTAGTTTATCTTTATCTAATCACACGATCCTCAGTTTCTTGAATAGATTCATTGACTTTTTTATCTTATATGGAACTCAAATTGGGTCTTAAAGCAAATGAAAAATCATTTTATAAATTTACTGCCTTGCCATACCATTTAATTCTTTTTTATTCCAAATCTTCTAACCCAACAAAAGATTACCTTATTGATTGGCAACGTCAGATGGTCTTAAAAATAGGATATCTTCAATTTTGGCATGTAGAAATTAGAACTCTTTTGGTGAATCAATGCTAATGGCCATTTAATGATTAACATGTCTTTCTCTATTAATAGATGGCTTTTTAGTTTCATCTCTTGTAAATGATAAAATATTTTGTTTGCGCATAACTGATAATTTATATTATAAAATAATGAAATCAAGAGGTCTGTCAACACCAGGAAAATAATAATAGGAAGTGCTTTAAATAGTGTTTGATCTCGGAGAAAAGAAACAAGTATATCAATCAAATTAAGATTTAAGGAAACATTGCATGTATACGATGATTCTGATATAACTATGATTGCAAAAGAATTTGTTAACAAACATTCATTAAAAGAGGAGGCTACTATTTTAATAGAATAAACAATAATTAGCAATCTTTAAGATAGCCATTGTTCTAAATAAAGCATTTTTGATCGATTACATAATGAAGCTGCCGTTAAGACCCAAAAAAGACAATAATAATTTATCACCAACAGTTTATCTTAGACTTTTAGTGCTTAAAAAACATTACCATACAATGCAGGAGAATAGTTGTATTTGAAATCGAAGCAAAGTCGAGTTTCAGAGCATAAATAAGATGTTTTATATTCTTTCAAGCCGTATATAAGTGAGAAAAGCTTATCTTTGGCCAAAAGACCTAACATGCCAACTTAAGATTATTTGATTATGCAAGGCAAGTAGATGGCATACAGAAAAGAACAATTAAGAAACAGTAGAATGGCAGAGTAGAATTAATACTGTTCATTTTAGCCTGCCATCAATCCTATGTAAATTAGATTATAAATTTTGATTAGAAGCCAAAAGATTTCTTAAGAAAAGGAAAGAAACTACTCGAGTGCACAAACAAGCTCGATACATGATCGATTATATCAATAAGGCTTAAATTCTTTAAAGAAAAAGAAAGATGCAAGTCAAATGATTAATTACTCTTGCATGATGTCTCCAATAAAACGAAAGCCTTCAGATATTCCATTTTTAGAGAGAATGCAAATGTCCATACAGAAAAGACAAAAGAAGTTAGAAGAAACTGTGCTGACTGAAGAGCCGACACATGATATAACAACTGGTTAAAAATTATACCGACCAATTATTGGAAGACCACCCACCAATGAAGTATTCATTATCTAAAAGATGTATTTTATAGCGAAATAACTCAAATCTTCCAATTGGAGAATATTTATTTCAGATGAGAACTGTATAAGAGGATCATCACAATTATTTAATTGAATAATAACGATAATCCCTTATGAATTCTAAGGCCAAATCTTCGGAAAAATCAAGCTAGATTTATGAGGACAAGAAGAGAAAAGTTCTTGAAGATATATTCGCATTACTTGATTCAGATGGAGATGGGTAAATTTCGGCATCCTCTATAGAAATATCTGGAATACAAGCAGAGATTTTATCTATTCTAGCACCCCTATTATGTGAAATGGAATCAATCTAGGCTCATTTAGATTTAGAATAATTTATAGAAGCAGCCAATAGATTGATATAATCTTTAAATGTTTCAGATAAAAATAAATTAATAAATGGATTAAGACCAAAAAAAATGCTAGATCTCGATTAATGTACTTTTTAAGTAACAGTTTATATTAAACTAAGCCTAAACTATGCAAGCACTCAATGAAATTAGTTAAATCAGGCCCTAAATTATAATAGAATGTAATTAATTATCATTTCATTGTAGAAACTTGAATTAGTGAAACAAGAATAGGAGCAAAAAGTAATGTAGGAATGCACCTTTAAACCTCAATTATACAATCCACTTAGAATTTATGATTTCATGCTTAACCAATGAAGATTCCTGAGAATTTTGTTATTAATTTTATGTGTTATTATAACTATTAATAGGTATATATGGATTACCTTTAAGTGTTCTAAAATTCTAAGTATTTTTGAATGGTTGCCCTGGATCTTACCTAATAAACAATTAAATATACTTAAATTTTTCGTTACTACAACTTTCTCTTTATTTCTAAGCCCCTGATTCACCTCCTCATATCATCTATATCGAGAATGGACTTTAAACTCTCGTCTGAACCAAAGATTCCTTAGATAGATCAAATGTAATATACGTGGGTTTAACTAAAAGTAATATAAATAATTAAAACACAAGAAATTAAGAATAATTCTAAAGTTGATATATCTTTAATAGATGAGAGTAAGTATTGCGATTCTTTTAATAATGATATGTTATTATTATTGTTATATAATCTTATTTTAATAAAAATCATTTTGATAAATAAATAAATTATTTTTTCAGATGGGGACATGTTAAACTAGAAAAAGCAAAATTAATAGTTAAAACACCGCAACAACTCCTGTGAGTTAGTTTTCAAATAAGATAATTTCTTATTCACAGAATTGCATTGACACAAAACCAAAACCAATATTTGTTCCTCAAAGACCTCCTAATGTGGAATATAGTGATTATGATCCAACAAGTATCTATCTTTATAACCTTAGATCCGCATCGACAGTTTAATGTAAGGATAAATGGAGTTCATTTTGAAGTCATAAATTCAGTTGAAGAAGACATTTTGGGATAACTAGATTGATTCAATTTTTAATGATATAAGATTTATTTCAATCAACTTTTCATTCATTTATCCGTCATCATTATTATTAATTTATCTGAGCTCAGCCTCAATTACTCAAAGGCTCTTTTTTCTTAATTCCAAAAGTCCTCTAAAAAATAAAAACGAGTAACATTCTTGATAGCAGTTGTTGAGTATTTACAAATCCCAATCTGCAAAATTTAAACACAGATTAAACTATTTCAGAAAGAACGGAAGGATGGTAAGTCAAGCAGAATGACAATACAATATTACTGTTCGAATTAATAATAAAGGCAAGCAATTGCAATATTCACTCCAAGCAAGCCATTTGCACACTTTACTATTTTAATTAGTGGTTTTCATTCTCATTGAAGTTAAATTTATTCCCATCATTTTAATGTTACAGACTAAGTCTAATTGAGAATTATCTATTATTTTTAATTTTCTTGATTACACGATTATATAATAGACTTCAATTAATTAATTCATATTTATAAATCATTTCACACTATTTTAATTTTTTATTGTTTTTTAATTCAAATTTAATAACAATATAAAATCTTTTATAATTCTTCTTCAATATTCTTTTTGCTGAAAACTTTCAATAGAATCATTTTTTAATGAAAATTTTGAATGCCTCCAAAAACTTCAAAGCTTTTCTTAATTTTGTTGAAACCATCATTCATGAACGAATCAAATCCTATCGACAATTTAATTAAAATTAGGAATAACTCATGAATTCAAGTTTATCACCTTTCAAATTTTAGAATATTTCTCATCACAATAATGAAATAGATATTGATATTTCTTCTTTTTTAAGTGTCTACACATAAATATTATGAATAGATCAATATGAAGGATTTAAATTTCTCATTTAGGAAAAATTTCTATTTCTACAATAATATTGTGTAAGCTTAAAAGAGTATCACATTTTCGATCTGGAAAAATCCGATTACTTTTTGATGAACTACTGATTAAACTGAATTTCTGATATTTTGATATTTTTCAATTTCTTCTGATGTAATAACGATTTAAAGAGAGTATCAAGAATCATAACTAAATTTGATTTAGATTTTACGATCACCTTCATGAATTTTTGATCTCCAGGATGGCTAAGACGTTTCTGTTTGGAGTCAAAACAGAGGATAGTTAAGTGATTTCTCTGAGTTTTAAACAAATAAGTATAATTAAAATTTATAATTGGTAAATGGAATATTGGTCTGAAATTACAAATGAGACCCTGGAGAATGCCAGAAAGTATAAGAAATAGGAGTAGGAAAGACAGCATCTCTGTATAAACGATAGCTTGATCGATTCGGAGGCTTAGGAATAGTATGAGAAATGTTCTTAATCCCTCTTCCTCAATTGGTAAGTGTTTATGCTGAAATTGGAATGGGAAAGACATAAACTGCAAGATTGCCTGACTGTTGCAAAAAAAGCCAATATCAAAGCGGATTAGGAGATAAAGAAAATGTGTTGTGGAAGTATCAAATAAAATCTGCAGGGTTATTTTGATTAATTATAGAGAGATGATTTTGATATTATTAAAAATTTATGATTCCTAAAGTTGTTGGTTATGCGGCATTCTAATCTTATGGGGATTTGCCATACCCATCTCTTAAAGCGGGGAAACGTACATTAGACTCCAATGAAGTTTGGGAGCAAAGTAAGCTTGATTTCGACATTAACATAGCTGTTAGAAATGAAGACAAAGAGAGCTTTTACAAGAATTCCAACTATCATTATTCGAATAAATAAGTGTCTCTGGATTCAACAGTACAGCCCCCTCATTATAAGAATGTGTATAAGGCCAATAAAGTAAGGAAATGATATTCTAAATCTTTATAGGCTCATTTAGAGAGTGCAACTTCTAGCGATTTTTTCCAAAAAACAGGGAATTCAGCTATAACACCAGAGAACCCTCTACTCAAGACTGGTTGCGAACATTGGAAATCCACATATTAAGCATCAATTGTTGATCCATATGCAAAAAATAGAGCAATGCCACCTGAATGGAGTTTGAATAGACCTCCTTATGTAGTGGAAACGTATTATGCATACATAACTATGATAGGAAAGTTGGGCCATCTGAGTATAAGAAGCAATATGGGTAGATCGGAGAGAATCCCAGAGAAAGATTAAATTAATTAGATGAAACTCATCCGAGAGCATTTGATGAATTGAGATTGGGAACATCATAAGAAGCGTAGCATGTCCCTGGATATACAGGATTCATACCCTCGATTATAACTAGTTCTAAAGCTATGGAGCATGGAAATGGAACTGAACCAAGAACAGATTTTATGAAAACCAATTTAAAAGAGAATTAGTATAATCATTTATAGTAATCATAGTCATACAAAAATTCCAGGATATGCAGGACATGTTCCAAGATCTGTAGTCAATTAAAGAGACCAACCACGATAATCCTGCTTTAGCAATTGATACAGATTTCATTTATTATTAATAATTCATATCCACATAACTAATAATTTATGATTCTTAATAAGCTATCCTTTCTTTATTTAATAAATATATAAGAGATATTTACATAATAAAGAGAAATAAGAGATTATTTATACGTGTGTTATTTTCATTTAATTAGTAATTATATAATGTGAATTGCAAACATTTTTAATGAAAAAATGATTGAGGAAGTAGAATTGATTTATGAAATTGAAATTGTTTTACAAAAGAATTAATTTAGTTTTAATTCTTGACTAATGAAAGAATTAGTAAATAAATTATTTAGATAATTTTATAAAAATATTAATGGACTTAGATATAGCCATCGAGGCAAGAGAGAAAGTACGCAATCCAACAATCAAATTGAATAAGAAATTAGCCATAGCTATAGGAGTACAGGTATTTGGTTATTTAAGGCCCTTACTAAATCAGAGAAGAAACCATTTGATGAATTAGTCTCATAAGAACCAACAAATAAATTGATTGCAGTTCATTTTGGAGTTGGCGATTAAGATGATTATAATACCATCTGCGATTTTGTTAAACAGTTCGGATAGAACAAAGTAATGATCTACCCTGTAAGGAATTATGCATTTATTGAATTCTAAACCATCCTATAGAGTTAACAATTAATACAAGTATGACTCATCTAACCCTTAGTCTTTATAAATATTTGAGAATATCAAATACGCAAATCTCAAGTATCCAAATAAAGAGAGAGCCACCATGTTCTTTTATACAAACTAACAAGATTTGACTGGAGGAGGAATGTGTGATATCCCAAATGCCATGAGACAAGTCAATGTCCCAGGACTGTATTTAATTCACGATTTTATAACACCAGAATATGAAAAATACATTATGGATCTAATAGATAAGCAAGAGTGGTCAAAATTGAAATAAAGAAGAGTTCAACATTATGGCTATGAATTCATATACGGAGATAATACAGTCAATGTCGATTAACCTGCAGAAAAGAAAATACCTGCTTTTCTTGAGGATGTCAGAGCCAAAGTGTCTGATCTAGTGAAACCTCAGGCAGAAATAAATCAACTTACAATTAATGAGTATTTGCCAGGCATGGGCATTCCACCTCATTTTGATGTTCATCCTCCATTTCATGAAAAATTTGTTTCTATCAGTTTGCTCAGCGGTTTGGTAATGTCCTTTAAATCCTACAAAGGAGAAGAACAACATTTATATCTCCCTCCTAGATCTTGTGCTTTTTTTACTGGAGAAGTTAGATTTGCTTGGTTCCACTCCATTGCCTCAAGGAAAATCGATAAAATAGAAGGCGAAACCCACTTTAGATCAAGAAGATTAAGTTTGACTTTTAGAACAATTAGGAATGATTTGAAATGTGATTGTTAATATAAATTCTTTTGTGAATCTTAGGGATTCAATCCAGAGACAATGAAGAACAAAAACCCTTTGTTGCAAGAATATTTAGCAAAATAGAATTAAAATGGAATTGTGTAGGACAATAAAGTTGTTCCCAATAAAACTCAAGAAGAAATCTAATTACTCGAAGATTAACAATAACAATTATTACAAATACCTAAAGCTACAGAAGTAGAAAAGAAATATGTCTATGAAATTTATGAGAAAATTGCACCTCATTTCAGTTCAACTAGATATAAGCCTTGGCCTAAGATCGAACAATTCCTCAAATCCCTAGAACCTGGATCTCTTGTCGCTGATGTCGGGTGTGGAAATGGCAAATATTTAGGCTCAAATCCAGATATTTCAATGATTGGTACTGATAGAAGTGAAAATCTATTGAAAATCTGTAAAGAGAAATCTGAAGCTTATTAAGTGTTTAGTGCTGATTCTCTGAGATTACCCTTAAAATCTGAAATGTTTGATGCAGTAATCTCAATTGCAGTCATTCATCATTTCTCAAATAAGTAATAATTCTCATTTAACTCTATAGAATTCTTAGATAATAAGCAATCAGAGAGTTGCTAAGGATTTGCAGATCCAAAGGACTAATATTAATATATGTTTGGGCTATGGAATAAGAGGAGAAGACCTTTAATGAACAAGATGTCTTCGTGCCTTGGAATTTGCAATTTAAATATGAGGATGAGAAAGTCATCAATTAGGAAGGTATCATAATCATTTAATATTGCTAGTGTAATAACAATTCAAAATTGACGATCAAAAAAAGACCGTTGTGTATAAACGATATTATCATGTGTTTAAGCAAGGCGAGATAGAGGAACTATTGTCAGAAATGCCAGGCTTTAAGATAGTAAATAATAATTATGACCATGCTAATTGGGTGGTTGTGTTATAAAAAGATTGAAAATTGCATATTCATTTTAATATTATTATTAATAAAATATAAAATGGCATAATAAAATAATCATCTTCATCTTAGATATTGGAGTTCTAGCGATTGGGATTTTAAGAAAAAGAAAGAACTTCAACATTAAATGCTAGTTACTAGATAGAGATTCTTTGAATCTATGAAACCATAAGAAGTGAAGCGGATCAATACGACCAATTTTCATAAATATGTGATAGATATCAGAGAATATTATGAAAAAAAAAATTAGCAACTATTGTCGAGTAAAAAATATAGCAGAAGCACTAAATCCTTAAAAAATTTATTTAGTAATAACAATCTAATCCTTAAATTTAAATCGTAAACATTCTTTCCAGATATAAATTGATCTGTATTATTATTATTATCTTAATTATACATCCCCTTATGATTCTGATTCCTTCTCCACATATTCGAGAATATCTCAATTTATTCACAATTAATCGTTACTGAAAATTCAACAACCTGATGAGGATGTAATATCAATAAGTTTAGCAAAATTTTAAATACCTTATATATCGAATTAATATTTCACTTCTATGTATTTACAACTAAAAGCAATCTATCAATACAATTTTTAAATAACTTTATTATTATAGTAAACTAATTGTCATTATTACAAATTATTTCTACTCTGCTTAGAATTGCACATAGAGTAATTGATAAAACAAATTGGATGTATTTTAAGTTTACATATTTTTTAAAACAACATTTATTATTATTATATTCATTTTAAAAGAAAGAGTTAATAGGAGATTTTCCAAATTAATACTAAAATGTTTTTACTAAATTTGTGGATTCAAAAGTTTGATTTAATTTTTGCTTAAAACAACAACTAAATATTTTAATGAAAAACATCTTAATAACAATTATTGATAAATTGTTAAAATATCATTCTTGAATAATTAATTTATTCAATTTAAATATCTGATATGATCAGAAATTATTAGAGTGGTTTTTTAAAAGCTGGGCATATTATAGTATTTTTAAGTTTAAAATTAATACAACAAATTTAGTATAAATAATATCTAAAAAATTATATTATTATTATATAAAAATTGGCTTTTTATTCAATTAATTTTATTTTATTTCTAACAAAATAAATTTCGAATTATAATGGTAATTTTTAATTTGATTTTATTATTAATTAGAACAAGATTTAATCTCTGAAAATATAATAATATCGTGGATTTCTAGTGCAAAGGTATACAATTTTTTTGATTAACTTCATTAATTAGTCAAATAACATAATTAAGAACCAATCCTTTAGTAAAAGAGAGTTATTATGAAGACATTTTTCAATATTTTCATTCTGTAACTTATTATATAAGCTATTATCTTAATTATATACTTTTGAAGATTACAGTTTAATATTGAGTTATATTCAAATTTGAAATAGCGTTACTACTTTATATTTTAACTCATAATAAAAACAAATAAAACTATTGCAATAACTGCATAATAAAAAGAATCATTATTATTGTTATTTAAACTTTTTTTCTAATTATGGAAAGGCTATCAATACAACAGTAACATTATCAACTGTTTTTCTTGACATGGATTATCTCATGATATTTTCAACAGCTTTTCCAGCAAAATGATGAACATCATTCGAGATCACAGTCCAAGCACTTGAGATGACTTCTTCACTATTCATTTTATCAAAAATGCCATCACCTTGATCTACAATTAAAATTACAAGCTAAAATCAGGAAATCTTGATCAGTAACTGTGATTTGAAATATATCAGGCTGAGCTGAGATTACTCCTTGAATTCCACCATACTTTGGTAATTTGGCTTCTGCATCACCTAAAGTCCTTGAAACCGCTAGTCTACCTGGTAACACTCTATAGGGGCCAAATTAAACATCTCCACTTGAAACTTAAATCTAAGCCTAATAGATTTATCCACCAAGCTTCGTAATTCTTTGTTACTCGTTTTCTGAGGAAGGTTTATGATCAACTGTGATGGATGAGCATTTGCCCTAATGAGAAAGTATTGCGCGAGAGTCTCCAATATTGGCAATATAAATGGCTTTATCAACAATCAAGGCTATAACAGCACAAGAACCAGATTTATCTAATACTTTTTGATCTGCTAGTTAAAGGTAGTTTTTTTCAGCTTTTTCTATTCCCCTCGAAATAGCCAATCTTGGGTTTGATGGAAAACAATCTTCCCTTATTATCTACATCAAATTGCGAAGATACATATTAATGCAAATTGTCTCTCATATAGTCAGCACAGGCAGCTCCACCGTGACCATCGTAAATGGCAAAAAATGAACTCTAAGGCCATTATCCTGCAAATGTATTCGAAGCAGGTTTCATCAGATTAAGTATTATTGATACTCTATCCTCATTGTAGGTTCTAATTAATCCTTAATGGGTATTGGCAGCATAGGCAGAAACTATACCTACATTTTTGGTTGAAATTTTTGATGGCTCAATGTGAGGTAAACTATCTATAGGAATCAAGGGAGAGTCAGATCTTTATTACTGCTTTGTCTTTTGGATAACCTGTTGAGACTATCTTGATTTTAATATGTCCTTCTTAAATTAAGGCAGCATTTGTGAATCATCAGATTTGTGATTATCTCTGCTAACATTTATTTTCTTATAGGTTATTATGCTTTGTGATTTACTCTTTTCATTTATTTAACAATTAGTTTCCTTTGCTTCATTATACAAAATATTATATACTCTTGTTAGTATCATCAATATAAGTTGATTTTCCTTTATTGATTTTTTGAGGATTTTGAGAACCTACTAAGGAAGAGGATAAATAGTATTGGGTTCTAATGTTGGGAATGCCTTTTAAAGATTATTATGATTATTTCATAAATTTAATTTTATCAATTATCATTTTAAACGCATAATTCCAAATGTTTTTCTATGTTTATACATATAATCATTTTTCATAACCCTTTGAAAATTAAAAAGCTTTATATCTTACGATTATGTTAAACATTTTCATCTTATAATTATATGTAATATTTAAACATATCTATTAATCTTCCAGCAGAGAATTCATAAATTACAGATTTTCATGATCTTATTAATAATTGTAATCGTTTTTTAATATTTTTAGAAAGTTAAATAGAGAAATATTGAATAATTGATCTTTAAACATAAATGAAAATGATTATTATAAATATATATATATATATATAACTTTCTTATATTCTACTTCATATTTAGAATTCTCATATTAGTATAACTAAGGCTTTATATATTTTTAATTTATTATAAGTTTATTTTCCTTTTTTAACTAAAATATTTTTGATTAATTTAAAATAATTTAATGAGCCTTAGTCACATACATCAAGAAAATAATTATTCAAGTGAAATTGTGAATTATTAGCTTGATCAATTATTGAGTGACTTTGAACACATTTAAAAACTGACTAAAATCAGGGGTAACGATTCGCCATTTTTAAAGTGCTGCACTTACTGCAAAATTCACCATGATTATGACAGTGAACATAATTTAGTTGTAACTTAATACACAGACTCACAATTTATCAGTGATCTAATCTCAGAACATGACACTCTCTACAAAATTTGCAAATGGGCGCATGACAGCATTGAAAAATAACCAATCAGAGACTCAATGTCACCATAAGATAAAGCATGGAGTCATATTTTATCTAAGAATTACAATGAAGTGTATCAATATTTAAGTGATGAAGAAGAATGCATTCTAAATTCTTTGAAGCCTTTTGGATCAGGAGAGAAATTATTTGACTTCATGGAGTTATCAAAATACCAAAATGAGAATTGGGTCCTCACTCTTGAGTTGCTTTAAAAAGCCACATAAAGAGCCCCTTATGATAATAATAAATTATATTTATGGGCAACCTGCTAAAGTGTAGAATGGTAAAGTGGCATTTCTTAATTCAATGAAGACTTATGGTTGAATGTCAGAGCGGAACTATTTTATAAAGTCATGAGTAAACATAATGAAATCTATCCCAAAATGATAAAATGCATCAATTTCGGCATCAATAAGCCGTTCATCTAGCAGCCCAAATTTTATGAACTGAATTGTGGTTACATGAATGACGAGATAGATAGAATTGGTAAGAAATTCATCATCGAAATCATAAAATATATTACATCAAAGAACAATATATTCCAATTCACATAACTCATTAGGGACTCCCTTATCACACTGCAAGCAAAAACTAATGATCTGAAGTAGGCAGCTCTGAGATCCGTATGTTACTTCAACATAGCACTAATGATTTCAGATTTATTGGATGTCGACTTAGACAATGAATTCCATTTGTTGGATTTGATAAAGGAGATTGTAGAATTGATTGAATAAGAATTCATAGATCGAAACACAAAATTATAATACTTGATTCAACTCTTAAGTATTTTGAATCGACAGAAGGCGTTTCAATATTTTATTTCTACAGTTTGCCAAAATATAATTCAGTCCTAAGGAGACTCTCTAAGGTCTCTTCTAAATTACCTGACTGATTTTCAATTTGATAGAGATTTTATCACGAATTTGGCATTTGAATAATTCCCCAAATTAAGTCCTTACCAGTAAAATGAGTTGCTGTCAAAAGAATTTTAGATATACTTCTCATAGAATTCTCTATAACATTAGGTTAATAGTTTACTTCCATACATAATTGAGAATATCGAAAATTTCAAGGATACCTTTAGATTTCTGTTAAAGGAATATTAGAGTTTTCTATAGTAGGAGAGCGAGTACTTTGAGGTGTATATTAAAGAAGAAATTGAGTAAATGTTAAATTATTTGAAAAACAAAAAAATTCCCCCTTATTGGTTTGCGAAGTACATTTAGTTCATTTTAAGTAATCCAAATGAAAATTAAATGTAAATGTATTTCTTTATCTATATTTTATTAGCTTTGGAATAATGGAGGCGATCAAACTGAATGATCAATTATTTATAAATTTGTCCATAAAAAGAGAGTTACTAGCCTAACTTGCAAAAAAGCTGACATCGATCAAATCATTTGTTAATCATTTGCTCTAATGATTTCATTTTTATATTTATATATATATAAGTTTATGCTTCAATGATAGAATGTTTAAATATTTATTGAAATAGAATATGATTTTTTTAAAGGATTTTATTGAACTAAAACATTTATAGAAATGATTTAGGTTATAAATATTTAATAATTTGAATAAATCTATAAACACATTAAAATGTCTGTAAATTCTTACTTTTAAATTCATATGTAAGTTAATTATGACTGTCCAAAGCTTGCTCAGAAATGTTCACCTATATATTGGATAATTAAATTGTTTATGCTCGTATGAATGATGTAAATAGGAATATAAGGGATTGGTTCTTTTGAATCTATTGCAACTTTCTTTCACGCCTAATGATGACATCTCAGAATAACTATTTAAGGATAGAGTTTCCTATTTCGATATATTAATATTATTAAAAAATATTTAACCTATGGGAGCTACTTGTTGCACGGGAACACCCTAAACCTAAGAGATTCTTACTAACGCTCCTATTCAATACGAGGTACAAGTTAAAGGGAAGGATCATTTGGAAACAGTGAAGCCAATAGAAGGAAGAGCAGATAACATAGAGAAAGACCCCGTTAAACCTCAAGAATCCTAAAATGTTCAGATCTAAGAGCCACCATTAAGTGCGAATCCTCCAGATGATGTATAATAATTCAACATATTCAGGCTTTAAGAGAATAATAAAGGTAACAGATTTGGTCTCACGGCCCAAACCCTGAAGATGCTAAATAATATGATAAGGATCCTTTTATCGAGAATGATTAGGTTCGCAAAACTCTGGAAAAACTCGGAAATTATCATTATGACGAAACATCCGTATCACGCTTTCATGATTGTATTGAGTTAGGACCATATGTAAATTATCATATGATAACTCTAGCAATTTGAGAATGGGGCTATATATGTGGGACAATGGAAAAACCACTAAAGATGGGGCAAAGGTAAGCAGTATTGGCCAGATGGATCCGTTTATGAAGGATTTTGGAGTTCTCACACAGCCAATGGAAAAGGACGGTTGATTCATGCAGACGGAGATGCTTATGTAACTGAGTGAGTAATCCCTTAGGATGGAGATTGGGTCGATGACAGAGCCTAGGGACAAGGAACTTATTATCATGTTGACGGAGCAAAATATGAAGGAGATTGGTTGGAAGATTAATAACATGGGAAGGGAACTGAAATGTGGCCAGATGGTGCTCAATATGTAGGAAGTTATGTGAATGGAAAGAAGGATGGAAAAGGTAAATTCAAATGGAGTGATGGCGCAACTTATGAAGGCGATTTTCGAGATAATAATATTGAAGGTAATTACTCTATCTAACAATTCAGGCTTTGGAGAGTATGTGTGGGCTGATGGAAGAAGGTATAAAGGATAATGGTTAAATAATAAAATGCACGGTAAAGGAGACTTTAACTGGCCCGATGGAAAGTAATATAGCGGTATTAGTTTTACTTATTTTTTCAGGGGATTATGTTGAAGACAAAAAGGAAGGCTATGGAATCTTCAAATGGTCTGATGGCAAACAATATAAAGGATATTGGAAGGATGGAAAACAACATGGAAGAGGAATCTTGGTTGATAGAGAATCCAGAGAAGTTGAAGCTGAATGGGTCGAAGGAAGAAGAGTCAGATCAGATAATTGAAATTATCACACATTATTAAAGTGAATACTGTATAGATTTAATATTTTATATTAAATCTATGAAATATCTTCTGAAATTCCTAAATAAATCATGAGTTTGTCTTATGAATTTAAATCACTTGGGTTTTATATACCTTAAAATAACAATTAGAATAAGTAGATCTTTGTACTACTTATTCGCTTATTTTATGAATATCAAGCTTTGTATATACTATTATTAATTAGCTAAGAAATTTCAAACCTTACTCTATTAACCAATAATACATCCCTTTATGACTCTTTAATAATCCTTTGAAATTGAATAGGTATTGTTCAATGTTAATTTGTCATTTAACTACATAAAGGGAAAATGTTGATTCTTTTTACATTAATAATTTATACTAAATAAATGAGATGTTTTAAGTAATTAGAAATTCATCAGTTTCAACATCAGAGTGGATTAAGTTAGGATAGCGCATTTGAATTTATATTAACAACCTTATTGAAGTAATAAATGCAGACATAGATCTAAAATTTAGAGCTATTATTCTTTTAATGAGGAAATACTACATCTGATACAATATTATGGTTTTAGGTATTCTTAATAGAGATGAACGATTCTCAAGAACAAGGAATTAGTATTATATATAGATATTATAATTGAAATTTGTTAATTAAGTAATGCAAATACAATTATAAACACAATATATTTGAAAAACATTAAACAAGGAGAAAATGATAAATTAAAGCATAAAAATTCTCAATTATATTGAATCCTACTTGAGTAAACATTAATTAATCATTTAATCATAGATTTTGAAAAAGGAATTTCCATTTCTTCATCATTATCAGAATCTTATTATTATTACTATTATTTTTTCTCTTTTTCATTATTTTTTATTCCTTTTTCTATGCTCAATTTATCACTTGTTTTATCTCCACTCTCCTTCTAACCACTTTTCTAAGCTTAATTCACCATTTTATTGACATCCTTCTTTGTTAAACCACTTGACTATTTTAATTTATTTCTAAATGAATATTCCTGTTTCGTTGCTTCTTTCTTAAAATCTTCAGGTCTATTACTTTAATGAAATTCTTAACTTTTAGATTCATAAAATGCATAAAACTTTTGATAAGTTATTTTATCTATCTACAAAACCTTTAAGAGTTTTGAAGGTTTGTGAAATATGAAATTCAACAATCCAAATAGATGCAAATTATCAATATCTTAAAATCCTGCTTGTATCATTTCTGCGCAATTATTAATAAATTTCATTCTCTTCTCAAATACATTCAACTTATTTACTGATGCTAAATAGGTGTTGATACACAACTTAACAAACTCATTGAACAAATCATCTGATTACGATTATTATTTGTGTTATGAATAGATTTTCATAAATTTCCAAAATTCATCCCTTCTTGATACTTGATCATTCTCAATAACCTTCTATAATGATTATGAAAGAGCTTAAGTAATTGATATTTTTAAATCTCTAATGTACGTGTGATTTTTCATTAATTCCAGTATTTAGGCTAAATACTGAATTCCAAATTCTTTATTCAATAAAATCGAAGGGCATTAGTTAATTAATTTGATAGAATTATTAAGCAATTCCATTTATTGAACACTCAACTAAGGTAAGTTCTCTATCATAGAATGTGTGGTTCTTCTTTTTATTTCATTCACATTGTCTTCCTCCCTGTTGGACTGTCTAATTAATTCTGTAAAAAGAAATTCATGCAAATATATATAGAGCAAAGAATAGGTTTACGTTTGAATTTCTTGATGTAAGCCTAAGCGTTATAATTTAAAATTATTTGTATAGATCAAATTAGTAATAACTAATTGGAAAATTTAGAGATGAAATCTCTCTTTGTTTCTATTTTCTAAAATTGAAAAACAATAGTTATAAAAGGATTCGCGTATCTCCTTGTAATCACTTTCAGTCTCAATGTCTTAATTCTTCATTTGATTTAATAAAACTTTTAAGTAATTTTATAAACTTGATGCAAGTAAGTTAGCTACAATTACTATACTCTTGTCTTCTTTGATTTCAAAAATCTAATTAAAGGGATTCAAAATCATCTTTGCATTCGCCAAATTGTTTTTAATTAAACATTCAATCTTCTGAATTGTAATTAGTGTTAATTTCTCCTTAAATATCTTTTAAGAGTATTTAATTATTTCTTTCACATTTTCCTTTACCATCTCAGAATCTTAAAGCACCTAACTACAATTATATACCATTTTGCATAATTAATTGATAACTTAAATATTCTAACTCTTTTAAAAAATCTTCTATATACATCCAAGAATTGACTTAATAAATTTACTTTGTATAATTTTAAAATTCAGATTCGCAAATATGTGTAAGTATGGCAACTATAAGTTCTACAATAGATATAGTTTTAATAATATACTTCATCTATCAAATCTAATGAAACTTTTGTATTGCTAATAAGATAATTTGTGAATGCATCATTATATTAAGGAGGTCCATAAGATTCTTCCAACCACCAAAATTTCGTATATTTAAATTCATATTGCAAAAGGGATGCATAAAAATATAATCCTAAACTCTAAAATATTTCTCCTTAATTGCTATCAAAGAATGCTGCATATTAATCAGGTGAAGTAACAAATGGGTGACTGTGGATGAATGAGATAATAAAGTTGAAACTTTCCTCATAACTTTATAGTTCAAATGGAGCATATTTCAAATAAAACTCAACCAATTTTTCAACTGATTTAATGGGCTTTTCAAACAAATGCAAGATTGAAGTTGAATCATACCTAATTCTTAAATTTTTTGAAAATAGTATTCGAATAAATGCCTAACAAGTTTTAGGACCAAAGAAATTCGAATTAATTTTTGTAGATTAAGATAATGCCTATAAAAATATTGATTTAATTCTTTACTTTTAAAAAATTGATCAATCTTAATTAAACACTTTCATTTGGATCAAAGATTAGACTCAAAATTGCTTCTTATTCCCCCTTCAAAAATTCAAGAACAGTTTCTAATGATTTTTTTCTCTCTACTAAATGCTTATAAATCTTTTCTAGCTCTATCATGGATGCTTCTCTACACTCGTGATTTTCACTTAAAAATAGATAGCCTAATTAATTATGGTATGGATCATTTGGAATTGAATTATTTAAAAAAGCGCTAAAAAGGATTTGTATTGATTTCTTTTTGATTGCAGATTAAACATCCTGAGTTCTATTTGTAACTAAGTATTCAAAAATATTATTAATAAATTACAGAATCTCTTTTTGTTTGTCTTTATTCTCTAGAAATATGATAAATTTTAATGTTACCATTTATTTCTAAACAATTAAGTATGGAAGTCGTAATTATTGAAATAATTTCAATTGCTGCTAATCTTGCAGTCCTGAATTTGGTTTATGACAATGTTGCCAACCAATTAAAGGTGTACTAAAAGAAATGATCACATTCGAAAGGCAATTCTGTTTGTGTTGAGAATAAGGTGTCAAAAAAATTGATAAGCTTTTTATTATTCTCTACTTTTAGGCATTATTCCTCATCTATTAGAGTTTATTGATTTTCTGTTTATAGTTGTTCTAATTTGTTAATGATTTCTTCTAATTTGATTTTCTCCAAATTCATTCCCTTTAAATATTGATTACATTAATCTAAACCAACTAATTTCAAGTAGAAATTAAGAAAGCTTAATAATACAATCTAACTACTTTCTTGTAATTGATCTTCTAATTTTAATATTACTTAAAACTATTTCATGTCTGGGTCTTCCATCATGTCTACATATATATCGTGATTGATACCAAAAATATTGATTAATTTGTATTCGTCTATTGATTGCAATTGTGATTGTTTTTTAGTTTATTTTTTGGTTCCTTTCCTCATTAATTTGTATTCAAATTTAAATAAATTAATAATTATTTTTTTATATTTCCCTCTTCACAAATATTTATTATATTTAGGATTCTTTTAATAAATTCAACAGTTATTTAAAAATAAATGTTTAGTATAAGTATAAAAATATTACATAGTTTATGACATATTTTTTATATTTGGATAGCTTATTGTTAATAATATTTTTGGTACAAAACTCTATAAAAAGTTACTCATAGAACTATTTCCAATCATTAATTTATATAACAAAATTATGAATTTAAGATATTAATTTATTGAAATCTATGTCAAAGTGTTATATTTGGAAAATAGGAAAACGAATAACTTACAATAGAGCAAGTTAATAAAATTATTAATTAATTGAATATAAAAATTTTAATGAATTTAATATAACAATGTTCATTAAAATCAGACCAATTTGTCACTCAAATGAAAATTTCTTGTTCTTCGAAATTTTATTCTTTTATCCTCATCGTGCTACTCTTCCTTAATTTCTGGTTTTGAAATATGCTATAATGGTTTCGAATTTTCTGATAACTAATCTTTGGTAACTTGACCATTATTCATATCAATCACAAATATGGACTGACGAAAAGAGACTGTTTTTTTATGATGTGGTGGTTAATGCTGATTACTTGATGAGCTAGATTGTTCAGGTAGTGACGATTGATGGGATGGTTGTGTTAAATCGAATTCTTTGGAATTTCTATCATCATTCGTTTGAATTGGAGTACCTTTGTTTACAATAGGAGTGCTTTGTTTCGAAACAGGAGAGAGTAAAACTTGAGAATCAGTTGGAAGACTACTCAGAGTTGAAATTTTATTTTTAGGTGTAGAATAATGAACATTTCTATCGTTATGATCTTCAATTTGAGGCAAAAATTACTGAGATCGATGACTGTCTTTGATATATAATTTTTATTTTTTTAGTTTTCTGATGGTTGTTTAAACAAACAAAAATTGATCCTAGGAATCTTATTGAATTTAAGTTCTCCTAAACACAGGACTTACAGCTTCACTTTTGGGCAGAGTTTATTTTATTATTTAATAATCAGTAACTTATCTTTTTTATGGAGATATTAACGGAAGGTGAAAATCAGCCTCATTTAAAAATAGAGATGGTCTAATTGTTCTAGCACTTAGATATTAAGGTGAAGTTACACCAGATTTTTGATCCATCATCCTGATATCTGATATTGTTTTTGAATGGGTGTTTGAGTGCATAAGATATCGCTGTGTATAAAATTTAATATTTAATAGTCAGTGATTAACTTTAGATGTGGATATGAATTTAGAAATCAAATCATAAGCAATATATATAAGAATATATTACGCCCAATTATATATATATTTTTATATAATAAAAATAATGTCTAATCCAATTATTGAAGATTCAGGAACAGGGTATTAATTCAATCTTTGTTAGATATCTAAAAATAGGATTTGCAGGTGATAATTTTCCATCTCATTCCTTTCCAGCTATGGTAGGAAGGCCAACACTTAGAGCAGATGAGTAATTGGATGATGCCAACTTGAAAGTATAAAGAAATACACATCGTTTAGGATATTATGATAGGAGATGAAGCTTAGCCATATAGAGGATTATTAGAATTGACTCACCCCTTAGAAAGAAGGAGTTGTGAAAAATTGGGAGGATATGGAATTAATTTGGGATTATGGTTATAAGAAAGTAAGAAGATTATAATAATTGTTAAGTTAGGCATTGATCCAAAGGGTTAAACTGTATTGATGACAGAAGCTGCTGGAAATCCAAAGAAAAATAGAGAGAAGATGGCAGAAATAAAGTTTGAGAAATTTGGATTTGGCTAACTCAACGTAGGAATCCAGGCTTTGCTTCCCTTATTTGCAGAAGGGTTGAGAACAGCCTTATTACTTGATGCAGGAGATGGTGTCACCCATTGTATGCCAGTATATGACGGATTCTGTTTGAATCAAGGAGCTTAGAGAATGAATATTGCAGGAAGACATGTTACAGACCAATTAGTCAAATTATTATTCCAAAGAGGATACGCCTTCAATTCATCAGCTGATTTTGAATTAGTAAGAGAAATCAAAGAGGCTTTATGCTTTGTAAGTTCAGATATCAGAATGGATACTAAATTGGCACAAGAGACAACCTGTCATGAAAGTACATTCAGATTGCCTGATGGAGGAAGAGTTAAGATTGGTCAAGAAAGATACATGGCTCCAGAAATCTTGTTTTCTCCATGGTTGCTAGGTAAGGATGCTCCTGGATGTGCTGATATCGTGTTCAATGCCATCTAAGTAAAAAATATTTCATATAAAAAAATAGAAATCTCCTATCGATGCAAGGAAGACCTTCTATGAAAACATCCTTATAAGTGGAGGTACTACGATGTTCCCAGGATTTCCAACTAGATTGTAGAATTAATTGAGAACCATTTTCGAAGAAACTGTATTAAAAGGAAATACTGCATATGCTGCTAATTCTAAAATTAAAATTAAAGTCTTGGTACTTATTTCAATTTTAACATTCTACTTTAGGATCCCGCAAGAAGAAAGTACAATGTGTTCATTGGTGCTTCTTTCCTGTCTAATGTAATGAAGGATAAAAAGAATTTCTGGATCTCAAAAGAAGATTGGGAGGAATAGGGAGCTGAAAGAGCCATGATGAAAGTTATGGAATCTTTAATATGAAATAAATAGTCGTATTGCAATTTGATATTGACAAATAATTATTTCTTAATGTATTAAAAGAATAGTTTGAATGATCTTACACCAATCTCCTTAAGAAAATAAACACACCAAGGAAAGAACAAACCTTTTTGTCCTTCCTTGTTTTTAAATCAAATTGACAGTTAACCCAAAAAATTTGAGGAAGAAAAACTACAAAAACAATTGGAGTTAGAAATACCAGAAGAAATAATACTTCCTAAGACTGTTCGAAGAAGGCATGCTATTGGGAATGGATTGTCTCCTTAAAAAACAGATCAAATCCTACCCAATATCCCAAGTCTCTCTTTACATGTGACCATGCAAAAAAGGAACATGGATGATCTTCTTTAATTTTAAGAAATTTAAACTTTAAGGGAGAATACTGAAATGGAGAGCATCAACAAAAAAATCAAATCTATCATCAATAGTAACAAAAGATAAGTTTCTTTTTAAACCTCTCATGTTATTATTGATGAATTTGATAATTTTGAAGAAGTCCAAGAATTACCAACTTAAAGATACCAGGTCCCAAGGAGACGAACACATCTCAAATAGTTAACAACTAAAATCTGAGTATAATAATCTTGATAATCTTCATATTAAATTAATTTAATATATCCATCGATGATATATCATGAAATATATTTTAATAAAGTCAAATAATTAATTAATATATTTATCTATATGTTTCAAAAAGGAAAAAAAGAATCAAACCCAGATAACTTTAATCCTGGTGTTGGACTTTATGATATTATTACTAAACTGGAGAAACAAGCGCCTATCATGCATTCAGATAAACAAGGTCATCATAAAAAACATGAATCATATCCCCAAAGTGATTCATAACTCTCGTTTGATAGAAAAGTTGATTTAAATTATCCTCTACATAGTTATGCAAGTGGAATTTAAAGAGTTAGATAAAATAAAATATATCAAGAACTCAAGAAATAAGTTAAATTTGACAAGAAACTAAATGAGTTTTATCAAGAATTTGATAATCAAGTGCGTTCAACTATTAAAAAGGGAAAACTTGTTAAACTATAGAAATTATAAAGAAGCTCAAAATAATCATTAAATGAATCCCAATCTATTTATTTAGGATCATAATCACCAATCAGCAAAAAATCTACAAGCCAATAATACTTGAAACATCCGCCTAAATTGCAATCATTAGAAAGTTTAGAACTCTTTCTTTTGAGAGATAAATTATAGAAAGTATAAGATTTTCCAGGTCCCGGTTCCTATGAGTTGCCAAGTGTTTTCAAGTAATCAGATAGCAGAGTTTAACCCTTTGGAAAACAGTAAGGGAGAACTAAATAAATAGATCAAGAAGCATCAGTTGGTGTTGGATAATATAATATACAAGATTAATCAATTATCAAAAGTGTTATAAGGTTTGATAAATACTCCAAAAGAATTAGCATTTTTGAAACAAAATAAAATTCTCCAACCTATTATGATAATAACTCAAATCTTATCAGCAATCAATCCAAGCTAAATCTCGAATTTCCTAGTGCCTTTGGCTCTACCTCCAAAAGATGAATAGTAATTTATATTTAATCCTATTTCATACCAACTATATATATATTTTATTAACTAAATTAATGCGAAATCAATTTGATTTTTTCTTTTTATATTATGGTTTGATCAACTAGTTTACATAGCCTATAGAATTTTTGGATAAAGAGGGTACTAAAACCAGGATTAAGATATCAAAGCATATCTTTTTAATTTGAAATTGATATTAGAAATAATTTTAAAAATTAAGATTCGAAGCTGAGCTGATTGCATTAGTAATTTGAAATTAACTGAAACCTAATAAAGAACCCCATCTTTTTAATGGTGACCTTGGTTTCTCCAATAAGCCTGAGGTATTATTTGGAGTTTATTTATAAATTCTGATATTCAATTTAAAATCTTATAAGGAAAAGTAAGGAGATTTGAATTTATATTTAATATTAAATTTATCTTATGACTAAAGAAGCCAAAAATATTTCAGTTTTTTTAAAGAATCTTGATTTTCTTGCCTAATTTTATTCATATTTAAAGGAGGAATTGTATTTAAAGTGTTTGGCATTAAGTGTGGAAAACGTACAAAACACAATTCATAGAAATCATCAAGACATAGAATTATAACAAATTTTGTATCATTAAATTTTTTTATAAAAATAGAAAAATAAAATTTGCTAAAAACAAAAATTAAAAGAAATATTAATATCCTCATGTCAAATAAAACCCAAATATCAACACAAGCATAGGCCACTGGTGATGATGTGCCAATAGTGTCTGCAATTTAATAAATAAATTTAAATAATTAACATTAAGAAGATGTTCCTCTAAAGACAAGATTACCTGCTTCTTAAATAAACTAAAATTTGAATTTAGGTCATTAGGTAAGTGATAATTTTCGATAACCTATTCAATAATCTATTCAATAACCGTTCTCATAACATTTTGTAATATAGTAGAGATAATAGCAATATGAAATGATTCAACAAAAAAAGTAATTAGATCAACCTAATGAGATAGAAGATGATAATAAATCATCAGAAAATTAAGAATTCAAAAAAGAGGATAAATGTATTGTTATATGATAGTACTAAGTAATTTTGCTGGCACCCTCCTAACCTTATAGTAGAGAACCTTAAGTTCTTAAATGCGAAAAATGCTAGAATGTTATGATATCAAAGGTGGAATCAAAGCCAGGATGGGGAAGCTGTCTTTGTTGCTGTTTAATGTTTTTAACTCCTTTTTTCTTTTTGTTTTTTTTACCCTTTTGTATGAGAGTATTAAGTATATGATAAATAAGTAATGCAAAGATGCTCATCATTATTGCTAATCCTGCTCAAATAAACTCGGAACATATTATTTTATTTGTGAATGAATAATTATCGTATATTGTCTTAACTTTGAATATTTCAAAATAATAATATGATATAATAATGTTTTAGAGTGGAAAAGTTAAAATCTAATTCATTTATTTTCACATTACATAAATACTTGAATAAAATATTTCTAAGCTCTCCAATCTTTGTTAATTAAGACAATAAACATCATGGAAATAGAATATAGAAATATAAAAAAATAAAGAAAATTTTAAATATATATGTAATAGAATCTAATTTACATATTTGAAATATTTCAGATTAATTTTTATATCAAATGAAGGTTTATTCATTATTGAGCTTCTTATTAAACTAAATGGATTGTTATAGGATTGCTATCCCTAATTTAACATTTAACAATATCGATTTAAGGATGAAAGACATCTTTGATTCTGAAAATATTAAGATTCTAAGTCTCTTCATCCAATACATAAATAGAATCTTTATAAACAGCCATTGATAAATCATCTTGCAATGTTCTTTCATAATCTCTAGGCGCTTTTTCAGCATAAGCTTCTAAATTTTCTTTTTCATTTTTCTTTTTGCCAATTGGATTCTTAATTTTAAATTTCAAACTAACACCAGCTTTAACAAGTTCGAAAACCTCAATAAAAAAGTCCTCTTCAGTTTTGTAATAAGATATGAATAATTTTGGACTCACCATATCAACAATTGGTTTTGTAAATCTTGAATTTACGAATGGAGATTTGAAGGATAAATCAACATTGAATTCCCAATTATCTTTCAATATATCATAGGTAAAATAAATGAGTTTGTCCGAAGTCAGATCGATCTCACTTGAAACACCGCCAAATAAGAATATCATATTCTTGTCTGCATCATGCAGGGCTGTTCCTCCATAGATGTTGATCGGTAGATTTTTTAAAGGCTTCCTAAAGAAATTGATTAGAACAATAATATTACCATTATTTGGTCTTAATAGTGTAGACAAAGACCTTATCAGTAATTTATTTGTTTAAGTTTTCTCCAAGTTCATAGCCTCCAATCACATAGATTCTGCCTTCAGCATATAACATAGATGGACTCAAGATTGGGGCTGGAATGTCAGGTAATCTCTTTAAAGTAACAGTCTGTGTGTCCTTGTGCTTATTGTATGCACACTCATAAAGGTGCTGTGTTTTCATATCCTCCTTAATAGCTCCAGATATATAAATAACATCGATAAAGTTAAAAGTGAACATGCAGTGTTTAGATATTTTAAAGTTAGTTTAGTTTGGTTTTAAGATGCAGACTTTCATAAATCTTGGGTCCTTCATATTTTCTAATGGAGTTATGATGATGTAGTTCTGGCCATAACCAACCCATAAGATTGCCTAAGCCTTGCTTTGCATTTCATTGAATTCAATATTTTAAGCTGTCAATGATTTGCTCAAATTCAAGGCTGAATTCAATACATTGATATAGGGTGTTTTCTTAGGTAATTTGTAAGTCGACTTTAAAAATTCGCTGAGACCATCATAAGCAGTGATTTAAGGATTTGTAAAATCCATAGTGTCAATGTCCTACACTCTTTAAAGTGTAGCTAGACAATATAGAACCTTCACTGCATCATCAATATCAGTAGAGAAATTCTTCCTATTAGCTACATACCAACCTGATATTTTAATAATTCCAGCTTTTGTAAAGCATAAGCTATTAGTTGATAAATTTCCATGTTCCATATGATTGTCTTTCAATTCTTTTAAAGCCTTAAAGATAATTTTTACAATCAATGCTAATTCTTTTGCTTCAAAAGGATTTTTATAAAGTCTTCTATTTTCGACTTCAGAGTCTAAAGTAGTTGAAATTTCCTCATTGACATAATACATATAAAACGAATTTTCTAAAATAAAAGTTTTGATTACTTTCCTCTGAACATGCAAAGTATTCAATAGGAGTCAATAGGATTTCTGAAAGAATCTTCTTATTAAATGCTTGGAACAACTAGGACACTTCTACCAAAGACTCAACTTTGATCTGATGTAAATAAAATTTTTGCTTTTCTTCCATAGTTTCAGCACTTAAATAAGCCTCATTATGATCTGCATATAAGTCTTTAATCACACCATATTATCTGACATGCTGATAATTATAATTATTATATAATACCTTTGAATATCTTCGAAACACACTTTCATCCACCTGTTTTTATTATGCCTTTACAACAAAACTTAGAGTTTTAGGAATGAAAAGCAGTAAGTCTTAATTAGTGTGCAAAGAATAGCAATTTAACAATTCTATGCAGGCTTAATTTGGAAGAATATTAAAGACACAATGAACTGTCTCTATCTCCTTTCTAGCTAAGCAATGCAAATATCCATTCTAAAATAAAAAATTATGTCCTCCAGCATCCAAACACTTTAGTTCGAAAGGTTGGTTTCTGGTTTCATAAGCATTCTGATACAAAATTGGATTTTCCTTGTTGTTCTCTTTGTAATTCTATAATTAGTTAAGAGAAGCCAAAGAATAAAAACATCTAAAATTAAAATCCAAAATCAGCATGTTTTTTGATGCTTACATTAAAAATACTCCATGCTGAACTTCTATACAATATACGATATGTTTAATTTTAAAGTTTAATAGACAAAACTACTTGAATATTTCATCAGTGCTGCAAGCAAATCTCAATAATCCTTCTTTGAAATTCCCTTTTCTTTTAGAGACGTCGTAATAACAATATCTGATTCCATTTTAGAATACATTATTATAATCAGGAATACAATAAATGTAATTGTTATGTGGATCAAAGAAATGAAAAGAACTTCTATGCCATTAATAATTCTTCGGCCCTTAATAGATTTTGATTACTTTTTTGGTTATATATTCATCATCTCCGTAATTATAGACATCTTCTTCATTATCATTCTTTACTAACTCTAAATTAAATGACACTTCAAAAGAATTAAAATAAACTTCTTAAGTAGCTTCATCTGCTTATTATTATTAATTCATGACCATAATTTTCGATAATAATTTTGGTTCTTACTCCAAGACATTCTACTACTATTATTACTACTTGTTGCCCTTTTTATTTTCTTTCTTATCCTCAATCACTTCTAAAGGCTACTCTTAATTAGCTTCATCTTCAGTTGTAAAATTAATCACCAATAGTTATGGATCTTCAAATTTGACATTCTTTATATTTCTAAACAATTCAACTTCTCGCTTTTAACTAATATTTCCTCTGTCATGTGATTCATCATACACTTTTAATAGGAATGTAGATGTGTTATGACTAAAGAAGAAGAACTTATCTTCGGTAGGATGATAAACTACATCAGATTCTATTTTGAATGGCTGTTTCTTTCTATAAACCTTCAAAAAATGAAATTTATTAGTTTCGTAATTATACAAATGAATTTGATTTGCTTTAGTGAAATATAACCAAGGAGATGCCTCAGGTAATGTCTTTTCTTTATGATATTATAAATAGGCTCCAAGTGAATCATTTTTAAAATAGGTTTGCATTCCTTTTTAACGAACACTTTTTATGGCATGATTAATCTCACTCATTTTCGGAATGTCAAATTTATCAAAGACACTCATTTGTTCGATTAACTGCATAATCATTTAAGGCACATCATTTTCAAATTGAGATGCTATTGACTATTTATAGTTATCAACCAATCTAAACTGATTAAGCATATATATATATACCCTTCCCATTCATCTTAATTCAATCGAAGTTCAATTAGCGAATCAAAAGTGTATATCTTATGATCAACCAGAAACAGAAATAATAATGAAAAAATCACACAATCATATATGTAGTAATCACTTTCTTATTAAACAAAGTGTTTGATAATTTTCTAATATGCTTAAATTTAATACTTATTCTTTAAGATTAGTTTATATAGATGGATTACTTAAGAGAAATTTTTTACCGTCTTTTGTTAAAATGCTTTCCGGCCTTAGGAAACGATATGCGAACTTTTCTTTGTGTAGTTAATTTAACGCATCACTAACTTGTTCCAAAACGAGTAAACTTTGCATTAGAGATTCTAATTTTAAATTTTCCAGAGAGTCGCTCAGCGTATTGTATTTTGGTATCATTCTATCTATTGCATAGAGAGTTTTCTCTGGCCTCTATTGCAAATTGGTTGATTCAAATTAACTGATTGTTAATGAAGTAAACCTTAACAAACCTTCAGCGCTGACTTTGTTCATGTTATACAAATATGATATATTATTCGAGGCATTATCAAAGCTCTCAAAAAGAGAACGCTTAAATATTAATTATGTTCCAAAACCCTAAACTATTTCATAATTAAGTTACATCTAGAACTTCAGCTGTAATTGATGAACTTGTTGTCTTTAGAATTCTTGCTACTTTATAACCTTTTGGTTTTAGTAGATTCGTGCAGTGTTTCATTGGATCATCCCAGTTCACTAAATCTTCATCTTGGATCTCCAGTTTATGAATTTGGTTTATCTCTTATGTTTTTTTATTTAATTGTTGCTAGAACACCGATTATGATGAAATTGTTTGCCCTGACCTTAAACCTAAATGTGCTTTCTTTGTTTTTGGAATTACTCTTTTATTATTCGTTCCACAAATAGAACCCATATGAGAATTTAATTATAATTATTATTGTTATTTGTATAATAATATTTATTTATAAATATAAAATAAAGCAAATTCAGCCTGATTAGAGGCTACTTATGGAATTTTAGTAAATGTATGAGGATGATACTTTTGAATCCAGATGTTAAAAAGTTGATATATTAACCTTGTCTTTCTGTTAAAATGAAATTCTTTTAATACTTAATCATTCAGAATTTTAAATATGATAACAATTTTTATTTCTCAAAAATCTAATTTTAAAATAAAAACTGAGAAAATTTTTTGATGTAATTTTATGTTTTATTTAAATCATCCATAATATGGCTAATTTGGATTTTGATAACCCTACGGATTATGATTTTAAGCTGGAACCAAAACTCCACCAGTTGCAGGTTGATACTTATAAGAATCATCAAACTGTACAGCAACAGCCTAAAAATAATAGTGAATTGATAATTACGTTCATAACTTGTGGATTCCATCCAGAAGGAGCCACAACTGGTTAATCATAACTTGCTATTGGCTTGGCTACAATCCTGATGGGAAATTCTATTCCTGGAGTTGTTGTACAGCATAAGCAAGTTCCATCTAAATCTCCAGTAGCAGAGAGTTGGTAGTTATTCATCACAACCTTTCCATTTGTAGTTGGATCCAAGGGTTAATTTCTACCTTAATCAACTAATGATAAGGTCATGTTCTTTCTTTGCTCATTTAGAGCAGATTGGCCTGCTTGAAGTCCTGGAATCATTGAAGTTCCGCAACTTCTATGTATTAATTTCGAGTGGCCCTATTTACTCACAATTCTTAATGTGTTTGTCAATCTTCCTGTGATTGTTGGGATGCCAACTTTAGATTGAGAATTATCAATCTCTACTTGTAATTAAGCAATTTCACCAGGCTAATAAGCTGTTTTATCAAATTGAAACTTAAACAAAATAGTCTAAGGATATATATAATTAAATATACTCCTAATGGTATACAGCAACATGAAGTTGGCTATAAAACCTATGAGCCTTCGCTTTAATTGATTTACTCCTTAATAGGTTCTCTAACAAGAAATTCTTATTTATATTTGACCTTATCTAAATTTTTATTTGGTGAATCTATTTCAGCCTTAACACTATATCTTATTTTGCACTCTAAATCCTTTTCTTGATATTGAAATGAGCCTGGCAGGTTTTCTTTCAATTTAAAACTGAAAGGAAATGTATATTGTCCTAAAGGAATCATTCTCTCAATAATTTGAATAAATACCCTTGTTAAAAAATGTAAACTGGAATTTTGTGTTGATAGAACTCATTTTCGTTATCATAATGTTCCGTAACTTATTTTGATCTTCTTTATGGAGGATTAGTTCCTGGAACATTTTCCCAAACAGTTTTGACTTCTGTCCATTTAGCCTTTTCAGATCCTTTAACTTTCAAGTAAATTGTAGAACTAGGGAATGCACCTCCCCCCACATTCAAGTAAATATTGCCTTAAATTACCTTATATGTTACCTTTGACTTCTTCACCTGCAAAATAAAATGGTTTATCAGTACGAATGTACAAACCACTTTGTTTAGAATGGTCGAATCCTTAGCCATGTTAGTTTCCCATAAGTAAATTAAATTAAATATATGATTATTAGAATACGTAGTATTATAATTGGATTTGAAATTTTATAACATAAGGCATCAAATTATATTAAATTTAAAATCATGATAATCAATACTTTAACAAAAATAGAAATTAATACGGAATCGAGTAATATTATATTCAATTGGGAAATTGCTCTTTTAATTTTAAATAAAACTAAATATTTTATATTATTCATTCACTTCCACCGCCTGGACAAGCAGCTTATGGTTTTTAAGAATAGAAATCGTAAACAGATTGTTTCACCTGATTTATAAGATCAATTTGATCCTTTCTTACCTGGCTTGCCTTTTCGTATTCCGACAAGAAGTCCTTGCACATTCTATCTACTGAATCCAACATTTACAGATTTCTCACCTAAAATAATCACAATAATTAATATACTTTTTTTCCCCTTGCAGTATCTACAATAGCTGTTTATTAATTTATACACATACTCATAGCAGTTATATGATCTCTTAATTATTATTCTGTTCTTTTTAAATTATTAAAATACTCAACCAAATGGATATTTCGATCATCATATTCCTAGATTTATAAATCTTCAACTTCTTAATAATCTTATAAATTTTTTTATAAAGTTTGTTCGAAATTGACAATTAATTGCTTTAGTTTTTCATACACTTCTCTATATCCTCCATTTTCAGTTGCTACTTATGCAAAAATTTCTGAAATATCTACCAAAGGTTGATCATTCTTAGCCATTACTGCTGTTTAAATAAAAGCCATGGCTACTTTTCCTAATTCAGCTAAAGAGCAGTCTCCTCCAGTAAATCCATCTAATGTAAGTAACACTTATTAAAGTGAAGTTAAAGCATCCAAGTGATCTCTCCTTTTATTTGAAAATAATCTTGCTGCTTCATCTCTAATACCTTTCAAAATTTTGATATCACTATCTGTAGTCTATTTAGGATTAATCAAAGTACTTTTTAAGACTCCAGATTATTATCTAGTTCAGATCTAGCTTTATTATTTGATGTAGAACAATTTTCTAATTATTCATTTGCTCTAGAACCAACTTATTCAGCATCTTTTATGTCTTTTTTTCTTAACTCTAATTCTAATGAACATTAATTTCTTTGTTAAGTGTATAGTTAATCATGCCTAATTTACTCTTCATCTATTGTTGATTTTAGATTATCCAAAAATGCTATTGTTGTGGTTTGTGCTCCACCTGATTTTATTTAAGTTTGCAATTCCGTTAAGATGCTTACCAAACTTGGCTTTGGATTTCCAATGATCTGATATTTCTCAAGTATTTGCGAATATCCTATAATCAATAAAAAATACAGAGCGATTAGTTTCATAAAACGAATTAAAATATATTAAGTCAAATGATAATAATATTGCAAGACATAAAGAATACTAAACATTGTTTCTCATTTAGGTTTAAACAAGAAAAAAGCACCATTCCAGCCTTCGAAAAGAAAGGGTTGTCTTAATCAAGAATCATATTTATAAACCAGAATAATATTAAGAAGAGAAACAAGACAAATTAATAGTTAAAGCTAAAGAGTTATTATATAAACCAGTTTAGAGAAAGAATATCATATCAGAATCCCTATTAGTGCAAATGATATCAGAGAAATATGATATGCTCAAAGATGATGCTGATGATAACACCGCTTATCATCATATTCAGCTCAGCATAGTGAAATTATAGGAACAAGTAATACTAGGCCAAATTTGATGAAGTAAAGCACAATTTAAGAATGTCTAAAACCTGTTATCCTGAAACTCTTACAGTTCCATAACAAAAGGTTAAGGTATAAATGTTCGAAAAAATGTAGTAAGCATAACATTGAATCACCTATTAACAACACAATCAGATAAACAATCAATGATTTCTTATAAAAAACAAGAAAATCCTTTAAAGATTTCTAAGCTGACGCTCGCATTATTAAAATCTCAAATAGCATCATCGACTATATAAGTAAAGAACTGCCACTTACTTCTAATAATGATTTTCAATTCAAGATTTTTTATATATTATGATAACTTTATAGATCCATTTAGTTATCAAATTTTACAGAAGGATCAAACATATTGAGAATTTGAACCAATGTAAGATATTAATGTTGTTATTATTATTAAAATTTAATTATTAAATCAATCTTGAATATAAATTTAATGCTTCGATATAATTTTTCGCTTTAGTCAAATAATTTCTTAAGGTTTATTACAAACTTAAATTTAAAAGATTTTTCCGCAATGATCCTATTGACATTTTTATCAAACGGATATTCATATCATTCAAAGATAGTTCAAAAACTGAAAATAATGGAACAAAATAGATTAATATCAATTGAATGATATTTAATATGTGGAAGGTTGTTCAACCAATTATTAAATTTATAAATATCGAAAAAAAATGCCAAAATAAGATAGAAAAGTTTGCCTAATAAAAAAATTCAGAAGTGAAAATCTAAATATAAGAAATATTAAGATATGAATGTTGATTATTTTCTAATATAAATTCGTTTAATAATGACTAAAAGTTTAGTTATAAAAACATTTATATTTACACTATCTAACTGCCTCAACATAAGATAATGTAATCCTTGCTATGTGTAAGGGTACAGCAAAGGAATGTATGGAGAAAAGCGAATGATATCAACAATGAAATATCAATATATTAGTGCGAAGCAGTCAACGGCATAAAAGATTTACAGTCTCATATTGCAGAGGACAATTCCTATGAAAAATTTGAGACATGCTTGAATAAGAGTTTTGCAGCAGGAAAGCGTTTAAAATTTGCTAAGACTTAATGCCCAAATTCTGCAGCTTAATTTGCGATTATGATTTTCAACTCTGCTTAATCTTAGTCCTACATATCAATAGACTTTAAAAAAATGATCAATAAATTAGTCAAATTCATTTCCCTCTAATTTTACAATGTCTCTGTTTGCTTTGAACAATTCTTGTCATAATTCCAAGCATTATACCATACTTATTAAATATTTTTGAATTTGTTTAAAAAAAAATGCGAGATTAAGACAATTAAATATTGATTACAGTTTTATATATTGCATAAACTTAAATATTTTCGTTTAAAATGTGTAACAATATTGATTGAACTATTTAAAATTAACAATCTAAATTAAGCAAGTTTAATAGAATAATACATATATAAAAAATCAAATTATTATGATTTCTCTTGTCAAATTTATTAAATCAATTAATTTACGCAATTGATTTGTAGAATTACGTTATCCTTGCACATCATTGAATTTATTAAGAACATATCTATATTTCAGAGCATAGATATTGATAAATTTAGTACTAAACCAAAATGCAATTTAATTTATTTTTTAATTCTTTCAAGCTTTTACATCTTTGATTAATTTGTATTATTTGTATGAAATAGTCTTTGTAAATGATAAGTTTTATAAAAAAATATAATAATTAGAAAGCAAATTGAAATTTATAATAATTTTAATATAATGGGTTAAGCTTGTGGCAAAAATCATATACATGAGAGGGCTGAATCAATCCACTATGAAAAGAAAATAATTAGAAGTGTAAAAGCTGAAATTCGTTCAAAATATTCTAAAACCTAATCAATTAAATAAGTATGTGGGAGAAAGGAATATTTAACTTTGTTAATGCAACCTGAGCTTTATCAGGAGCTTCAAACTAAGCTTGCTAGCGAATAAGATATTAGTAAAGAAAGCATATAAATCGTTTTGAATGTATAAAATCAACTATTCTAAGATATTTATATATTGTAATTTTAAAGGAGAGAAGATTAAGAATTGCTTTAATTTGCTAAATACTAATAATGATTATAAAGAAGACTTAAAATTAATTGGAATCTATCGAGAATCCTCATTAAAATGTCATAAGAATGATTCATGCCTATTGTGCTTATCTGAAAATATAGAGTGCTATAGTTTAAGGTGTTCACATAAGTTTTGCAAAGATTGTTGGGATCAAATGATAGAAATATAGTTATCAAACTTTATACCGATTGTGAAATGTTTAGAATATCAATGTTTCGAAAGATTACCTCATTTGTATTTGGAATAGAATTCGTCTTACAAAGAAATATTGGTTAAGAGGATGTTGGATAATGATAGAAATTTTACTTGGTGTCCAGGTAAAGATGAATTATTATTTATAAGGATTTTCATGTTAAAACATTTATAAATTAGAGTAATTTTCATAAAAATAGAAATGCCATTGTGGATTAAAGTTTTGTCCAAGTTGTAAGACCGAAAATCATTATCCTATAACTTGTCATATTTTTAATGAGATCACATAGTTTAAAGAAGCCAACTAATCTTGGATATCATTAGACATCTCTGCATGTCCAAATTGCAAGAGGTATATACAGAAGATTTAAGGCTGCATGTAAATTTCATGTGTCTGCGGGAATGACTTCTGTGTGAAATGCTCATTACCTTGGAGTCCAGATCATGGGTAGGACTTTTATAATTGTCCTTTTGCAGCTCATAATAAAAACCCTTCTTAAATAATGAATCAAATGTGCCAAAATGAGTCTGCTATATCAAGGATCATTTTTGAATTAGAGTATTATCAGAGGTTACTAAATTAATAAAACCACAATGATTACACACACATACTGAGAAGAGGGTTGAATAATTTAATAAAATTTAAGAAATTCGAAAAAATGTAAAAAATTATTTTAGTTTAGTGTTTTATATTATACTTATTATTTAAATGAAAAATTTGGTGATAATGGATTCGATCATAGTTATGAAAAATATTCTCAAGAATTAAAATACTATTATAGAATTCTACTAAATTAATTATCAAGTGTTCTTGAGGAAGTCTAGAAGGCAGAAAAAAATGAAATGATTGAGTTCAACATTTTTTAAAATTTGGTATTTTAGATGGATTTGAATTTGTATACTTAAAAATAATGTCTTAAAAAATAGATAATTGAAAATCAATAAGAAAAGCAGTAAAATATACACTGACTTAATTAAATAGATATATAAACTATTATTATTATATAAATTATTAAATGCGTATTAATTTAGTTCTACTTTTTTTGTATCTGGTTCAAAAAAGAATTAAATAAATTGGAATAGTGTTGATATCAAATATGTTGATTGTCACATATTCTCTAAGTTAATTAATTTGTAATTATGTATAAAATGAATATTATAATCATAATATTGAAAAAGCATAACCGATAATTAATAAAAGATGTAAAATATCAATTATTGATCAATATTATTAAATCTGAGTTAAAGATGCAAGATCAATTAACTCTAACTTTAAGTTGATTTTTACTATTGACATAGAAATACTGAATATAATTATATTTAAATTAATATAAAATATGGGTTGTGGTTCTTCAAATTCTACTCAATAAGCGGCAGAACCAGAATAAAAATAGAGAAGTGCTTCGCTTAAGTCTACTTCAACATCAGAAATAGAAGATCTCATTGGCAAGAAAATTCCTAAAGTATTAGAATGAAAATATCTAATCAATAGTTATTGGTCTAGCCTGAGTCGAAACACAAGCAAACAATGGACAATGAGGAATAATTAAAGATGTATAAAATATTATTATGAAGTGAGTCTCAGCTAGCTCCAACTTAGCCACCTCCGGAGGAAGTTGTCAGAGCTTAAAAAAAATAGCAAAAAAAATATAGAGGTGGAGATGATGTAAATCATTAGATCCATGAAAATGTTACAAGAATTGATAGAGAAATGCAATGTACTAAACACAAATATAGTAGAATCTGATATTGACTTGATAAGAAAAAGCTTTAAAGGCCATTTCGTATTTTTTAGTCTGCCTGAAGATTAAATAGCTAAATTAATAGAACATATGTTTTACTGCACTTTAAAAGCTAATTAATTTATTTTTAAATAAGGAGATCAAGTATTGCATTCATCTCTAAAATTAGGCTAGCTCTTATTTTGTGATCGAAAAAGGATCTGTAGAAATAATAATAAACGATAGACAAATTCGAACATTAGCAGAAGGCAGTTATTTCGGCGAAATTGCACTTCTTTACAATGCCACTCGATCTGCTTCTATCAGAACTCTAACAGATTGTGGATTTTGGTCTTTGGACCGTAGTACATTCAAAAAAACAATTGAGGAGTTGATGTTAAAAGAATATGATGAAAATAGGAAATTTATTGATGAAGTACTAAATCTTAGTAGAAATAGGTTCCATTTTTCTCATTTATGACATCAGAATAAAAAGATTCAATTGCACATGCCTTAATCACAACAAAATTTGCTCCAGGCTAGGCAATAGTCAATGAAGGAGATTAGGCTGATTCATTTTATGTGATAAAGAGTGGTGAAGTATCAGTTCTCAAAGGAACGAAGGAGATAAGAAAGATGGGTGCTAAGGATAGTTTTGGGTATATGCTAGAGAATTATAATTAGAGAATAAGCCTTATATGAAAAGTCTAAAAGAGGAGCTACATGTGTTGCTGAAACAGAGGTTAAATGTGTTGCCTTGGGCAGAGAAAACCTGACTAAGATATTGGGAGATAAAGTCCAAATTATCATTTTTAGTAATATAATGAGATGGAGTTTTGAGAAAAGTGAGGTTTTAAAATAATTATCAAAAATTTAACTCGAAAAAATAGCTTAGAGAGCTAAGATTGACAATTATAAGAAAGGTTAAGTTATTGTAGAGGCTGGCAAAGCTTGCGATAAATTAATTGTAGTTTTAGAGGGAGTGATGACTAATTCTAAATAAGACTCAGTGCCAAAAGGTTTGTGTTTTGGAGATTAATTTTTAATGAGAGAAAAATATGGATAAATAATTGATTCTGAATATGCTATGGTTAGAGATGGTGTATTAGCTACTATCTCATATTAATCTCTCTTTGTCATTTTTGGTGGAGATTTAGAAACTGCATTAAAGAAAAATGAAAATTCTCATGAAAAGAAAATTAAGTAATTAGGAGAAAGAGCAGATGCGTCTCACATCTCAGTTGAAGATTTAGTTTATATTAAAAAATTAGGAGAAGGACAATTTGGTATGGTCTATTTGGTTAAGCATAAATCTATTAATAAAGTTTTTGCTCTTAAATCTGTTAGCAAAGCTTCAATAATTGAATAAAATCTAGAAAAGCATATACTGCAAGAAAAGACTGTATTGGAACAATGTAATTTTCCTTTTATCATGGGCTTTATTAGAACATTTAAGGATGACATTTCTATCTACTTTTTAGTAGAATATATCAGAGGAATGGAATTGTTTGATGTAATATTTAAGATCTATTTTCAAAGGTAATTAGAGACATGGGCCTTTTAACAAAGTACGATACTTAATTCTATGTGGCTACGATGATATTAGCATTAGAATATCTACATTCCAAATCAATAGTATATAGAGACTTAAAACCAGAAAATATTATGGTAAATGATGCTGGTTACATGTACCTAATTGATTTGGGAACTGCAAAACCATTAATTAAATCCAGAGCTTACAGAACTTATACAATTATTGGAACTCCTCATTATATGGCCCCAGAGATTATACTTGGCAAGGGATACTCATTTAATGTAGATCTATGGAGTATGGGTATTTGTATGTATGAATTTATGTGTGGAGGAGTTCCTTATGCAGAAGAATAAGATGTATCTATTTGTTTCAGCTTAGGACCCTTATGAAATTTATGAAGAGATAATGAATACTCAATTAAAATTTCCTACTTTTATTAGAGATAGATAGGCTAAGAAATTTATGGAATAATTACTCAGTAAACAACCAGAAACGAGATTAGGATCATCATTTTCTGCTTTAAAAGCTAATCCATGGTTTGATGATTTTGATTTTGATAAATTGTTCAGCAGAGAATTATAAAAAGTTCCTGTATTAATCTTAATTAACTTATATTTAGTATGTTCCTCCTAAAGATAGAATGATCTCAGAACATGATATTGAGAAGAAATTCTAACAAGGAAAGCCAGTTGTTCAAGAAATCAAATAAGAACAATCAATGCAAAAACAAAAGTACAGAAAGGAATTAGCCAAAGATCCTAATTGGGACAAAGATTTCTGATCATTTTCTTATTCCATTTTTTGACCAAAATAATTATGTCCAAATATTATCATTTCAGACTAATTTCGATCTTTATTACTTATTTACCTATTCTTCTACCAAAGTTTAATTTACGATTTTCTCTTTTGATTATTAACTAACAACTAAAAAGGGTATGAGAAAGAGATACTAAATTAATCTATTTGGATTATCTTAGATTTATTGAACTAAAAAATGTAGAGATATAACTATAAATTGAGAGGTTATCTCCAAATGCATATAATTGGTTGAGCACCGATGATAAGATGGAAGAAAGATGATAAAGAAATAAAACACTTAATCATGTGTTCTGAACTATAATAACAACAATTTTATCTATTAAGATATTATTATAGATCATTATCATCCCCATAGTTCTGTAATTAGCTATTGCTTCTGTTCCAACTCACTAATTTTTTTAAATGCCAAATAAGGTGCAATATTTTCGATCTGTTTATACATATCCTGTATCTTGTTTGTAATATCTCTACCCATTTATGCGGATCCACATATATATATGATTCCTTCCATTTATAAGTGAGAATGTATTTAGTTTAAATCCATGATATCTGTCACATATTATTTTACAGCCTTCCTTGAAAAGGCAACTTTCAAATTACTCAAAGTACCATTCTTCTCGTAATGCTTCAGTTCTTCTTCAGAAAAGTATTCATCTTCAGTTCTGCATCCAAATAATAATTCCATATTTCCTTATAAAGGAGATTTTTCTAAATTATTGGATTCCAAATGATAATCTCTTTCTTAAATCAATGCTCTCATTGGTGCCAATCCTGCTCCTGGTCCTATTAATAGTACTGGTGCTTTGGGATTTTTTGGGAAAGCAAATTTAGAATCTTAAAGATACCCTTTTAACAAAGACCCTTTTTTTAAACTTGAAAAATATTAACTGCAAAGTCCAAGTCTTTTTTCATATAAAATAAGTTGACTTGCTAAAATATGAATGTTTTTTGGATGTTTCATATTACTAGATGCAATAGTGGAAAATCTAGGATTCATTGAAGGACAGATTTCTAGTAATTACTCAATGGATAAATTGCGTATATTGTATTTTTTTATAACAGTTAATAAACTTTCTCTCTTTTTAGTAAAATTTTCATCATAGAACTCTCTACCTTCAAAAGAAGCAGCTTTCAATAGCTCTTCTTTATGTTATTTGTTGACAACTTAGTTCGATAACTCCATTAATTGTTTTTTTGTGATCAAACCAGTAAAATCACAATACCTATTTATAAAATATATTTCTATACTTTTTTAAATAGTTATAGATTGAAATTGGATTAGGAAATGGATGCTTCATAGTTGTAATTACTTCAAATTTCATATTTTTATCAAATCTCAGTTAATTGCATAATTCATTGATATCTTGGCTAATATATAAAAAATACTATTACTCTGAATTCTATGGATAAATGGCAATGTTACTAGCTGTTACATAGTTAACATTATCAGCAACAAGGTCTATAAATAGAGTGGAATTTCCCAGGGTTGGTTTCTTCTTTAGTTCTCTTATTTCATTTATAGTGAAAGTAATGCTAGATTTATATTTTTATGCCTAATAATCCAAATTTTCAAGATTTTCATTTTCTGGTTCATTGGTGTATTTGATCTATTAAATTGATTATTCAAACTTTTTCGGATCACATGTCTATGCAGGATATGTTTTGATAAGAGTTTCTTCTACTCCTGTACTTATCCAATTTTGATAATCATTTTCAGTTGTATTTTCAGCTGCATTTCCTTTTCCTAAAGCAAAGAGCCTTTTCCCTCCAAGTTCCTCTAATCTCTTGTCTAGTTTAATCCCAAATTAACAATAATTTTCATGATTAGTATTCCCAAGAGCAAATACTATGTAAGACATGCTCTTGAATTCATCATTTTTTCTCTCTTTTGAAAAAATCCAAGAATTAAACTTCTAAGCATCTGAGGAGCTCGATCCAACACCATATGTGGAGACAAAAAACACAGCCAGCTTCTAAGAACTTATTTAATCAGGTTCAAATTCACTTAGATTAATTACTAAATTTTAGATAACATCCTTACCCTTTGGGAGAAAGTTCAGTTTTCTTGTTTAACTTGCAAATTAGAATGCCAGTCTACTCGAGTTTCCCGATGTAGTACCATAATAAATGTAAATCAAACCTCTGGACTCAAAAAATGAAGCAGATGATTAACCACAGCCCATATTTAAAATAAGATTTTCAAATAAATTTAATCGAACAATATTATTTTGCTAATATACTAATTTTTTTATTAATATAATTTAACGTAATTTAATGAGCACGCTTATTGATTTATATATCTAATCCTACAAGTTCTATTTAATACTGAGAAACTAGTTATCATAAAATTGGACAAAATCACTTTATATTAAAGAGTTAAAAGTAATAGTGTGATTAGAATAATTAAAATAAGATCGATAAATAGTGATAAAATACAATCATTTATCAATAAAAATTAGAGAATCTAAAACAAAAAGATAAAAGTGGATGAGAAAAAAATGTGATAAAACCATTAAACAATTAAGGAATTAGAATAAATAAAAAACAATTTCATTATTTTCAGAAGATCTCATGTTTGGTTTATTTATAATACTGGGTTTATTCTAATTCACAAGAATACTAAGTTTCTCGTTCAATCAATATTAAATCCTTAGATATTATTTTTAAACAAGTAATGACAGATTTTGTTTCTAATTTTTGAAATTGATTTAAACTTCAATTATTTATCTAAGGTATCTATTTACACACAAATAATAATGAAAAATATATCAAAGGAATCAATATTTGATTAAATCAATCTAATTTTATACATTTTTATAGATTTCAACATATTATTATTTGCTACTATATTTTAATGTATTGTTGAATAAGAATACTTAAAAGAGAGGATTTAAAGAATAAAATTTTCAATAATTTGTTATGATCAATGATGTGATATTATTTAATTCTTAAATATTTTTGAATAAATTACTAATTCAACATATAAATAAATAAATTAATGAATAATTTATTGGCTATCTTCCTAATTACATTAAATGTAATAAATGCATTTGAATTGGATGTTTATAGAATGGTAGGCATTGAATAAGATCAATTTTGGAGTGGAAGTAAGATAGCTTCTTTCTAATTGCTCACGACTCATTGGTCAGAATTGTCATCAAGAAAAGTGGCATTAATTAAATTTTCAGAGATTAATCCTAATTCAATATCTGAATTGCTTACTAACAAACCTAATGGCGTTTTGATAATTCTGGATCAATTATCACAAGATAATGAATCCCAAGTTTGGGACTTAATCACAACTGATTTAGGTATTTAATTTATTGAATGTAGGTCCAAAGGGAGCAACAATCCCCATTTATTTCACTTATGAAACTGAGACTATTAGCAATCATTATAAGGAAATTCAAAGTGAAACTGAATAGGAATATTAATTATAAGTCACAAGCGTAGATTAAAAGCAAATTCTTACTTTGGAAGATTCATATGTAAATTAAAATCTAAAATATTAGAATTTATTAGAAAGCATCTCTAACTTTAAGTAAAACAATCCTTCAACTCTAATTGTGTTAGGAATTGATGAGAATTTACCTTCAGCCGAAATAACAATTCCAATAAATAGATTTGGAATTCAATCATCTATCTTCTTTAAGATTGCTAGAGAGTTTAAATATTAGTAAAGATTGAAGTATAAATCATTTAATTTTATTAGTCGAAACATAATATTTTATATTTCAACTTCCTAAACTTTAGATGAATATGGACTTAAGTAATTCTATAAGAAATAGGAATATCAACGAATTCTATCCACAATAGACACGATAATAATCTTCGATTAAATTAGACAAAATGAAAAACTACACGTTGAAGTCAGTTCCTAACTTTTAACTTAAGTTAAAGCAGAGTTGACTTAGCATGATGCAACAATTGAGGAAGCTGAAACTACCAACATTTCCAATAAAGAAATAGATACAATCAGAATATATACCTAGAAATAAATCAAGATTTTGGCTCCATAAAATTCTACGAATTTGCAAGACAATCAGTAAATTGTACTCAATTTGGTGAGTTAATTGATTGATGGAAAGCCTTATGAACAATAACACCAAGATCAATTATTTGATTAAGCTTTGATATAATTTATCAATACACCAAATAGACATCCTGCAAATCTGTAAAAGGACTCAAAATTCATTAATGATTTAAACTCTGTAATTATGTTATTTGATAAATAGTTATTAAGATAATTATTTAAACATACAACTAAAATGCAGTACATTGTGAAAGATAGAAAATTCTTTACATCATCTCAATTGAAAGGACAAATTATCAAGTTTTATTCAGCATTTATTGATTTGTATCTCATCTTAGGAGTGGGTGCATGGCTAGTAGTAATTTATGGAATAGCAAAAGTAAATTAAATTATTATTTTAGTATGTTCCATTATTTAGAGTTGAATTGAATGCTAATAAAAAAAGAAAGTGATTTATTTATCAATGTAAATAAATTTTATTTGTTATAATTTTAATAAAAACAATGGGAAATCTCCAAACTCTGATAAACTATCATGCTCCACTGAATTATTCATAAGACCTAAGTGATTAACTTATAGATTAAGGAATGTTGCAACACCCAGGCTTGGGATAAATTCAACTGTGGAAAATCAAAGAAAGTAATTTGCCTCTCTTATTTTCATTTGTAAACTAACCATCTAAAATACTTTATAGCATGTGCATGTATTTGAAAAAGACTCCTCAATTATTGATATACATAATTTTCGAAGTTCTCTCAAACACCCTAATTTGATTGAGTATTTCGCTTGTACGAGTTCAAAGGCACTTAACATTGGTAAAGTCTAATCTTAGCAATTCTTTTTTGCCTACTACCCTGAAACCTTAAAGCAGTATATATAATCTAGAACTTTGACTGAGGTACAAATTTGGAATGTAAAATATTTAAATCTATTAGATAGATAATTGAATAAATAGTAAATTTAATGGTATATTTGTAAAATTTGAACAGATATCATTCAAATATCAATTCAGAATCAATTTTCATAAATGATAATTTGCATATCAAAATGCTAGACAAAATTGGATAAAAACCAAATAAAATAGCTATAAAAGATGATGTACGTGATTTAGGAATTGTTATTATAGAACTTTTAACTAAAAGAAGTAATTTATGTATAATACTTAAGCGAATTAATTAAATTTTATTTAATAAATAAAAAATTTACATGGAAAATTTACTTTATAATTATTATAATTGGTTGCAAAAATGATAGATGAAAACATAGATAAACGACCTGATTTCATTTAAATCCAAAGGATGATTAACAATAGATTCAAAGAACCCATATTTTTCAATAACCCGGAAAGAAATGCAAATCTTAAAAAATTAACCGGAAGACTGTCAACCTAAGAGCCTTTAACTTATAGGATGGATGAAATGAAGATAAATTAATTGCTCTCCCCTATAAGATCTTCAAGCAAATTTTTGTTGCCTTTCAAATCGAATATTCCTCCAAACATAGTCGGAAACAATCCTAGTTAATAAATGTAGTGCTAGGATATTATACCTGAGATTCCTCCATAGAATAATAGCGAATAATCTCCTCCACGCAAAATTTATGGAAGCCGAATTGATTAAGGCTCTACTGCTGAAAAGTAAAAGAGCCCCATAAGTAATTATTGACTTAAGTATTTAGAATAAATGAGCAATGTTAAAAATATTCCCTATACTAGTCATTTTTAAAATATACCAAATTGATTAAATTATTATTCTAATTTTGAATTTACACTAAAGCTATTTTTAGATTACTTTTGTTTGCATTCAAGAGTTAATAAATATTTAATTATATGGCACTGAAAAATAAAATATTACTTATTTTCTTTTTTTGCATAAAATAATTAAAATATAATTTATATGACAACATAATCTGGCCCGTTTTCCACTCCAGCTTTTATAATTAAGCTTTACGATATTTTAGATGAATAAGTAGGCCTGTTTATTTATATGATCGCTAGGTGTAGTTTAACTAGATTATTAAATGGAGCGATGATGGAGAATATTTTATTGTATTGTAACCAAAATTGATGGAGAACGAAATCCTCTTGCAATATTTCAAACATAATCATTATCAATCCTTTCTAAGGTAACTCAACATGTATGAATTTATCAAAGCCAGAAACTCAGAAAATTATGAGATATTTAGTCACCCTTTCTTCAAAAGAGGCAACAAGTAAGATAATATTAATGTTTTAGGAAACAATTGTCATTGATCAAACGCAATCCCATTAAAACCAAATGCAAAGTCAAGAAAGAATTGAAGTCAGCTGTAAAATAATATGATTTTTAAAAATAAATGGATTCAGAATTATTATTTTTAAAACAAAGACAAACCAAATTTGAAACACAATTCCAAGAAATAATCTCATAAAATGAATAAATTATGGATCAACACAAACAAATTTGGTAGGAAACTAGGCAATTCTAAAAAAACACTTGATGTTAAAATCGATAGAATCAGTTATTTGCTTAGCTTTATAATCCAATAATAAGGGATCAATAACCAGGACTCCATCGAAATGCTCAACTAGATTTAGTGTAAGCAAAAGTAAGATTATTAACCAGTGGAATCATTATCTCCCCTTTTAAAAATGATGTAGAATCAAATGACCTGGAACTTAAAAGTACCAACTCAGATGGGTACTTTTAGTCCCTTGTATAATAATGATTAAGGTATGATAAGTCAATAAATTAATATTATAGCTTATTCACCTTTAGCCATAAGAAGCCAAGAAAGTCTTGATAGTTACTAAAGTTTAAGTCCCTTCTACTAACAATTCAAAGAGTAGTGATCATATAACATAACTTTATTAATTAATTATTGAAATCCCATTCTTCAGTGTGAATAATGAGGAAATATAATTGATTTTAAAAATCATAAAATATATAATTGTAAACAAATATTTTTATTATATGAACAATTATATGTTCTAGGTTCCACATTCAATACTCGCTGGTTATAAAAATTTCCACTTTTTAGAGTCAGTGTATTAAGTATAATTTGACATAAAAGTACCAAGATATTAATATTAAATATAATTTCTGAATAAAAATTTCAGTATAAATAATAAAGTTAATTTAATAAATATTTCTAACCTAAATAGTTCAAAATAAAGTAAAGCTTATTTAAAAAAAAAGTGAGGAAAAAAAAATTTCGATTAAGAATTAACTAAGTAATTAAATATAAACTAAATTTACAATTTTTCTATTTGGATTTAAATAGATGAAATTCCAGAATATATTTTCATGAAATAGTATTAAGAAAAATAAGTTCCTTCTTTATGAACATTACTTTTTAAAGGCAAAATTATACATTAATAGGGTTATAATAATATCCTATTTTGGTAAATCTAAATTTATTAAATGGGTTAGATGAGACAGAGTTTTATAAAAAAAGGAAAAGGTAGGAATTTTAGTATAGCTAAATAGTGCAAAATTAAAGTTTAAAATTGTATTAATAGAATATTTCAAATATGTGTTTTAGCAACACCTGGAAATTAATGATCTGAAAGTTAAATCTTGAAAATTGATGGCAAAACGAGCTCATCATAGATATGGATGATAAGCATATATCTTTATAATCCTTCAAATTGGGTAAAAATTTAGGTATAAATAAGTTATGAAATCACTTTTAAATTTTATAAAGAAGATTTCTTAATTTAATAGATATATAGATTGGCAGTTAGTATTTAGAAATATGTTAAATCTTTAGATTGTACATTCATTTATTATTTAAGTGTTCTAGATAATAATCTATAATTTCTATAATTTATAATGTAATTACAAAAATATCGAGTTCTTCTTCTTTTTCAAAATTATCAAGAACTTCAAAAGTTCTTGAAATGCGCAGTTTTTTTATTAGCTTATTATATAGATCACTGATATCTATTGAAGTGTTAAACTTTAAATAATAAATTAATACAACACAATCCCAAATTTGCTTTATCTAAAATAATTCAGATTATTTTGCATTTTTAATTTGAACTCTTTTTTTCTTTTAACATCTGCATCATATCTTCTTAATACTTTTAGAGAGTTTCTATTTTCATCTCCAACTGAAAGAGAAGAAGGAGCTATGAGAATAGCCAAAACCAATTACTATAGATTAAAATTTTGAATTATATATAGGAACTCTTGCCCTAGAAACGAATATATCAATCATTATTTGATATAATGAAGTCATTTATAAATATTATTTTATTGATTGTATATATGATTTATTTCTCAATGCCATAACTTTAATGGATTATTCTATTCTTAAGTTTTTTATGCTAAAATTTGATCTGCATTTTGATCTCGCAAATAGATTTCAGGTCTGTAGACTGATCTGACTGGATTTTAGGCAATTCTAAACAAATTAGTGATTTAATTGGTTGTTGATAATTTAGCCCAGACTCCTTCAATCAAATTCTTAAATGATTATAATAATACATACATATCCAACATAATACACTGCTATTGATGCAACAGCACCGAAAGTAAATGCATGGGCTTTTTACAATCTTAAGTGATAGGATCTTTATTTTGCATCTTAAATGCTATGAATAAATAGAAATTTTACTATGAATATTCATAGAGTTTTTTTAAGGATTCTTCAGCAGTCAAATGTGAACGATTTTGATTCACCAAGTCTTTCATTTATATATTTTATAATTATTAACAAAAATAAATTGAATTATTAACACTGTTGACTAACTGTAAAAGATGATACATTTCATTGAAAATATCATTCTCAAATCTACTCTCTATACATGTCTTCACTACTTACTAGATGTTATCGAGAACCTTTTTAACTTATTATAAAAATAATTATGAATAACAAATACTCTTATTGTAGAATGATAATTCTCTTTTTAAACAAGAATTAGTTTGATTCTTGAGTAATTCTCAAGAACTTATCTTCTGTCATTAATAAAATTTGATAAGTCATTAAGTAGTAATATCCATTTAATAAGTACTTTTACATATATATTTAATAATCAATTATTTTCTTTATCTCTTCTATTCAATCATCATCTGAACTGCTTTCTACCTTTAATTTTCTTATCCTTCTGCCTTAAACTTATTAAGAAACTTGATTAGAATTATCCACTTGTTTTTTCGATTCCTATTATTTTAGGTTAAGCTATTTAGATTCGTTTGGTTTAGAATTGATTTCACTCTATTTTTCATCTTACTTTTTATATTTGGATAAAATTTCTTCTACTGGATCCTTGCTCTTTATGGCCTTTTTCGACTTTTATACTTTTTCTTCAATTAATTGATCTTATTTATCATTTTTCTTCTTAGGTTTCTTCATTTACTTTCCTGGCATCTTTTCTTATTAATTAATCAATCGCAACTCTATTTCAACCATTTCTTAATATGCCTCTAAAAACTTATCTAAATCTTCTCTCCACATTAGAGATATTTCTTTATTAATCAAAGCTTCTCTGCTTTGAACCCTTTAATTTAATTCATCTTATAATTTCTCTACTTTTTCATAAGTAAGTGAAAACAATGGCATTGATAGTAAATAATTAAACTCACTTATATCAATTGATGGTGTTTATTGTAGTTTTTTTGAAATTTATTTTTTTTATTGTTTATCTTCATCTCCTGACTTTTCCTCCTCTTCACTCCCATCATCATCAACATTTTTCTACTATTTTTAAGAATCACCAAAAGCTTTTACTTTTGTAGATTTTACTTAAATCAATTGTGAAAAACGAGTAAATCCAAATTTATCTAGTTGCTTGACTAAATCAACTTTCTTTACATTTCTTAATTTAATCTCTTCACTAATTACCATCTTAATGAATTTTAATTTATTATCTAATAGTTAGACCTCTCTATCCAACTTGGATATTAAATAATCTTTCCTTTTGTGATAAAACTCTAATCTAACCTAATAAAACTCTTCCATTATATCCTAAACACATTCATATTTTTTGATTTTACTATTTGAGTCAAATAGCACCATATTGCTGCACGAAGCTGGTGAAGACAGTTTAAAGTACTCTAAAGGATTCTTCAAATCCTATACAAACCCATCCACCATCTATATTTCAAAATGAATTTTGTATTTAGTGTGATATTCTCTCAAATCCACAATTTGACTTCCTTCCTCAGCCATTTCTTTATCTAACCATTCCTTGTAATTTCTTGTCCATTTCTTAATTGGAAGCTCTCTAATAGTGACAATATCAGTGGCTTCATTGCAATCAATTAAGCCTTTGATAACACAATTACCATTCGGTAGATTTTCAATGATGCCATCAAAATTTCTATAAAAGGGAGCCATTGGCTGAAATTATTCTCCATTCAATCTATTTTTAATTTATTGAACTAAGTCAATTGGATTATAATTTTAGATTGATGTAGACCAACCAGTACCAATACCTTCAGCTCCATTGACCAAACTCATAGGAATAATAGGCACATAATACTCTGGTTCAACCATCTATCCATCATCTTCCAGATACTTTAATAAATGATCATCCTATTCAGGGAAGATGTACCTCGTAATCTTATTAAGAGCTGTAGAAATATATCTCGCAGATGCATGATCCTTGCCACCCATAGCTCTGCTACCAAACTAACCTTTTGGCAATAATAAATTGATGTTATTGGAACCAACAAAATTCTAAGCCATCCCTATGATTGTAGAAACCAATGATAGATCTCCATGATGATAAGCAGAATGTTCAGCTATGTAACCACCCAATTAGACCACTTTGATTTCTTGTTTCAAATTTCTCTTAAAACAGGCAAATAATACCTTTCTCTGTCCTGGTTTTAAGCCATCCATGAGGGATGGAATAGATCTGATATTATCAGCCATAGAGAAATGAATCAACTCTTTGTGTATGAATTCTGAATAGCCTAATTCGCTTTTGGTATGATCCACATATAAATCATGATTGTATTATGCAAGCCATTATTTTCTATCATTTGCTTTTTTCTTATTAAAGCACAGATCAATAGAGTTGTCATCATCATCTCCATCATATCTGAACTATATCGTATGTGTTCTTAAATTCTTAAAATACTCTTGAGCCTCTTGATCATCAGATGTACCTAATCCTTTGTAATACTTTATCTTCCATGTTTTAATGTCCTCTTCTTAAGCGAATTTGTTGAAATCCTAAACTGTGAAGAATGGAATTGTTTAATTTCCCTTTGTGGCCTTTATCAGAGGAGTAACAAACTCTTTCAAAAATCCACGATACTTCACCAAAGAAGGCCAAAAATGATGAATAAAATTGATAATCAAACCCTTAATATGCGATCCATCTATATCCTGATCTGTCATAATCATCACCGATCCATATCTAAGTGATTTTAAATCTGTGTATTGTCTTTCCTTCTACAAACCTATTATTTTTATCAAATTTTCAATTTCTTCATTCTATAGAATTTGCTTCAATGATGCCTCCCTTACATTCAAAAGCTTACCCTTCAACGGAAACACCCCATATCTATCTCTTCCTACAATATCAATACCTGCCATAGCTAATGCTTTTGCTGAATCTCCTTCAGTCAATATCAATGTGCAAAGTTCTGAGTTCTTTTTACCTGCATCGTTTGCATCATCCAGCTTTTCAATTCCATGTAATCTACCAGTTTTCGTGCCTTTCAATTACTTATTTAATTTGGCATCAGCTTTGGCTTTGGCTTACTAAAATATAGTTTCGATTATATCTGTCTTTATTAAAGCTTTTGAGAATTTCTCAGTTACCTTAAATTTCTCTTCGTTAGTACCTCCAAATTCTGACACCTTAGTTGTCATATTCTCTTTTGTTTATGAATCAAATGTGGGATTATCAATCAAGCAATTGATAAATACCCAAAGTGATTGTTTGATTTAATACTTTTAAACTTCAATTGACTTATACTTTTTATTATTATTCATTTCATTTTAAATTTCTTATATAATTTTATCTGTTACATAATTCACATGAGTTCCTCCTTTTGCAGTATAAATAGCATTAACAAAGGAGACATGTTAAAATTAAGTAGGAGAATAACTTACTACTACTTCCCATCTTGGAGTGGTCATATCCTTATCAAATATTTTAATTGCCCCTTCATTTGGTAAATATAAATCTACATATTTTTGAAATGAATTGATCTTAATCTTTTCATCATTCAAATACACACTAATTTTATTACCATATATTCCAGCTAAATCATATACTCTTCTGGTTAACAAAGCCTGAGTATCTGATTCTATCTCTTTCATCCCAAACCTCTTATAGTCTGGCTTATATGAAATACTCACGTAAGGATCTTTCTTTATTTGTTTAATAATAGGGATCTATTTGTTACTCATGTTATTGTTCCAAACCAACTTAAAGTAACTTTTTCCATCGCATACTTCCAGCGTGAACTCAGTTGAATACACATTTGTCAATTTTGCCCCATAACCATTCCTTCCACCTACCACTCTTTTTTCAGTATCATCGAAATTGCTTCCAGTTAGAAACACTCCAAAAATCAACTCTGGGACATAGATTTGGTATTCTTTATGGATTTCAACAGGTATTGGAAATCCGTCATTTTTAATTGAAATTTCATTTCCAATGTCTACTTTGATGTAGGACTATTTGTGTTAACGTGAATCTCTTTGTAGATTATCGGCTGCATTAACCAAAATTTCATCGAATATTTTAAAAAACCCAGGGACGTATTCAATTTCTTTTTAGATCATTTTTCCATTTTGTATTATCCACATTTATTCTGAGGTTCTCTGTATACTGCCAATATAAGTATCTGGTCTCTGAAGAATATGCTCAATGTGGGTCATCTTCTTATATTGCTCTTCTATAGTCTTTTGGCGCATAATAATTGAAATTATAAACAATTTAAATTTATTCAACCAGAGAATAGAGATTAACTGCGAGCCTCTTAAACTTATTTTCCTTTAGATTGATGATGCATAAGAGTTTAAGTCTTGCGATGCTTAGGCGTGTCGTCCATTATAATACAACTTTCTTCGTTTAGACTAGCCTCCTCTCCATCTATGTGACATTACAGAGTGATATGAGTATCGCTAAACAATGAACCGTGAGTGGTTTCGTAATCTTTCAAGAACTAGTTGACAGGTTTTACAGCGGATTTGTTGGCCATGAATTTTAAAAATGGAATCAATCTAAGGAGACATTCATCTTCATCTGAATCAAGAAATGAAGGAATCAGCAAACCATTATCAGGTTGTAAGTCAAAGGCATTTGGGTTATTCTACGAATGCTATAAAAATGATACATCTATAAAGATTAACTAATCTAGTGGCCGATCTAAAATGGTCAGATCTTTCAAACAGTTTCCGTTGACAAATATACAATTTGATCTTGCATAATAATCACTTATGTGTTTATCCAAGTCTATGAATTGCAACACTTTGTCACAATATGATTCATAGCCAGCAGTGAATATGATGATCTCGTAGTACACACTCATTTGCTTAAGAAATTCTCTCAAATAAGGTCGTCTACACAGGTACACATTGTATAGCATTCCCCTGTGCCAAACATCCAAAATAGTTTCATAATTGAAATTTTGATTTTCCTTGAATTCACAGTGCACCAAGGTTTCATCCAAATCAAGAACTAGAGTTTTCTTTTTCCTCACTTCGGATTCTTAAGTGGATAGTCTATACGATTCTTCTGGTCCCTCCCTCTTCTGCCTGAGATTTTAATAGCATTTTTTTATATATTGCAAACAATTCATTTTAATTACTCAATGCTATTTTTAGTGATCTCTTTTATGAAAATAGGAAAATCATCAAAAATGAATGCCCCCTTTTTGGAAAATAGGATTGTATAACTTAGATCAAAATCTCCAGGAATGCCGTAATCTTTAGAAATTCTATTCAATATTCAGCAAACAAAAATAATAAAAAATTATATGTTATAACAAAAATTATTTCAATAACTTTCCGAATAAATTCATTAATATGCTTACGGAGATTCCATCCACGTCAGATACGTTGTATTATATACATCTTATGACAACCTGATAATTATTGCAGAGGATAAATATAAGTTGTCTGTGTAAATAGAAACTTTGAAATGGAAAAATGATCCAATCATCTCCATGAAATTCCAAACCTTCGCCTTGCACATCCTCACAATGGAAGGAGAATACATTGAAATCATCTTATCCAATCTTTTCTAATAGAATAAACCGTAGGACAGCCTCATGTCCAATATCAAAATAAATGATGTGTATTTGCCTAATAATGTGAAATTAAAGGAGGCCTATCAAATCAAAAGGTTTAGTGATTTTGTCATAATGAACAAGAATAAATTAAAAATAGCCTTCATCTCCCAATAGGGACAAATAGTCTTTTATAGTCCAGATCAAAAGGTGATCACTCAAATCATCGCTCTCAGACAAAGTCTCATATCGTTTTAAACAATTGAAATTGATCAAAAGGAAATGGTTGTTGGGATCACCGAGTTCAATGACTTAATCACCTTTAGTGATAATGATTAGGAACCATAAATACATCGTTTTACAGATCCCAACTACTCAATTATTCACATTTACTTTGTGGGCAATGAGAATATTTTAATATTGTAAGAAAATAAAACTGAATAACGGTTTGTTAAGTATCAATTAAAACAACTTAAATTTGTCAAAAAATATTACTATCTCCCAAAAGATGATTGCAATTATAAATTCGTAGAAATACACGAATTACCAAAAATATTTATTGCCTTAGTGTTTTCTACGCAATTTCAAATAATCTCTTTCTCTAAAACAGTACTCCAAGATCGATTATTTAAATGCATCTAATTCAACTTTCAAAATGTGATGGATGAATTCAGTCACCCCATTAATTTTAACTAAATTCTATATTGTCCTGAAACAACCACGCTGAATATTAAAGAGATTCAGAATTAAGCCATCCATTTCTCTAGATACAATTAACAGTTTGGCATCAAAATAACTAAGAAGAAAATGGTGGAGGTCCTGTAATCCGATTCATAAATCCTAAACAAAGAGGATCAAGTATCAAAAACTAAGTAAATGCCATTTTATATTTAATAATAGAAATTACGATTAATTTTGCAGTCTATTAATAACCTCAACTTAAATATACACAATTTAAATATCTCAAGATTGCATACAGGATCTTACTTTTCAAGTCCTTCAGCAGTTCGAAAATTACCAAAGAACATTTGGATCAATCCCATAAATGAAGTTGAGTTGGTAAGAATAAGTGATTTCCAATTTATGGCATCACTTGAATTGCGAACAAGGTTTAAAACTCTATTTTGCAAATAAGGATCAGGTCTCAGAAAATATACACAGCTGGGTGAATTCATTAAAGTTCCATAAGCAAATGTTATACCAAATCTATGATGAAGTCCAAGATCAAGAAATTCTTATTGAATCTTAGTATGATAAATGTCTGACTACAATTGCATTACTAAATTTCAAGAATCTTTCAAATGAAATATCAATATCTAAAATAATTGCGATGGTGTTCAATAAGGTTTTGTCTTAATGCAGCAAAATAGTCACAGACAACTCCAATTCCTTTTTGCAATTGATTTAATGCATCAAGTAGAACAGTAATCCAGTGTTATGTTACAATTACTGGAAGAACTCTTAACAATTGTTATTCATCTTAATCAACATCCTTGAGGTGTGGCTTACTAATATAATGATTTAGTATGATGTGATATTGCTTAAGGCCCAAGAATTCTTTGAGCCTCTTTTCATTAATAAAATTAGAAGTTTAATAGTTTGCTCAAAAGTTCCAATAATGTTGAGATTAAAATTAATCATTTTCTTATAAGATCAATCCTACATTAAACTATTCACTTTAGGTGTTCAGACTATCTCAGATAGACAGGATTTGCTTTAATTTAGTAAAGTCTGTAACATAACTAATGATGCTCCCTCTTTTAATATATTTAGTATTTCATATTTGATAGATGAATGTGATATAAAATATATTAAAAACCTAATATAAATCTCAGGGAATTTGGAATAAATGAATAATTACGAACCTACTAAGTGTAAAAATCCATCATTTGGATTAATAATTATGAGCATCTTAACTTAATCATCGAATGAGTTCGAGATTTGTAAGATCATAAACTGGTTTTTATCTTGATTTCATTATGTATAATATAATAAAGTAGATAGTATAATTATCATTATTATGAGGCAATTTAGTGTATGATTATTAGATGAGTATGGCATACAATGTTGGACAGAATAAAAACCAAAACGTTCTCTAAATATTATAAAAAAGATAAATACAATATTTTTATAATTATATTCTTATTATCTAAAATAATATTATGTATGAGTTTGCAAGTGAGAAAACAAGAGGAATTAATGGATCTAAAATTATTAGATAGGATAAAACAAAATATAGAGTATGAATCAATTTTGATTTAAATATAGAGTCATAACTTTTTTTCTGTGAATCCTCATGTCAGAATGTTTAGCCAATTATTCTAAAAAAGCCCGTATTTAACATAGTTTAAGGAGATGCTCTTTTCAAGCCTTTAGCAGATTTATTTGAGGACTTCGTTGATCCTAACTGTTTTACAATGGATGCAACCGCCAATTCTGTGTAACTCTTAGAAAATGAGAGATCAATAATACTTAAAAATTATACAATATGCTCAGTCGACCAGATAATTGGGAATCGTACCTGAATAAATTTATATCATCGAAATAGAGAGACTCCTTAAAGTCTTATAAAATGACAACAAAGAAATATCATTAAAAATTCTATATGAACTTTGTGTTGCCATGAATTGCATTATAAGGGGCAAATAGGAATTCATTTTGTATGATAAATTTTTTGCTTATTTGTACCATCAATTTAATTCAGGATACGATTTCGTCTAGCAATCTATTCAATAGAGAGAATATTTGAAAAAATAAAAGGAAGAGCAGAGACTAGGTAAATTAAATCAGCATGGTTTAAGAAGAGTAGGATAAATATCAATTTTAAAGAACGAATTTTACTTAGAAGAATAGCAGAGTGATGGAATCAGTAACATTCCTTAAGTACTTACGATTGATTCATAATTGAAGCTTCCAAATTCAAGAATATTATCAGGAAAACTATCATAATAAATCTAAAGTGCTGAAGTGGCAATTCAAGATTTATAAAAAGAAGTCAAGGACTATTACAATATGTATGCTGAGTATTTTTATGATTCCGTAAAAAACTTGATTTAATTCAAAGGGGGAAACGAGTCATCAAATCATAAATTTCTAGGTTTGAGATTCAATATGAAGTAGATGCTGTCTATCAATGCAATATATCAAAATGAAGAGAATGGCACTAAATTATATTTGCATCAGTATCAACTAGTCTCTGGATTAAATGAAAAGCAAAATTCCTTAACATAATATTTGACTTATCAATCGATGTTTAACAATAATAACAAGGAGGATCAAGTTGAAAATTTATAGGAGTTTTTAAGATAAAGTCCTCCTTTATCTCCCCACCAATCAAATGTTCATATTAAAACTGAAACTGTGCATCAATAGACTCATAGCAATGAGGATATTAAAGTTGAGTGTGAAGATGGAAATTTGAATGAATATGAAAACGAATGTGGTGTCCTATTAGATTTTACATTATTTGATCCTCAAACAACTGTGCAATATCAAGTCTACTCAGTTAATAGTGAATGCATAGCTGGAATTAAAATATCATTTCCTGAAGAGTAGAGTAGTTTTCGGTTGATCCGAATTTCCATGTATTGAACCATAAGAAGGAGGCTATGATTGCCATACTTATCAATTCAAGCCACTATCAAACATAAAAGGGTGCCAAATTGAATTGGTCTAGATGACACCAAGTAGGAGATTCATCAAAAATTTCATCTTATTGGTCCAAGATTCGGATAACCCATAAGATCCAAATAAACTCAAACTTTTTAAATTTGATTTCCAGAAAAATTAAGAGATGGGGGATATTTAAAATTTACATGATCAAATAATGCCTTACTTTAATGATGACTGGAGAAGAGCAAGATTTCCCTTGTATGTTAATTTTCTATATAATCATCTCCCGTAAGCTTAGCAATAGTTGATTGTAGTCAAAATTAAAGAAAATCACGTTTGCGATCAAATAGCATGTTTCCTTATGTGGAATATTTAGAAAATAAAAAGAAACTCATGTAAATTGATTTGATTTATTTATAGTAATCCGAATGTATTTGAGATGTATGTCTAGGAATTAGGTCGATATAAAAATAGGGATCAATATCAAAGAACCGTGTTCATTTAGATTGAAAATTGGCAACAAATTCAACAAGAGAGAATCATCGATAACATACTTGATAACATAATTATTTTTATTTGGAATGGGGGATTCGACAATAGGAAATTATAGTGATTATTTATATTATTATTGTTCTTTTTAAAAAACGGTTTATGTATTATTATTTTTATGAAACAAATACTCATAGTCTTTGTTTTGATTATATTTGCAACAGCATCCAGTGGTAACTAACCTAATATAAACAGTAGATCTGCTAAAGTCATTATCTAAATTTGCTGATAATGGAGATTCTTCTTCCAAATTTGCCAAGAGTACAGTTTCTCCATTTTCCGAAGAAGAATCCGAAGATTACGATAGCGAAGACACTGAACCCTCAAAGAAAATGGCACCCAAATCCTAATAAGACGACAATGACGACGAAGTTGAATGTCATGGCTTAATTGAAAAGTTACTAACAGAAACTTTCCACTAGCAAGGATGTTAAACCCCCTTAACAACAAAAGAAGTAGGTTCAAGTAATTTCTGAATCAGAATCTGAATACGATGATGAAGAGGACAGTGGTAACATGTGGAGTAGAGGGATATCAAAAAAATTAGCTTAAACTGAATCTAAACCATTAGTGTTACCAATACAATCAGCCAAAGAATAAATAAAGAACGATTACAACCAATTTACAAGTTTAAAAATGCCTGAAGTCCAATAACGACCTCAGGAAACCAAATCACAAGATTAAACTCAAAAAGTGTAGGAGGATCCAGGAAAAGAACATTCTGCTGATTTTGAAAAAATGAAACAAGCCTAATTAGAGAAATACAGCAAAAGATTTCATCTTGATGAACCTAAAGAATCTAAGAGTATGTATGAGGATGATAGTTTGAAAGAGTTCATGCCAAAAATCAATTTTCAACCTATCAACATACAAGAGACCAAGACTTCATAATAAGTCCAATCAAATCCAGAAAAAAGATAAGAAAACAAACATGATGAATCAGAAAGTGAAGATGATGAAGAAGAGGATTCTGTAGAAATCAATAAAAAGAGTTCATTACAAAGTAAAATCAGTAATAAAGTTACTATTGACTAAAAACCTAACACAGATGCATTTGATTTCTTCAATCAAAGTAAACAATAATAAAAGTCAAATAAGAAGAGTTAACGAATTGAAGAGTCTGAGGATGAGGAAAGTGAATCAGCTTAAGAAGTGGAAGACGATGAAGATTATGTGTAATAGGTGAAGAAAAACAAAAAATAAAAGGAGGATAAGGAAGAATAAAAGAGAAAATAAAAATAACTCTAATAATAATAGGAAGAAGAGGAAGAATAAAGAAGATTGATGTTGAAGAAATAAAAAGAATAATAAATTCAATAGGAGGAATTAAGAAAGAAATAAGAAGAGGAAGAGAGATAGCAAGAGTTAGCCAAATAATAAAAATTGAAAAGAGATTCTGATGAAGATTAGATTCCATAAAAAAAGAAGTCAAAAAAATAAAAAAAGCAATTGAGTTTAGAAGAATTTCAATAATCTTTGAAAGTAGATGAGGAAAAACCTCAATTGACCTCTTTTGCATAAAAGGAGGCAAAAGAAAAAGCAATTTTAGAATAGAAAACATTTACATTAGTAAAGGAGACTCCACAATAAGTTTAGGAATAGAAAGTATTTAAATTGTAGGCAGTTCCAAAGAAGCAACAATAACTAATTCAAGAGGAAGAGTCAGAAGGAGAATCAGAAAGTGAAGATGATAATATTGATACTCCAAAATCTATAAATTGCTTTGAAAGTAAGAACAAATTTATATAATAAATCTGCTAATTATGTTAGACTAAAGTAGCTTATTAGGTTAATTAACAGAATTGGTAGAAGATTGGAATAAATGACGGTTTCAGGTATTTATTAAAAATTGTATCATATATCTTAGGAATTTAGGCAATCCTTTGAGCCGCTGATCGAGTTCACTTTCAAAAGCATAGGTGAAGTTGGATCATATTATTTGAGTTTTAAAGATCACACAGTTTGTTTAAGTGCTGAAAATTTAACAAAGATGGTAGAATTGATTTAATATGAACATATAGACAAATGTGGATAAAGTATTAAAGCACTTCACAGGAAATTAATTAGCTGATTACAATTCCCCAGTTGATATTCCAGCGAAAAGTTAACCCATTAACTTTTTATTGAGTGCAGAATACGGTAAATGATGATGAATAAATGTAGATTCCTTATTAAATGGATTTTCATGCAGAAGATTTTAAATAGCCATAAAAACAGATCTGAAATATAAATTGAGTAAGAAAAATGATATTAATGTTAAGCAAATAATATTTTATAAAAATAAGGTAAAAGTCATATTAACTGATAGTTAAAATTAAAATATATTGGTTTGATTTAAATAAATGGTGTTGTCCATCAAGCCAGTTTCGATTAGGAAGAAGGAGGAGAAGTCACAAATTTGATTGTTACTCAATTGAATCTACCCAAAGAACAAGGAGTCATAGCCAGTTTGGTTGATAAGTATGTCGATAGTAATTTTGTGGCAGATATGCTCCAGAAATCAGGTAATTTTTAGTACTTAGATTTAGAATAAATGATGGCTGATTTATAGATCTAGACACATATCAAGAATGATGACATAGGACTCACATTTAACTTGAGAAAGAGGAAGGGAAAATGATGAATTTAGATTTATTTTAAATTGAAAAATAAATCAATATCAGATTTCATCTCCAGCTGATTACCTTAAAGCCAATTATTCTCTTAATGTTCTTAATTCCTTGTTTACTAAACCGATGGTTTCTGAAACTACATCTCTGTCAGAGGTTCTGGCAGCTCTGGAATCTTCATAGTCTTAGACGGCTTCTTCACATTAGGTAAATCTGTCAGTTCTGTCAGCAGTAACATTTTCAATTCTTTAGTTGGTTGTGTCTAAAGTAGCTTCAACTTAGGCAATGAGATCATTCAATGCAGCTAAATCTGCTTAAGCATTAGCAAGGGAGGTTCCTGCAACAGTGATGGCGATGACGACAAAGTTTCTTTACTTCTTGTAGGCTTCAACTCTCTTGTCTTCAGCGAATCTCAATAAGGCTAAAGAATCAGCAATCTTGGCCAATAATTCATCAGCTAAGTCAATGATCTTCTAGACTGCTCCAGCATCAGCCAATTGTTCAGCCTTGGAAGCAATTGTAGCGAAGGCTTTGAATAATTTGCTGTATCCCTTTCTGTGTTGGAATTTGGCTGTTTTTTTGGCAGATTAGGTGAAGTGCTTTTAGATCATACTAGCAACCTCCCTGGTGAATGTGTGGGCTGGTTTCTTTGTGGCTTTTCCCTTTTAGATGAAGGATTCGTGTTCAATGTTATCAGCGAATAGTCTTCTGGCTTCAGCAATTATAGCTGTGGCTTCTTGGTGTTCCAATACTTTCTCTTCGAAGTCAGCGTTCTCTTCAGCTCTTTAAGCATCGAGTTCGTCCAAATCCTTTTAGTATCCTTTGACTTCAGCCTACTTCTAAGCAACCAATCCTTATAAGATTTCTCTTTGTGGATATAACTATCCTTCTAGTCTGGCTTCTAATTCGATCTTCTTTCTGTTAGATTCAGCCAAATCTTTATCGAAAGCAGAGATGTCCTAAAAATAGTAGAAAGGAAATATCTTACCACTGTGCAAGCATCCTAGTATTCATGGTTTCTAGCATCGTCTTCCTTTTATTCAGCAACGTATCTATCCTCCAAATCAGTCAAGGTTTAGATTAATCTGTCCAATGGATCTCCTGTTTAGAGTTCGAGCCAAATTGTATCAAATAGGGTTCTGCCAAAAGGTGAATTGTCAATCTTCTTAATTTTGGCTATAATATCAGCTTATGTTGATGAGGCCAATACTATGAGGGCTAAGGCAAAGATAATTGTCTTCATTTATTGATATTATTAAAAATCAAAAAGCTAGTCGTTTTTATTTTTCTAAAAATGACGTCTTATTTCGATAAAATTATCATAATCTGACTAAATTTATCAAATTAAATTTCATTAATATTTAGCAAATACCTTAGATTCTATTTAAAGTATTATCTCTCAATTCTTAGCAAAGGCTAATATTATCTATTATTTATTATTTTGGTAGAACATAAAGAACTATTTTCTCAATAGAAATTTCTCAAGAATTGAAAAATGGAATTCTTTGATTTTAATGGTAAAGTTAATTGCAACGAAACACTATAATTGAAATCCAATAATATTATTACATTTTACTAGTAGATAAAATTATTATAAAAGCATAATTTTTGATCAAAATACAATTTATATTACTTCTTGGTAATAGAGTATAATATGTAAATGAATTTATCTCAATATATTAATTTAAAATGACTCATCAATAAATATATTATTATTGATTAATTACATTCATATTTTGTGTGTAAACCAAGAGATTAGATATAGAGAGTAGATATTGGTTTAAGGCACATATCACACATATCAATGTGAAATAAAAATATATTGACTAAAAAAAAGCATTAACTTATTTAGAGTTTCTACAAATCTTAATTAATTTAGTCTTATTGATATGTTGATTAGTTCTTGAATACTTCAACATATATTATTAACAATTATTTTTGTTATGAAATTTTTGATTGTTAATGGATTTACTGCAACTGCTTCTCACTCTAAGATCTTTAATCAATTTAGACAATAAATATATGAAGTATTAATTCAAAAGATCTAGATCACTTAAACATAGAAGGAAGTCGCTGATATTGACTTTGATTATATTGAGCTTGATAGACACAATTTAGAAGAATATTTATTTGAACCAGAAACATCTCACATCAAACCTGAGAAAGGGCTGAAATTTAATTCATTAGACATGGTTTTTATTATAGCTTCCCCAAATACAAGACCCTGGAATCCAAATATGCGAAATGTATCAACAGATTTACTATTGTAGATTATAAGCTCTTGATAAGAATGTGCATCAAAACTAAGAAATTGCTTTTTATGACCTCTTTTGGAGCTCAAGCACTTGCATACTTGTGTGCTTCCAATATTTCAACAGTATTTATTCTCATTTTATAACAGCATATTAAAATTACAAATGGAAATGGAGAGGGCAGTAAATTGGTTGATTTTCCAAAGTACACTATTCAAGCCTTGAAGAATACTCATGATGACTACTTTTTGGACACTACCACTGGAGATTTGTATACATACAACAAAGTTACAGATGAATGGATGCCTAAATGCAATATTGGAATCCATCACAGGAGAGATGCAATGGAATATCAATCTATAGGAAAGTATGTTGTAAAATCCCCTGCTTATAAACCAAAATAAGTGATGCTCAGCAATCAAACAGAAATGACTTGCATTATTAAAAAGCCATTTTTGCATTATTGGTTGTTTAAAGATGTTAACATTGAGTTTTCAATTAAATAATCAAACACCTGGGATATACATGCCATCACATTTACAAACCCAGAAAGAGTAACGAAATCGATTATATTATAGAGATTTCAATCTTTGGCTGAAAACAACTTACGAGGTCCCTTAATCATACAGTGTGATAACATAATAGCATTGCTATTCGAGTTGGATTATAAATAAAAAGATTAAGTTAATCTGTTATCGAATTTTATAGAAAATGGGATCAAGATAATTAGATATTCCAATTCATATGTATTAATGTGAACATTTTTAGAACACAATTAGCATTACAAATGAAAGGTAATTTACTTCCCCAAGAGGATTGGAAAACATATAATTGATCTACAATTAAGATAATAAATCGAAATCCTAGCATTTATAGGAGGATATGATGAAGAAGCAACATAAAGCCTATGTGAGGGAATATCGCAAATTAGTTAATACGGCTATTCTAGATTCAGAGAGAGATAGGGATAAGATATTACATGTGGGATTCTCAGTAAAGAAAAATCGTTTACCAGAGTATGTAATATACTATATAGAGTTGTTGAATAAAATAACATACAGCAGAAAACATTGAAGGCAACTCAAAGGAAATCATTTATTGCTAAAAAAGAACACTTTTATTAAAATCTTGACTCTCTTAAACTTAATTTAGATGAAAATCAAAGTTACAAGAATCCTTCAACTTCAACTAGTAGAAAGCACTTAAAGTTACGAACTGAACCTAAAGGAGTGCTATTTCAAATGATTGATGAACCTGAAGAGCAACCATTAATTCAAACTCATAGAGTTCTATCCCAAATTGAAGTCAGAAAATAGTTACACCCTTCGCTAAATCAAGAGTTTTTGGGATCTTAAAAAAATTGGATCCCAGGATTCTTGAAATTAAATAAATCTAAGGTCTCCTAATCATAACCTAATTCTGGTAGACAAACATTTTAATAACTACTTGATTGATTAATTTATAATAGTATTATTAAACTATAGATTTATTAACACTTAATATTCATGAACACACTCCAATATGTATTTAATTTATGTAGTAAAGTAATCTTAACCTATCCCAAATGTTTTTTATTTATCTTATTGGTATTAGTAGCTTATCCACTAAAGCCTGGATATAATCATTGATCTGATCATCATCTCAAAAAATTAATAGTTTTTCTATGGGTATGTCCAATATTTAAAAAAGGACAAATCGAATAGCTTATAATTTTATATATTTTCTTTTGTGATTTAAGCAATTGAAAAATAATTAAAATATCAACATGAGTAACATCTATTATGGTGTGATGATAATTTCATTGCTAAGATATTAATATCTAGCATACTTTTTTATTTATTTGAAAGTAGATTATTTTTGAAATGAAAATTGTAGCATATTATAAATTTTTAGCATCTTAATCCATGACTTTTACATTAGGGAATAGAAAACAAAAATAGTTTCAGGTTTTTGATTTTGTTCAACAATATTGCTAAAGAGGGTCAAATTATTCCAATCCAAAATAAATGCTTTGAGTTAGTCGATAATTTGTTAATTTTTTTAGAGAAATAATGAAGATAGTGAAGGGTATTGCATAGTCACCAGCTTGGAGCTCCTAGAGAGAATAAGTATGAATAGTTTATAAAAGAGCATATGTTGATTACATTTATTAATTTAATTATATGAGTGAAATATTATAGTAAGATGAAGAAATTTAATTAGATCAAGAAAATATTAGAGGATATTTAGATGATGAAATTCTAGGATAGATTGTAGAACAATATTAGCATTAAGGACTCACAAACTAAACAATAACATAATATACTTAGTTAGTCTCAAGAGGTTGCCAATTAGTAAATTTAAATAACTTATTATTTAGTTGCATCCATTATTGCCAAAGCTACCAGACTAAAAAGGAGTAAAATTTATAAGCTAACAAGAATTACTCAATTTAGATAAAACTTTATTGGGACGACTTGAGAGTGATCAGAGATTCAGAACATATCGCGAGAAAATTATGAGAAATAATTCTCAATCTTTTGTGCGAAAATTCAATCTAACAGACAAGAGTCAATCTGTTTTGAATGACAGCTGCTGCTTGAAAGAATAAATTTAATTTCAATTGGATCACAATAAAACACAATTAAGATATTAGGAAGAACAGTAAAAGCAAAACATAATGAGAACAACGTTTGCAAGATCAAGATCTTATAATCATAACAAGTTACCCAAAATAAAAACATATCCTGCAAAAATCGATGAGGAAGGATAAATTATGCCAACCATAAAAGCCAAAGTTATACAAGTACAGCAACCTGAAGAAGAGTTCACAATTCCTACTCATTATTTAGGATGGATAGATATGTTCTTTGGAAAATGGAGACCTTAAATGAGAGAAGGAGCTTCCTTGAATAATATCTCTGGGAAATTATATCTATTTGGAGGAATAAGTAGCAAACCATTTAATGATGTTGTTATTTGGGATCATAAGGAATGGTTCCAACCTCAAGTAATTGGAGAGAAAGCCCCTTTTGGTAGAACCAACCATATTCACTGTGTCTATAGAAGAAACATCTATATATTTGGAGGTGAGAAACCCTATGATGGTTAACAGAAGATAAGGGAGAGCACCAATGATTTCAGAGTGTTTAATACAGGTAAATTGGCAGATATATGAAATAGAAAATAATGAATTCAAAGCCTTGAGGTTTGGAGGAGAGGTGATTGAAGGGAGAAGGGGAGCATCTGGTGCAATTGTAGGAAAATATATCATTATCCATGCAGGAGTCAACACCAAAGGGAAATATTTAAGTGATTTGTATCACTATGATATTTTGAACAATAAGATGATTTTAAGTTAAGTTGAGCAGAATGACTTTTTTACTAATGGGATTGCTTTTCATACGCTTATCTCCGTCTTCAGCAGTTAAAGGAATATCCAAATTTATAAAAACTATATGGATCCTGAGGAAATGAAGGAAGTCAAATATAAAGTAGAAGGAGTGTATTTGTTTGGAGGAGAATCTAAAATAGGAGCATTGTATTCTGGCTTATACATGCTGAATCCTTGTACTCGCCCTATGTAATGGTCTTTGGTTTCAGGCAAAGGATAATTACCAAGTAAAATATTGAATTATATTGCATCTTAGCTAGTAGATACAAACACTCGGCTTCTTATTGTGAACGACAGGGAATTATTATTATTTATGGTGGAATAAGCGAATCATCTGAATTTTTAAATGATTGCCACATTTTCAAAATTGAAACTCAATCTTGGAGCAATGTCGATTTAGAGTGCAAAGAAGGAAGAGCAGGTCATTGTGCTGTTGTGGACGATCATAAACTTATGATTTTTGGAGGCTATAACGAAACTGGATTTCTTAGTGCTGACTTTCAGATTCTAGAAATCGATTCTATGATAGCCTATCGAAACAGAAGATAAGCCAATATATCGAGTCATCTTATAACTAATCCTTTATAATTATCGACAACGAATTAAAATGTCAAAACAAAGCAGTAAAATTACACTGACAGAATGAGTAAAATAAGAGAATAAGTTGCCAGTCTTTCTTATAATATTAAATCTTTCATACCTAAACCTATCATTAAATAAATATCTGCCAAGAATCTCAATAAAATCAATAAAGAATAAATGCTATTTTCTTAAAGGTTGAATGAGGAGACTTCTGAATTAATCAAAGACTTTGATTATATAGAAGAAAGCAAAGATGAAATGAAGAATTCTTCCAAGCTGGACGGCTCTCCAAATTCAAATAAAAAACTTACTGATAGGCGCTCAATTTCAATTAGAAATTTATAACCATTTTCCCATTGACTAGTATTAATTTATATGTTTAATCAATATTTTATATTTAAATTTGAAAATGACTACCTAGTGGAATCCCTATTTCATACCTAAAGAAAATTATCAGTAGTTGAATGTAAAGCATACAATCAAATTAGAATATTTCCTTTGTAAGAATTGATTAGAATTCCCAATAGCCTCAACATCCAAAATCCATACTATGGCATAATAAAATTTAGATTCAAGTAATTTTGGTCATCATAATAGTCAAATCCGAAACCTGAAGAAACAAAATATAAAAGAAACAAAAAGCAATCCAGTTGTATTCCATTCTAAATCAACATCCCCCAACAAACATCCAATGCCACCTTAACAAAAGTTGCTTAACCAAGTTTGAAACCTACCTTACAGAAGCCAAAACCGAACGAAGACAATAATTTGAAAGATTCAGCAGTATGGGAAAGAAAAGATTACTAAAACCCGTAGGTTACTTTTGAATCCTTTCTCAATTAATAAAACCACTCGAGAAATAATTCCATTGATAGCAATAACAAAACTTAATTCAAAAAAAATCATAGACAATACAGTCATGTCGTTTAAGGTAATTCAGGGACATATTTTATGATTTCCAATATCCCTTAAAATAACAACACTCACAACAACACTTCGAATTCTTACTATTCTAATTATGACAAGTATAGATAATGAATATTGATATTTTTAGCTGCAATTCTCAAAGAGAAGAAAAAAAAGTTGAAAAATTAAATGTTCTTAAATTTTTAATCTAAGACAACTCTTCAAATTAATTAAGTGAAAGAACCATCAAAAAGTAAAGTCCTAATAACAATTTATTAAAACATAAGAAGAACACTCGATGCATTTCAATGGGAGAACAAAAACATTTGGGACTAACTCTAGAATGTGACGAATCTAGCATTACAATATTAAGCGATAATGCCAATTCAACCAAAACAAAAAGTATCTAAATGAATCAAACTGTGAGTTAAAATGAAAATGATAAGGATTCTTAAATTGGTGGATTCTCTTCTGAAACCCTATAAGCCTTGATGCTTTAAGAAATCGAACACTTTCCAAATCCTGATTACATGGCTACTATTCAAACTCAAATAAGTCCTAAAGTCAGGGCTATTCTGATGGATTGGATGATTGATGTTTGTTCTGTCTATCAGATGAAAAGAGATACATATTATTTAGCTGTTGCATATGTCGATAGTTATTTATCAAAAAAATCCATCCCTAAAGTTGATGTATAATTATTGGGTACAGCCTCAATGCTAATTGCATCAAAAATGGAAGTATATTCATATGTTATATTCGAGGAAGTTGAGGCAAAACATGCTAGTGAGTTTGAAAAAGCAGCCAATCATGGGTATACTATCGATTAAATTTATCAAATGGAGATTGATGTTTGCACTGTGCTATAATGGCACTTGAATCTTCCGACGATTAATCTTTGGATTGAATTCTACACTAATTAATGGGATAACTTTATAACAGATGTTCAAAGAAAATTCAGAGCCAACAACACAGCTTCATATAAATGTAATTCATTCAATTTTATCCTTAGTAATATTAAAATTGCAGGCATATATTGATTGTTGCTATTTGGATATCTATACATTAAATTTTAAACCAAGAACCTTAGTAGCATCATTTATGTACTTAATCTTGGCCATTGAATATTAACAATTCACTAAAGAATAAATATATTATGAAATTCCTAAGACCAGTAAATTCATACTCGTTGATTGTAATCCTTTATTTAATTCATAGCTTAGAAATCATTTAACAAGCTATTTACTGAATTTGTTTAGTATAGTTTTGGTTTCAATCTAGTAGATCTAATTGATGTTATCAAATACGCAGCAAAATTTATTATGCTTGATTTTAAATTTAGTGACACTGTCCAAGATAAAATCATTTAAGTAGTTATATGTATAACCTAAATAGAGACACGAAGACTTACTTATATACTAAAAATATAATTAATCAGGACTTTTGTACATCGAAAACAAACTTCAACAGTGAAATATGTTGAATTAAATTTGTTTTTATTTTACTTTTAAACAATTTAAGTTGTTTATCAAATCTAATCTTTAATCGTAATCAAAATTTAAGAAATATTATATTGAATATAGAATAAAAATTGAGAAATATTTTCTCTGCAATTAGAAAATTGGAATATTACGAAATTTTCTAAATAATAATTATATATTATTCTTATAATCATTTTAGATGAGCGAAAATGATGCAAATTTGGGATTATTATCCAACAAATCTAATGCTAAATATAAAGAACCGAAGAAGAACAGCGATGATTTTGAAATTTAGGATTACGGAGATGATTAGGAATACGTCTCTTTAGATTAGGCTAGTAAACTTGATTTATTACTTCTTAGAAGTACAACATGCTGAGGTTATTTAACCAAAATAAATCGAATAACCAATCACTCCTCCTTAAAATAACAGATAATGTTAGCCAGAGCTTTAAAAAAATTAGAATTATCAATAGACTTAGCAACAGAACTAGTTTCCCCCACAGTAGTAAAACCAGCATCCTTAAATTTAATAACAAGTGCCAATTAACTAGTACCAAGTATTTCAAATACACATAATATAGAATTAGTATAGTTAATATCAATATACTCCATATCAAAATTCATAATATTCTTATCAATAGAACTAGTAATACAATCCGGTTTCAAATGTATTCCAATAAACAGCCATCCTGATTGACAGGGGTTTCAATCAAAGAACGTAATTATTATTTCAACAAAAAGACAAACCTATTAAACTTGCATGCATTGTAACACTCCCTAGATGATATAAGATGAAAAATAACCATTTATGTGCTTTAGATGCTAACAAATTAATAAGCCTAATTTTGGTTATTTTCAATGCGGCTCATGCAAAATTACAGTCATGTACCAATGCGGATGTAATATCTCACAATTTAATTAGTATCTAATTTAATCAGATGCACAAAATGTCAAACAATGAATTATGTCTAACAGCCTAATCTTCCAAATACGTTATAATAATATCAACAATCATAATAATAGTAGAATTTATTATAATAACAACAACAATAGCAATTTAATAGTTCAAATTCTTAATTGTTCTAATCCTAAAATTAATAAACAAATTAACAAAAATTATCTGAGTATTCATAATACTAACAGCCCAATAAGGAATAAAAGAATATTTCCAGAAACTAAGTTGATCCGATGTATCAAGAAAAATGATAAAATTCCATATTATTAAATAATATTTATTAGTTTATGTTAAACTAAGATTTTGATATCGAAAGTCTTTCATAAAATTTGGCAGGGATTTCTAATGAGAATCAATAACTGATTAAGGATGTGTAAAATATTCTGAGAAATGAATTTGTGGACGAGGATGGCCTAATAAAGTTGTGCCAATAAGGGTTTACAAATTAAACAAATAGATTACGAGGAATAGCGTGGAGATTGTTGTTGGGGTAAAAAATTTAATTGTTGAAGGTATTTCCCTTTGAATAAAAAGTATTGGACTTAGGTGATTATTAAAAACAAGGACAATTACAACAATATTAAAATAGAAAATATTAAGAAAGCACCTCCTTAAAAAAAGAATGATCATCCTCTATCTAGAAATACAGATTCTGATTGGAATAATCATTTTTAAGATTAATAATTATGGTCTAAAATCTAGAAGGATGTCATTAGGACTAGAGTAAAGGAATTGGGAAAAGAGGAATATAGAGAGATGTTAACTAGGATTTTATTTTTGTGTTGTAAATTAAATAAAATGGATTATGTCTAAGGAATGAATGAATTTGCTGCATTAATGTAATGCTAAATAGATTTAGTCTGTATGTGTGTATGAGTGATCCAAATGAGAAATTACAGAATGAGAGTGATGCATTTTACTGTTTTATGATATTGATGACAAGTTTGAAAAACAACTTTTAGCTTTAAAAGGAAAAAGTAAGGACATTTTAGGATTTATTAAAGAAAGTAGATTGGAAATTGCATGATCATTTAGTGAGTCAAAAAATGGATTTTTCTATCCTATATGTAAAATGGTTTATGATTTTGTTCGCTTAAGATTTTCACATAGATGATTCTTTACGTATATGGGACTGTTTGTTTTGCTAGAAAAACAACAGAGAAGAATTCTTATTCTGCTTAGCAGTATCCTTCTTGATTTAATTGAGGGAAGACTTAATCGTAGGAGATTTTGGATAAATTTTGTTGATTCTACAAAATCTAGAGAAATAAGACATCAATTTGAGTGAAGTGATCTAAAGAGCACAACTCTTATAGAAGGAACAAAAAAAGTGTTGATGATGTAAGCAAAACTTAAATATATTTAAAATAAATTATAATCATGATTAACTAAAAGAAAAGTCCATTTATTCCTTCTTATAATGAAAATTGTTCTACTAAATTATTGAATGCTGTAATAAATCATCCTTATCTACTCCCTTTAAATTTGGGAATATTTTAAAAAGCAATCTTTTGTAATCCTTAGATAACGCACATTAATTTTAATGACAATTGATAAATTCTAATGATTTATTAATGTGTAGCAATTATTGCAAAGATGATATGCAGTTTTAACTGATATTTAATATCTTTAAACATTTCGTATTGCTTAACTAGGAAATTTAGTTGTGTTGAGCATACAGTTCAACTAAATTTGGTGGCAATCCTTCCAAAGACTTTAAATTATTTCCCGCTACAGATAAAACTTTTAGAGCTGTCAACTCCTCTAACTTTAGTTCTTTAATACACAAGGAATTTATGCTCAAAAATTATAGGTTCTTAAATATCATGGTTACTTCTCGAATTTCTGAACACCTATCATTAAAAATAAGTGTTTAGACATTAAATATCGCTTTATTTAAATTATGGAAAACTAAATAAAAGTCTGAAAGTGTAAAGGAGCCTATCCCATTTAAAATTATCTCCTATTCATTTTATTGGAGTTATTTTGTTAATTCCTTAATTTATTAAAAATGTGTCTTCTTTAATTGATGCTACTACTTCTACTTCGTTATATATTCAAATAATCATACATACTCTATCTCATTTTCTATATGAGTTATTTTAGCGAGAATCTTCTTTTATGCTTCTTGTAAATTCTCAATCCTCATTCTTGGACTTTTAGAAATCTTAGATGCTTTGCAACTTTGTTGGGTCTTAATTAATTTTGTTGGGTCATGATATGATACTCTGATTTCTTATTTGACTTTGGCATCATTCAATGTCAGATCATTAATAGAATCTGTTAAAGAATTCACACAAGTTGACAATTGTGGATCCTATTAATGAAGATTACCAATAATTTAAAAGAAGTCATCGTATGTTAATCTAATTTTCTTATATTTATAAACTTCTTCAATAACTTCTTCTAATGAAAATAATTCATCTTGAGGATTAACTTATTCTGTAATAATCTCATCCTTTAAAGAACTGATCAAATCTTAAATGTCTAACACGCTTTCCTTCACAAAGAGCTTCTTTATATGGATCAACCAATTCAACTTAGATAAAAATATATCCATTAAATTAATTATAAGTATTTGAGTACAAGCTTAGGCTAATAAAATTCCCTCCTGAACACTTTATTAATTTAATAAGATTAGATAATTTAATGCTTGTTTTGTTTATATCAATTTTGATCAACACCAATCTAGGAAATGTACTAATCTAAGAAAATTAAGATTCTACAGAATATTTCAAAATACATTTTGGTGAACCCAAGATAATATTAAGAATACCTGAGGCTGAAGATGCTGTTTTAGAGAGTTTCGAAAAACAGAGTTTTTGCGAAGTAAAACAATAAACTGTTTAAACACAGACATAATAATTTACCATACTTAAATCTGATGAATTCAAAGAGTATATAGATTAAATAATTGATTAATAGTTATGAGTTTGAGAATGATACTCCATTAAATTTTAGATAATTCATTGGGATGGTTCATGTTAATGATGGAATGATTGCTATTACATCTGATTCTGTAGCATACTTATTGAAATTCAATTATGATAAAGTAATAAGTTAGCATGGTTTTGCGAAATATGGAAATGGCGGTGATTTTGCAGGTCTAGTTTGGAAGGCGAATCTTTAGGAGATTCTGATATCAACTGAGTCAAAATAATAATTACCCCAGATAGTTTATTCAAAAACTAGAAATCTTGCTTTCCTTTTATTCACTGATACTGCTCATTATTTTAGTGTTTCCGAAATGGAGACCAATTAAAATAAGCTTTCTATTTATTAAGTTTCTACTTTCATAAGCAGAGATGAGAGAGGACTAACAAAAGAAGTTGAAGGGTATTTGTTCTCAGCAGTTGGGAAGGCAGGTTTGGATATCTATAAGATTCAAGAATTATTAGTTTTATATTAAACAACAATTACTTTCAAAGATTTGAATATATTTAATCATTAATTGGATTTAAAGGATTTTGCTATATTAAAAGTTGATGAAGGAAAATATTAATTTTATTTGCTAGATGCAAAATTAGGTTTAGTTTTGGCCTATATGTACATCAATTAGGATACTTTAAGTTTTGAGAGAGTTATTGAGGTTGAACCAATACCAAATGGCATAGCAGTTGATACAAAGAATGGTCAAAATGTATTTGCTGCCTTTGAAGATAATGGAATTCACTTTTATATTGAATATTATGTGGATTTTACAAAACGCAGTTATTCCATTATCACAAAAAGAGAGAGTAATTATAGAATATTAGATGTTGATGCTACAGATGAGTTTGCAATTATTAGCGGAGTAAACAATCATCAAATAGTGTTTTAAAATGGCTATGATTTTATTGCTCCACACAAATAGCAGATAAGGTTCTCCTAAATAGGTATGAGAGATTTTGAATTTTTTAAATATTCTTATTCAAATGACGATCTCAAAAATGCTGCTGAATCTGATGAATATTAATATGATGATTTCTTTTTTGGAGTCACTGCAACTAATGCATTTTTAACCAAATTTAAATTTGTTCCTGCTAGTGTAGTTTGTTTCACCGATAATAGTAAATATCTCTTATTATATCTAGAGTAATTAAAAAATACAAAGTAGTTTTATAGTTTACAATATAATTAATCTTACATTTCAAATAATATTGTTGCCAAAGATAAGGTAATCAGAACTACAAAAAACTTTTAAGTTGAAGTTGTTAGAACCTTCTTATTTGAATAGCAAATTAACATAATTTATGTTATATTAATAGTTTTGGGATTTGTGATATTTTTCTTTGGTATTAATTCAATATAATTATTAAATAGTAAGTGCAATTTGTTATAAGTTTTAATAATTTAGAAAGGAGGAGATAAGGTTAGAAGTTGAAATAGAAAATAAATAAAAAATGAATGATTCTCATAACCAAATAAAATTTGATGAAAGTTAAGTGATTTAGGCTCCTTGAAAATGTGAATGATGTTATTTTTAATTTATATTTTAATAAGAACAAATAAAGAATACTTTCTTGTTTTCAAATTTTCATTATATAATGATAAAATAATGATTTTAATTCTAATTTTAGTTAAGTTAATAGAAGGAATTATAATTAAGGAGGTGACTGACAAAAACTAAACTAAGAAATTTCATTTGGATAGAGCAACAACAATAATTACGATGCCTGGAGCAGCAGATTCAATTTTAATTGGAAATCAAAATGATAGTTACTGTTGGTCTCAACAACCAGCTGTCAAAACTGAGACAAAAACAATGAATATTATTACAGAGAAGGATCTGACTGATTATGTTTATTAAGAAGAAACTCCATTAAATTTCGGATAATTCATTTCAATGGTCCATGTTAGAGATGGTTTTATAGCTATTACTTCGAATGCCAAGATTTATCATTTGAAATTTAACTACAATTACATCCATGAGATATTCAGTTTCCCAGATTATGGAAATCCGTACGAATTTGCAGGATTTCGATGGAAGGTAGATTTATAGGCTTATGCTCCAACGACTGAAGATAAGGAAGAAATCCCTCAAATTCTATACCTGAAGACAAATAATTTAGTGTTGGTGTTATATCCGAACAGTGCACAGTTTTTTAGTATGTATGAAATGGATGCAAATTCAAAACACTTAATTTTGTACACTGCTTCATCTTGGAAGAAGAGAAAAGAGAGAGGACTTACAAAAGAATATTTTGGTTATGTTTACAGTAGTGTGGGCAGAGAGGGAATTGATGTTTATAGAGTATCATCATATGACGTTAGATTTGAATTAACAATAGATTTGATTAGGCTGTTTCCTGATTTTACAAAATTATCAGATTTTATTGTAATTAAGAAAGATCATGATGAGTTTCATATGTTCATGTTAGATGTTGTGATTGGATTAATTGAATTGGCAGTAGAGATTGATGATGGCGAATTCAAGTACAAAGTGAGACCAGAAATACCAAGAAAAGAGGGAGGTATTGCAGTTGATACAAAAAATGGTAGAAATGTGTTTGTTGTTTATAAAGAGTTATTTCGATACTCTATAATTGAATATTTGTACGACAAAAACATTGAAGGGTATGAAATTGTGAATTAACATATCTCTTACTAGAAAGTTGTAGGGTTAAAAGTAACAGATGAGTTTGTTTTAATACAAGGTTTAATTCATCATTAGCTTATATTCTCTAATTCCTTTAAATTAGTTAACCCAGACACTGAACCTACCATATACACATTGTTTGGTGTTCGTAACTTCATGTTTTTCGATTAAAATATAACAGATTATCCCTTGTTAAAGAAGTTCAATATTACTGGGTTCCAATACGATGATTTCTTTTTTGGTGTAACAGGTTCAGGGGCATTTTTAGTTAGATACAACTTTACACCTGCAGGAGTCAAATGTTATAGTAACAATGGTAAATTATGTATCAATAATTAATAGAAACTTAAATATTAACTTAACAAAGTTATCAAGTTAAGTATAATGTTACATAATTTATTGATGGGGAAGTAAATAGAGATTTAGTTGTAAGGCATAGTTTTTATTTAAATGTGCAACTATCTTATCCAGAACCTATATTAGAAGATGAGCTAATTAAAACCTTGATTCTCGTTTTCGTATTGCTATTAGGTAACTAATTGTGATAATGAAGTTTGTTTATTGGCTTTAGGGTGCGTTGAGAAAGTCAGACAGAGACACGAGAATGAGAAGTTTAAGACTCAACCTAAAACAGTAGAGATGATGATCTAACAAAATCCATTTTCAAAGATAAATCAGAAGTTAATGAGTGATGATTATAAATCTAAGTAAGAAAGAAAAAAGGACAAAAAGAAATCACAAATGTAGTCATAGCTAATTTGAAATGTTTATAATTAATAAATCTATATTAATTATTTTAACAGATATATCATAATTCTGATTCAGCTTCATAATATTATTCTAAAATGCTAAAGCATTTTTGATAAACACTCTAATTCTAATGTTTTTGTAATAATTCTATCTTTGAAATTACTCCCATTTATTCCAATTAAGTTAAGTAATAATTATCATCTTTAAAATCTTAATCACCTAAACTATAAAGAGAATGAAATACCTCTCTTTAAGACATTTAATAAAGCCTCAAGAACCACAGTCATAGTTTGTGTGTCGTCTCCTTCTAATAGTTATTTAAACACATTAAGCAATCCTTTTTAAACTAGCAATTATATGTCTGAATTGCTTCCATGCTTAGTTGAATTGGAAATGGCCCAAGTTGCTTCCCTTACAATTTCTTCTACATCAGTAGTCATTAATGTAAAGAGTTTCTCCAAAATTGCAGAATCTCTAACGACTTAGCTAACCTGATTGCTACTTCCTGCAGTAATGTTTGAGATTGTCCAACAAGCCTATGATAAGATAGAGTATTACTTCTCTTCTGATGGCCTTCTTGTCATGAGAGAGCAACTTTGGTATTTTTAGTAACAAACCTTAATTTAATACATATGTTGTTTAGGTTTCGTCTCCAGTTACAACATTTCCCAAAATCCTAAGAGTTGGGATAACTAGTTAAAGAGATGAATGATCAAGTAATTTAATTAAGGTTGGGACAACTTGAGAATCAATCACAGTTTATAATCTGCTGTTGTCTCCATCACTTAAGTAGGACAAGGCCCAACAAGCATCAGTCAAAACTTCAGGGTCAGTCTCATCTATGATGACTTTGCAAAATACAGGTAAAGCATTTTTGACATACTATTTATTAATAGAATTTGGTAAATACCTTAAAATCAGGAATTGGCTTTCCTCTGCAAAGATTGCTCAATGACCATGTGCAATGTTTAATTGTGTTTTTGTTTGGAGAGTTTTGCATAATGGTTATCAAGGGATCGACTCCACCTACTCTTAATATAAGGTCTCTGTATTAGGTGCAATCTCCAGCAATATTTCCTATGGCCCATACTGCTTGTTCAGCAATATCTCTGTATTACGAACTCAAGAGTTTAACAAATAAATATATTCCTCCCTTGTCAATAATGGATTGAGTTTGTTGAGTCGTTCCACTTGCAACATTTGTTAAAGCCCAAGCAGCTTCAAGAACGAGTTGTGGAATTTGCTCTTTTTATATCATGTCAATCAATTTAGGTACCAAATTTGCGTCAATGACCTACTAAATTGGAGCGCCTGACTTTAAAATTAAAATGTATTTCTTACTTCAACTGACAACATCTTTCTTAATCCTGTCACTCCGTAATGTAATTACAATACATCAGTTGAAAAGATCTTTTGTAGAACATCAGGAAAATCTTCAAATGAAAATGATCGTTTCATGAGTTGCTCTTGCTGAGTTTTTAAGGCTAATTGTAAATCTTACGGAAGAGTGGGAGGTATTAATGGCAAGGATTCAGGAATTTGGTTGACTTAATTCTAAATGATTAATCAATATGAACTACATTTTAAGCTAATCTTTTATTGTTTATTATGTTATTTCTTTCCCTGGACCTGATTTCTGTTGCAAATTCTTCTCTTTTTTTCTTGACTTCACTATTTTATTCAGCTTCATTCGCTTGCACATTCCCAAATAATGAAAACTAATTTTATGGCTACATAATAAAATATTTTATGATAAATTTTACTTTAATAAAAATTATTAACTATATTGTATTTATTTTCAAAATAAATATGAAATACAACAGTTAAACCAATCCTCCTTCGAATTTCCAACACTTTATGGGCGTTGCTCCAAACTAGTTCAACTCTAATGTCAAAGGTTAGGTAATCTGTTCTATATTTATTTGTCATAGACATTAAATCCACAATAACAGAATCAGTTTGATTAATCTAGGGTCTCATAATTGCCTGTTTCCAAAATTGAGGAGATCAATAACCAACAATCTCATGAAGTTAATCATAGTCAGATTGATCCCCATTAGCACTCATCTAAAGGCTAACATTATCATCCTCTCACCATGCCATGCAATTGGGAATTGGCTAGAAAACATGCTTAATCAAGAAGGACAGCTTTAGAGAAAAAGAAGGACATTAATAAAACTACAAATGGTATGCTTATTCCTATTATCAATCAGTTGAAACCTGTCCTTGCTGTGGATTTGAAGTAGAGAGAGATGATATCCCGTACTGTTCAAATCCCATGGCCTTATCATTTCTAGGTTCTGGATTCACCTTATTTTACAATTATCTTAAATATTGCATAATAATCTTGTTCATAACTTTGGTCACTAAGCAGATATATAATCTCTATACCAGTTATGAGGGATCATATTGCAGTCACTTTAAAAGAGAAAAATTAGAAGGACATATAGTAGAATTACCAAACTGTTCAGAATCATTGTTCTTGAAATTATCATTAGCTAATAAATTGGAGTATTTTCTATTTTAAAACTAGCAATCGTTAAGCTTTGGAGCATGTGCAAATCTTAAACTTTATAAACCTATTTATTGTAATGATGGTTCTCATCTATTTTAGAAAAAGCTAGAGATAGATAGATACAACAATAGACGAGGAACTCTTGACACCTGCTGATTATACGGTTTGTGTCAAGAATATTCCTTTAGGACTAGGGTTAGATTACAAATGGGAATTGAAACATATGTTTGAGACTTGTGCAGTTATTTCAGATACGAAATCTATTGTAGTGAAGAAGGTTGTTCTCGTTTATGATATTGAAGAAATTATCGAGATGGAAAAACAACTAGATGAATTAGTGGATAGGAAGAAAGATCTTATAAAAGAATATGATTATCAATTTAATCATCCAAAAGTTTTGGAAATGGATTAGAAGATCAAACAGCTGGAGCATAAAATACATGAAACTGAGAAGGAATATGAAAGAGAAAATAAAAAATTTGCCGGAATAGCATTCATATCATTTGATGATGAAAATATGAAAAATCTAGTGTTACAAGAGAATCAACATACCCAATTCGAGAGAATGAAGTCATATTGGAATAAGGGTAAATTAGAAGGATTGTCCGAGAATGATTTATCATGGCATGATCAAAAATTATTTATTGAACAGGCTCCAGAACCAAATGAAGTTGATTGGGAATTCATTCATGTTAAAACTGAAGAAAAGATAAGCAAGAGAATGAAGGCTTGGATAATTTACATCTTGGTTGAAAGTGCAGCATTCTACTCAATATATCTGATTTCACATAAAGTGGCTAAATATGGAGATGAGGCAAGAGAGGAAGAAATACAAGGAAAATTGGATCATAATACTATGTTGAAAATAAACATTCTATCTTATGTTATATCCTTGAGCATTGTTCTATTTAATAAATTTGCAGTTGCCAAAATAGTTCATTATATTGTAGATGACGAAAAAATATCCAGTAAGACTAAATTTTAAATATCCTTCGTTTACAAATATGCTTTAGCATTATTTTTGAATGCAGCTATTATTAGTTTCTTGGTGGATATTGTGATTTTAAAGAATGTGGAAGGAGCTGGAGGGTTCTTACAAAACGAAAGTTAGATTTTTATTCTGAATGCGATATTACCTCCGTTTATATGGTGTGTAGATCCTTGGAGTTTATGTAAAAACATCTGGAGATGGTATATTGTAAGAAAGGGTGACAAAGCCTTACTAACTTAATAAGAAGCAAATACATTAATGGAGGAGCCTGACTATTTGTCAGCCAAAAGGTATTCAGATATTATGAAAACAATGTGGTTTACTTTTCTATATGGTACAGCCATTCCCTTAGGCACAGTTTGCAGTGCTTTTGGAATTCTGATTTACTATTATGTTGACTATTATAACATTTTAAGGAGGAGAACAGTGAAGGAATCCATCAGCATTTAATTATCAACAGAGATGATTGAGATGTTGGAATACATAATAGTATGGAGTGCCTTTGGAGAAATGATCATGACATATGCATTTTTCAAAGAGATAAGCTAGATTGATGTTCTGTTGATGGTGATTGCTATCATCTATGCTTCTTTACCTATGGAAGACATCTCAGAATATTTGTTCCCAGTAGTCAACAACGAAGAAGTATAACTGATTGCTAATTTAATTTATAGATTAAGCCATATGATGAAGGATGTTTGGGATTTGATACAGATTATGACAGAGAAAACCCAGTGACAAGACATAAGGCTATTGAAGAATGGAATGATAAACAAAATATGCTTATCAATTCAAACTACAAAATTCAGAAGTACTATCAATAATAAGATCAATTTGGGTATAATAATGATGGCCATTATGGCAGAAGATGATTTTTGAACAAATATTATTATCATTTTTAAATAATTATAAATGTTGAAAAGAATGTAAAGTAAAGAGGACATCATCAAAGATTAATATATGAAGACCTTAACATTTTTCTTATAGGACAGCACGCTTTACGATTGCTTATCTATCAATAATTAAGTCAGTGTAATTGATTAATCATTCTCTTTGTTTGATGTTTTCAATGTCTTTATTGAGACGCATATTGATGAAGTATTGTTTTGGAATCCAGATGTAGCTTATTATGATGGAGTGTTCACTCAAACTGATTTGATTAGAATCATTCTCAAATGCTATCAAAACACTCTAAATGGCATTCCCAATGGTAATCTTTCCAGCATATTTTAGGCAGTCTGGGGAAATAATAAAAATTAAGTTTAGCCCATAATAGAAGAAGAAGATGAAGATAGAACATCAACTCCTGTCAACAATACCTAAGCAATTGGCTAGGAGTAAATTAATAAGTTTCTCATTGATTTGAAGACAATCTCTGTAAGAGACTGGTTTAACTCATATGGAGAAAATCTTCATTAAAGCAATCTTGTCTAGGCAGATATGGCTGATAACCTAAATGATGCTATAAAAAAAATTTTAAAGTAGGGAGTAACAAGAATTGTAGTTATTGATAGTGAATCTAGAGTAATAGTGGGCATCCTATAGCAAAAGGATATTTTGGCTTTTCTTGTTAAAGGATTCAGCTAATATTTCCATTTATAATTATCCTAAAAATCACAGAAGATTGAGGTTCGAAATGAAAATCAACAACCATCTGAACAACATGAATTGGAGATTAGTTATTTTAGTGAAGGGATACTCTAATTGAAAGATAAACTCCCATTTGATACAAATGTATATGAGTAAATTACTCTCCTTATTCTAGTGTGTTTTATAAATTGATTTATGTTTTCAAAAGAAACGCTATACCTATTGTGGACGCTAATAACTAGTATTTAGGCTTGATTGATAGAAGGGATTTTTTATTTATCCTCAAATATCAAGTCTACGACATGGTATGACTCAACATTTAGATTAGCTCAATAAATAAGCCATTGATTTATTGAATTTTATTAGAATTGAAAAATCAAAGTGTGCTGGCTTTTGTATTTGTAATAAAGAGCTTTTTCACATGAAGTAAACTGTGAAAGAAGTATTATTTTAATTTATCGAAAGGTTGTGGAAAACTTGCTTCTCTCATCTAGAGGTAGTCTGGTATGTCTGAATGAAAACAAAGAACCTATTTCCACACTTTAAATGTCTGATCTCTTCAAAATATTTTTAGATGATATTGAAATAGAATGAAATTATTCTACGATAATAATAATAATACAAGTTTATGATGATAAATTGCATAATAAATTAAATCTTTTTTTAAAATATAAGAAATGGTCAAAAACTCAGCCCAAGACCCTTAAGACAATTCTTTATAAATGAAAGTAAAGAAGAAATTTACCTTGCATAGACTAGATAATACTTAGTATCAGGCAGAAGACTTCCATCAAAAGAAGATCCAAATCCAAAAGTTATTAGCATGAGGATTTTTGCCAGAAATACAGTGGCAGCAAAAAGCAGATTTTGGTATTGGTCATAAGGTTACCAATTAGGTGGAATTTAAGAAGATTAAATAAACTTAGACCATCACATGGTTAGATTTTAGCAGTTTAAGAATTGTTTGAAAGAAGAGACACAAATGTTAAGACATATGGAATAGTTCTTAAATACCAATCAAGAACAACAATACACAATATGTATAAGGAATTCAGAGATACTACATTAAATGGTGCAGTGTCTTAATTATGTATGCATCCCATTAATCAATTCCTTAGACTAAGAAATGGCAGGAAATCATAGAGCATAACCATAAACAATTCACATTCTCAGAACATCTGTATTGACAAAGAGCGCTGATATCAAGAGAGGCAAAACAAATTAATACAGAGTATAAGAATTTGCTATCTATTAAAGGGAGATTCAATTAAATTCCCAATTGTTAAGACTGTTCCAAGAGCAAGCCATAAAAAATTCAGAACTGTATTTAAAGCAAAAAGACCAAATCTTTATAGATCATGATGATGATGGTTTAGTACAATATTAATAATAAAAATTAATTGCGAATAAGTATTCTAATAATGACACAAATTTAATGTTCTTCTTGCTGCTAATTTTAAATCCTAAGATCTTCACAGCTTCTCCCTCTCATCATAAAAAATGTAAAAAAGCTTACAACATGGCAGAATATCAGCATTTAAGCAAATAATTGTATTGATAAAAAAAAGTCATAAATGTTAGGAAAGTAATCATACATCCTTCAACTATACCCATTTTGTAAAGTCAATTATTGCAGCTTAATGATATTTCTTAATCAAGAGGAGTGACAAAGAGGGCTAAAATTAAATAGATATGTATCAAAAACCACTTATTCTAAAATTTAATTGATAGATCAAATATTTTATTAATCAATCAATGATAGTCTTTTTTGAAATGATGTGACTAGTTGAAAATTTTAACCAACGAAATCTTCATATATGTTTTCATCAATATCGGTATATTCTAATAATTAGGATATAATTTTGTTGTAATTAGCTCTCTTAGAGACTTAATTGTTAAATTTTATTTTTAGCCTAAAATGAAATTTTCAATAGATTTAGATATCAAAATATCAAATCATTATGAAACTCATTATTAAATCTCTACTCTCTATCCAGTCTACATGGTAGTTTGTTGAATCTTAAATTCATGCAAAAAGGTCTTTTCTTTAGAATCAGGATTAGTGTTAAAGGAATCTTCTGTTTTATCAGTACTATAATATGGTTTATTTTAATAAAGAAAATTTTTGATGTGATTGATCATCCGTGTATTACTCATATTTGAATGATTTAAATATGTAACTATTTTTAATATTTCTATTTAATCAAATTATTTTGTCCATGATGTAGAATCAGAGGTTTAAAATATATTTAATTGATGCAACTATCTGCTAAATAAACCTCACTTTCTTATAACTCATTAATTTGACTGAGATATAATTAATGATGGTACTAAAACAGAAAAGGATCAATTCTTAAAATCATTATTTTTGAAGTAATTATGAGAATGTAGGGAAATAAAATTAATAAGAATTTGAATCTCATAAATATTCCTATCTTAAAAATTTCTCTAAGACTATCTTAGATTAAATTCTTTGGTCAGCGGGTACTTCATGTCCTGCATTCCTGAAGCTAACAAAGGTCAAACCCTCAATATCAAACACATTTCCTGCATTTTAATCTTTATCGCATTCTCTTAAAGCAGGAATATACCAAGGTCTCCATGGCTTTATTGTATTCAACTCTAATAATATTAAATGGCATTACATAATTATTATTGAAGTTTATCAATCCAATAAAGAGTACCCACTATTGGTACCACTCCATCTACATCTCCACTAAGAATAAGAACTCTGATATTATTTTTGATAATAGTAGGATAAATGTCTAGTGATCCATTTGGATTTATTTAATAATCGTCGAAATTTATTGAGCAAGCAACCCATTTGGGTGATTTTTAATCGATATTCAATAGCTAAAATAATTAAGATGACTGTTTACAGTTCGAACTTCATCCATCTAAAACCAATGATACAGACCTTTCACATCCACACAAGGAGGTACATCAGAGTCATCTTTCTCCTCATTTGAAACTCGAAGTGGGCTTTTCATTCTTGAGCTTCCTTCAGGAGTTTAAATAATGCATTTGGAATAAACATTATATTAATTCACCTGATAGGAATATTAAGGTCCAGAAATTTAAGCTAAGGCTTCATAGGCTAATGCTTGGCATTAGGGTGTTGCAGATCCGTAGCATTCTTCGGAATGATTAATTATTTTTTAATAGGTTTCTTCACTAATGAAGCCATGTCTTCCAAAAAAGTTTAATCTATGTATCGGAAAAAGATATCCCTGTAAAGTACATTCGCTTGGATCAGTGCAACCATTACCGATAATTATGCCTTAAATGTTTATTTTTAAGACTTCAGGATTAACTGGTTGTTTATTATACTTTATAATCTCTTGAGTCAAGGTTGGTACATAGATACCAGCATAGGATTCACCACCAATATAGAATTTTTAGTTTTTGAAGTTAGGAAATCTAACAAAAAACTCAATTAATGCATGCATGTTGTATTAAGCAGTTGATTCATCAGATTATGCTCCAGCTGGGCCATAAGAATATCCAACAGATATTGGAGATTCAATGTAAAGCATGTTGGCCTAAATCATTAATTTATCCTTTTACAAACGATGTCCAGGTATGTGGGTTCTCTTCAAATTAAATAGATTCAGGAATGAAGGTGTATGGACCACTTTCTGTAAATGCTGCAATCATAGATGAACATCCTGGTCCTCCAAGTAACCATAATATCAAAGGTTTTTCAGAAGATGAATCGATAGCTGGATAAAAAAGGTAATGAAACTCGACTGATCCATCATCTTTTGCGCTAAGATAACCAGAATAGCTAATCATTTATTCAATAATCTTACAGTTATCCTTGATAGTTTGTTTCAAAAAGTGCATTTAGTTTTACCATGTCAACTTCGTCCTTCTCCAATGTCTATGTTTCTAAGGCCTACAAAGCAAAGAAGCAGACCAAGATAAGCATGATTGATTTTCCCATAAATTTATAAAATTAATTACATCATTGAAATTCACAAATGAAATATGTAAACAATAATATGTAATTATAAAATATACAATTTTTTCTATATTTTCACAAATGTCAAAAATAACAAGCATTCATTATTATTATTTAAAATGTTTATGTCTGAAACCTAATAATATCTACAATATTTTCTAAATGCTTTTAGCATAAATTAATATAAAAATTCTAATAATGATTTCTTGAATAAATTAATAGAGTTTGAGATTTTTCTTGATTATTTTCTGAAAATCATAATGGCTAAGATTAATAATATATAATTTGCATGATTCTTAAAGGGGACTATATTATTTACATCCCATTTTTCAAAATATTTAATGATCAGAGTGAAATGGGAATAATATTTTTCATATATTATAATGTTGAAATAAAACTAATTGAATGAGCATTTCGATATAAATATGATAACGAACATCACCGAAAATAACTGTTAATATGGTAGATCTGAAAAAACTACCGCAGAGGTTTGTATTTATATAAACATTAAACCTTAGCTAACACATGAATAATAAACATAACCGTTCATATTAAGCTAATAAATCATATAAAGGAGCCCTTTATAAAATGATGATGGTCTCAATTAACTAAATGTTGATTTCCTTTCAGATGACATATATCAGCTAAGTTCTATAGAAGAGCTCTCTTCAAACCTTAATAATTACATCGATTTATATTTATAAGAATTGAGATAACCATAGTAAATTTTAGAGCAACTTTCTTTATAACAATCTGAAAGTTATGAAGAAGAGTCTTCAGAAAGTCTTGGCTAAAGAATTTATTCTGTAAATTTTTCAATTACATTTTAGAAATTTATATCTTAGTTAAACTTATCAGTCATTTAATCATAGGACTAAATTTCAAGTATAGATGAGCAATACAAAGATGAATCGTCATTCACCCTCTCAACCACTATATTGGAACAGGAAGTTAAAATTCTTCCTGATATAAATAGCAGTGGATTAATCACATTATTTTTGAATAAAATTCAGTCTACTTGCAGTTTAGCTTGAGTTAAAAGTTCTTCCTTTTACTTTTTATAAACTTTATATTTCTTTGATTAAATAATTATCATTTTTTTTCTTTTGAGAAACAAATTAAGCAATAAATTTTTAATCCTTCAAAAAGAAAGAAATTAGAGAAAAAAGATCAATGAAATACCGATTTGGGCGAAGAACAAAAAAAAAATTTAGAGGATCGATTTCTAATACATAACTATTTAAAAGAAGCGAAAGAGCAGCTTACTAGTATCCTTAATTCGAACAAAGAGTATATGATATTTTCTTTATATGATGAAATGAAAACCTATTCAAAAAAAAAATAAATCAAGAATAGTCTACCGTATTCAAGCCTTGTCATTTCCCTTAAAAGGAGGATCGGTAGTTCGATGTCAGAAAATTTTAATGAATACAACTCCTTAAGAAATGACCTTAAATTACGGTATTCTAACATTTAAATTAGAAGATTTAAGCTAACAAAGCCTATTATGATAGCTAAAGAAGTACCAGTCCTCATAAGTTTGAACTTTCAGATGAATTTCATCATATAGAAGGAAAAATTGCTAAATAGAACAGAATTGAACTGATAAAGGAATTTAGTAAGATATATAAAAGAGTAGAGTTAAAGGCAACAAAGAAATAATTCGATGAATCAGAATATTCTTTAAAATATAGAGATGCAGTTTAGAAAATTTAAGTAATTAATTAAAGAAAAAATTGAAAAAACAAATTACCTATATTGCAGTCAGAAAGAACAGAATCAGTTAAGTCAATACTAAATGATTTAAATTACTGTAGATTGTCACTTGATTAGGAAATAAGTTATATCCATATTGCAGATTCAAAAATAAAAGTTTAATAAAGAATAGAAGGAGGCTTCACTAAACCTCTAAAAGAAAGGTTTTTTGATTATTTTTATAAATGAATCTCTCTTTATTTAATATTACTAAACTTGGTTATCTTTACTAAAAATTTTCTCTTTTAAATTAGTATTGTCTGTTGTTCAATTAAATTAAAATGATAATTTTTATTTGAATCAAAGCAAAAACAATAACAATTGATAGATATTCTTCATTCATCAAATAAGATAATGAAAAATTATTGTCATAGAACTCAAAAAATTCATTTCATATTTATTTATTTTTCAATAATCTAATTAATTATCAATCTCTCTCTACACCATTTACTTAAAGAATTCATGCATTCTAGATCAAGCATTTGGAATTCCTTAACTTGTTTCTTTTTTATATTTATTAATTAACATAAAAAGAATTTTTATTTTAATTAATGATTCCTCATTATATTCATTTGAAATATATAAAATCAGTCGAAAAAAAATTTTTCCTTCCAAATTACTATGTATACGCAGTTGATATTTATCCTAAATGATGTGAATGATGATTTATAAGATGGTAAAATACTGTTGAAGCATCCTTTTTCTAAACGACTCCTTTGCTATCTTGATATTCAAACTCTTAATCAAAATAAGCTTCATCACATGAATCAATAAGCTATTAGAATACTTAATTAATATCCAAAAGTAAGGATTTCGTTTAATCATAGTCAAATTGCAACTAATCAAATATTTTTTCATCATCACTTTGCCATAATAAAATAAGTTCTTTAAGCTAATTCTCAATAATTAAAATTTACATAAATTGTTCGCATCTTATCCTTAGATAAAAAAGGTACCTGAATGATTTATAATTTCATTATTCTTCCATACCATACATAATCAGCTGCTAATAAGTGTTTCATAGTCCCAATTACGTTGTTAAAGAATAATTATTAATTTTTGACTAAAAATTGTTAATAGTTATCTTATTTCTCAAATGATTCAAACATCTTCTTGTATCTCCACTCATTATATTTAAAAATTTTTTCGAACATCTTCTTCATTTTTAGATTTTATAATAAATAATGTTTTTTGATGATATGATAATAATCAGATGTCTTTTGGAGGTCCATATCTATCCTTAGATGGCTGATTATTGAAGAATCTTAAAAATTCCGACCCAACCACTTTGTATGCATTTGCATAGTTTTATTAACATTACTTGAATAAGGCTTCTTATTCGCCATTTGATTGGACATCTTATACAGCCTTTACACAGAGTTAGAATCCCTAAGTAGCAAACAAATCCTTAAATATATCCATTTATTTAATTTAGTATTAATTATAATTTTCATCTCACATAATTGGATCTCTATTAAATTTGGGTGTTTCACTTTATACGAATTGAGTTTGAAATACTTTTCATTCATAATAGGAGTAACTTCTATTTCAATTATTAAGCAAGCATGGAAAATATCAGGGCCTACAAATTCTTTGGATTATTATCTCGCTAATGAAATAATTTCCTTAATCTCATTATGGATTGCAATTTATTATTTAACAAAGAAATTTGTAAAATTGATAGTCATTTAGGTCATCTCAAAATTGTAGATTTCTATAGAAGAAATTGATGAAACAACAGTTTTACTAGTAAGATTTTATAATATATTATAAAATTGAAATATTAGACAATAGGGAATGAATACAAAGAATGAAAAGTATGAGCTTTCTAGTCAACTGAAGACTCACTAAAATAGCAGATGTAATTTTGCAGAAATTTTACAAAATTGGAAAAGAATCCAGCCAGAACAAACTTTCTATCCGTTGTTCTGCTAATCTCTAATATTTAAAAATATTAAAAAAAGAGGAAGATTAAAATTATAGCAATAACTTCAAAATCTACTCCATATCATGTATTTAAAAATGAAAATAGCGGACGATCTCAGATTACTTGCTCTACTTGTATTACTAAATTATGTTGGTAGATTGGAAGGAATTATACTTTAAATCAAAAAAATAGAATAACTTATTTTCTTTGAAATACTAGTTCCATTTTCCCATCTTTTTGCTTCTTTGCCAAAGTTAATTCGAGTGACTAATAGATTATTGATAACTGTTGTTTTTTTATTAGAAATGTTTCCTTTTAATAGCTTCAAATGAATTACAGAATTTAACCTTATCCAATATTATGATTTATCAAGAAAGTTCTCATCCTCCGTAGAATTTATCAAAGATACAGGCTCAAATAGTACCTAATCCTTAACTATTGAGTAACAATGATGACAATTATTTATACTGGATCTCTAAATGCTCTAGTAGTTTAACTAAATTCTCAAATGTAACTAGGAATATTAACATCATGTGACTGTTTAATTGTTCTACTTCAGCACAGAATTTCAAATAGTATAATGATGGATGCTATTGAAATAAATGAAGTATTATAAAAGAGCTGGACTGTATACCTAATTAATCTCCACTTACACAACAAATTTTATTTAGAAATATTAATGGTTATTAATTTTAATTAGTTCTACAATAATAAAAATATATTTTTGTTTTCAACACGTTGAAACTCAAATATATTTTACTTATTAGAATTCTTTAGCATTAGGATCAATATAATTGACTGCACTTCCAATTATTAAGCTTTTTCATAAATTGTGCATCATGCATGTGTGCTTGGGAAAAAAATTTCCATAAGATATGTAAATTTGAATCTCTGAAACCAAATAATCAGCACCAATTAGCAAGACTTTTAATACATTATTAACAAGAGCTATAGGTTTCCAAATAAGTTGTTATGCTAAAGTGACTTGAACAAGATTAACGCAATTAAAAACTATCTAAACTTGATATACTCACATTTGCTGAATGATCATATAAATTAAAGTTATATTAAAGTATACATAGGTTTATAATATACACGAAACATGTAATACTCCTTTCAACCATGTACAAATTGAATATTTCCAAATCATATGGTAATTATTTCGAGGTAGCAGCTTATTAATAAATTTGAATTAGCTATCAAAATACATTTTGGATAATATTTACCTTTCACCCACTTTTTCTGTTAAAGTATTTATCAGAAACTGTCCAAATTATTCTAACACATAAATTAATGTAATAATATATATCCTAGCTGCTTGATAGTAGTTACAAGAGCTCCGGCTTTTTGTGGCTTTTCCAGATTGGTTCTCATTTAAGTGGTAATGCTATTGTTTCTGGATTGTTTGTTAGATTCTACTTTTTGTAGTTTCTTTTTAGATAGATTCTGACTTGTAGCGGTAGAGAACATATTCCACTATCTTAGATCACTTGCATAATTCTATCCATACTCAATGTTAATAGTGTTAAGCCTTCATGATTTGCTCAGCTAATGAACGTGGTGAAATGCGTCAACACAATTTCACAACTTTAACTGCTATTTCATCCTAATGAATGTTTCTTATAAAAAATGTTGCTTCTCTAAATTAATTTTAGGAAAACTCTTCTTCTGCTACAATATATTATGCTAAATTTTCAGATCTTATTAAGAAAACTAACACCTTTGTGTACAGAGTTTCTTTAATTATGTTGTTGAAACGACTAATTAATAAGTTCCCCATTCGCTCAATTATAAGATCATTGGTTCAACTACTATTAACTGATATATTGTAACCTATAAAATAATGCTTTTAGAAGATTTGAACCAGTTATTAGGCAGTCTTGGATCATAATAACTTATAAGAATTGGCTCTTTTTATTGTTATCCCAAAATTGTGTTTGTTTATATTTGATAAAATTTCCGCCGGCTACTTAATAAAGACAATGGTTCAGATTCTCATTTGACCACCATCTCTCATATTTCATAACTTTCTCCATAATTTATGTTTCAAAATGGTTCATAGCGACTTACCTTCTTGAAGTTATATGGGGATCATGTAGCCAGAGTTATTGCAAATTTCAGAGGTCTATTTTTTTATCAAATGAAAGAAGTACCCATTAGCAAGCATATAGGAGACTATTAGTTTCTTCGCTTATGCTTTAACTTATGATGGCACCAAAATTTATATCCTCTAACTAATTAAATCTACATGCAGCAAAGCTAGTATTATACATAGGTTAGTCAATTTTTATACAACCAATCTAAACTTGGATGTAATAGATAAATCCTTCATGAGATGGAACAATGTATCTCTCTGTCTATTGCTTAGATCATCAACAGCAATTAACTGGATGACATCTTATTAATCAGCATCAGCAATACATAATGTTTGATCAAACAACTTCTCTTTCATGCTTTTCATCTGATACCAACTAGAAGATCTGCAGTTTATCTAAATCCCTCAAGTATCATCACTTCATAAAAATTACTTGTTTAACTAGTTTATTACAATTTTCCTATTTAAGAAACATATGTTAACTTCCAAATTTCACATATGTCAATACACAACGGTTTATAGACCCAGATGATACCCTAGTTGTTATTGTCGTATTTTAACAAGCAGTAAGCTGAAGTCTTTGAAATGAATAGATTTGCAACAACACTTTATACATTCTTCATCCGTATGTAATATTAAGGTATGGAACTAGGAGAAGTGTCCATTTTTAGAACTTTTTAGATATGGTAATTTGTTATTTTGCCTTGCATTAGCATTTTTAAATCCAGCAAAAAGTATCACAAGCAACATTTGATGTATCAGATAGGATAGAATTATGCTTTAGGGCTTGCCTTTTAAGTGACAAAATTTAACTTAAAAGCATATTACTAGAGTCAGTGAGGTAGTTAGTTCATCACTATAAACGCAGGATAAATAAATCGTATCATGCATCATATACATAGTATAGAATCATATTATCGATTTAATAAATTTCATCATTTCCTGAATTGAGTTGACCATTTTGTGGACCATAGTATTTTATTGTAAAAATAAGGACTGAAAAGATACAAAAATTGCTAAGATTTTAGAGTAAAATGAATACATCATAGTTTTCAATAGAAAAGACGAATTAATTCAATCTTAAAGCAAGGTGTAGTAAAAGTGTTGTAACATTTGCATTTGTTATATAAATTAGTATAATATAAGTAAAAAAGTAAGGCTTATAAATATTTATTACATAGCAAACACAATTTAAAATCAAGATAAGAAATCTATATGTGAAATTGTAGGCGCTACCATAAGAACAACAAACACGATAATTTAGAGTCAAAGAAAAATAAAGGGACAAAGCTACCGTATTTTAAGTTAGGAAATTGTGAATTAATTTTGCATGCAAATTATATTGGCAAGGATCATTATTTCCAGTATAAAAAACTGATGCATAAGACTCAAAAGGGTTGGAGGCTAATTAAATTAAACACGGTTAAGATATTATATTCTGAAATTTTGAAAAAGAATAAAATAAACACGAAGTTGCAGTATTAGATTTGGTAACGAATGGCACATTATCCAACTCCAGATACACATGATCTTTACATCTCCTGTATCAAATCAATAATAGGCTGTTCAAGTTTAAGAATTTAGAATGTCTACCAATAAAACTAGAAGATTGGCATTATCTAGATCCAACATTAAAACAACTATTTGTGCAGTAACATTAAATAAAGCAATGCATTCTTGCATGAAGTTTAACATGCCTAACAAGCATATATACTAAATATGAGGAACAATATAAATAAATCAAACTGGAAGTTAAACAATTTATTTAATGCGAATGCTAAAAGCAGAGAAGATAAAGTGAAGGAGTGGTTATATTAAAAGTTACACCAAATTATTGTTTGTTCTACACTAGGTAACATTGTTTCACTAGATGACTGTGCTGTCTTTCATTAAAAACAACCAGATGGAAGTATCAAAATTTCAGGTACTACATGATTTAATAAAAATGATTCGCTTTATAATATTCATAAGTTAAGCTACTATCATAACCTTATGAGGCAAGTAGTAAATATGATAGATACAAATATCAAAAAAGTCAAAAAAAAATTTGAATTGCATTAGCTTATCTTTGATCATTTGTTATCAAAAATCTTTTATTATCAAACTTATTATTTTAAATGTTATGTTTTATTTGTATGTTATATTAATGCAATCAAATGAAACACTGTTGAAATAATTAGAAGGATATAAAAATATTAATTAGTCACTGAAATTGCAGACTAAATTAATTGATTTGCCATACATAAATGAATTAATCTCCGCATAAAACGGATATTTATAGGTTCGACTTAAAGTTATTCTAACTGCCTAAGTGGATTCGAATTTAACAAATGAAATCAAATTTGAAGAAACTGATGAAATAAATTGAGAACTTGCTTTTTGGAATATTTGTTTTTAATTCTCAGAGAAAAAAAGTTGTATGAGTATTAGAAGAGTTTACATAAAGAAAAGTAATTTTTACTATATTTTAAATAGGTGATAGAGTAGTTTGAATTATAAAATCTATGCTTCTCTAGATCTCACCGTTGTGCAACAAATAGAATAAGTTTTAAGTATAACAATAATCAAGAGAATCTCAGTATAATTTCATTATGAGGTCGGAAATTGATTGGTGTTCTCTTTTTTGAATTATTTTAGTCATCTTGAAGAAAGCTTATGACTCTATCATAAACTAAAATTACTCACAAAGGTGAATTAAGATACTTAAGCGAACATAATATCATTATAATAAACATCTTTGTGCTTTAAAACAATATTGAAAATTAGTTATTAAAATATTGGAATATCTATAAAAGCAAATGCAAAATCTTGAGAAATATCTTTGCTTAAATATTTGTAACCTTTACTGATTATTGGTAATTTAATTAGGTTAATTCTATATCATTTTTATATTCTAGGATACAATCCATCATAAACTATTATTATTTTTGTTCTGGGGCTTCAAAAACGATTTAAACCATTATATGTCTTAAAGTTATTAGACTATTAGAAAAGATTTAATACAAAGATACTCTGATTATTCTAAAGGTTTCTTTGTTATTGAGTAAAATATCATTTCAAAAATTACTTGTTAATAATTGCTAAGAAAATTAAAACAAATGACAATACTTGAAGGTTTGTTATAGGCAGAAAAGACCTAAATCTTCTAATTAACAAGGCAAGTTAACAAATAAAGGAGCGAAATAATTAAAATTTCCCTTTTTTCTTCATACTTAAATAGTATCTTAGTTATTAGTGCATTGAAGATATAAGTGGTTCATGGGTTAAACCTCAAGCCTTATAATTGACTATCATTTGATTTTAGTATGTAGTCTTAATTTAATTCAGTAAAGATTGATTCATAATTTCCGACTCCTTTAAATTATTATTATTTTTGAAATTAAATGGTTAGTCTTATTAATTATATTTTGAGGATATCTTTCAAAAAGAATTCGCAATTAATTGTTCATCATTTATAATTTTATGCTTACGATCTGTTGTTCAATATTTAATACCTTTTCTAGTCCATAATATCAATTAAAACTAATATCTTTCAACGCTTCTGATTATCAAAGTATTTTTGAATTATTTAATCAGCAATAATTAAGCAACAAAGTGAAGTACATAAGCAAATCAAGCAAAATTATAAAAAAACATTAATTGTTGGTTGTAGGAATATTAGATTGTGTTGTCTTCCTCGTTTACTTGCTGCGATTGTGTATCTAATTTTTAATTTTTTGAATATCATTCATTTGATGAATGATAATGTCTTCCAACTTTAATTGAACTTTGAAAGGGTTAGTTTAAGGTGCTCGATCTGGAAGGAGTTGTTGCTTACTTTGTGTCGGTTCCAAAGGATGAAGCAGATCTTCAAAAGAAGCAATGGCATCATCGATTTTAGTGTAGGATATCTATTAGATTGGAGTTTATTTTACTTCTATCCATTGATCCAACTCTCTAAGACAGATGTTCACTTGCTCTTACGATTCTGATTGTCTTAACATAGATTTGTAAAAAGAATATTTAAAATAATGATTTAGATATTATATGAGTATTGATAGTCACCTAATAGGAAATTCTTAATTTGGGAGAGCAAAGGAAAAAAAATGCAAAATTTAGCGATGAGTTGCATATGTGAAGTAATGTGGTCAGATTTGTACGATTAATATGCTTGAATTCATATACCTCCCAGCATGAAAAGGAGGTGTAATACATAAGCAGGTGATCGCTCCAAGCGAGTACCCTCACTACTCTAATTCTGCTTAAGGAAAAGGACCCCATCCCATCGATGAAACTAGCAAAAATCTAATTTGTGACTTATACCATAGGTACCAAAAAATGCTCTTGTACGCCTCAAACATTATTAAGGACAATCACACAATCTCTATCAACTCCCATCTTCCTTCCTTCCTAATCGTACATTAACAAATTTGACTAAACGAACTTAATTCAAAAGTATTCACATTGAACTTTTCATTTTAAATCATATCCAAATAATGTGTCTAAATCATTAATATATAACTAGTAATTTTATTGCATATGTATTATTATTATTTTTAAAATTATCAATCTTACAGTTTTTACTAGTTTTCTAAAATCAAGCTTCCTTTTTATTAGAATAATGTTCTCAAGTCTATGCCTTATGGATTATGAAACTGTCCTTGTAAAATTTGAGCACCTTATGATTAAAAGATGAGTTATTGTGATATTAGAAGGATGGTAACGTTAGAATGAACTAAATAATAATAAAAAAAAGTGAATACCAGTATCTGAAAGAGCATTATTTTTAATTATTGAAGGTTAAAATTAAGCTAGAATATTTTGATAACGATTAGCTGAGGATAAGATTTATTATCCTGTCTTAACATCCCATAAACGGATAGAGTTATCAAAACTACCAGATGCTAATGTAGTACCATCAGGAGAGAAATTCACTGAATAAACATAATGCGAATGACCATCTAATTTGGCTTTTTATTATCCTGTCTTAACATCCCATAAACGGATAGAGTTATCCAAACTACCAGATGCTAATGTAGTACCATCAGGAGAGAAATTGACTGATATAACTGCTTATGAATGACCATCTAATTTGGCTGTTTATTATCCTGTCTTAACATCCCATAAACGGATAGATTTATCATCACTACCAGATGCTAATGTAGTACCATCAGGAGAGAAATTGACTGAATAAACTGTTGATGAATGACCATCTAATCCAGTGGCCTTCGCGTGAAGGTCTTCCTGTAGGGACCTTGATTCGTTGCCTTCTCGTAAAGGATTTTTCTCTCAAATATAGCCGAAGTACCTTCTAATTCAGTGGCCTTCGTTTCATTTAACATAAATTTAGAGAATTTATTTCTAAACGAAAAATAATTCTCTCAATTACTTACTACTAAAAAAAAGTTATAATACCAACCCCAATACATTTTAATTTATTCCTAATTATTTCATTTTAATAGAAATTCATTTTTATCATAACAAACTTTAATATTGTAATTTATCTTTGGTTAATGAATTTAGAATCATTAGAAATTGAGGAAGGTGATAAATTCATGCTGAAAGAAATAAAGGTATAATTTTTAAGTAAAGGATTTTAGACTAAATTCAAAAGAATAACGGAGTTTGTTGATGAGTCTATTGCTGAAGTGTAAAATTAGTTTGAGAAGAGGTCTATATAATAATAGGGAAAATCAAATGCTACTTGTAATATCATTCCTTAGTTGACTCTTCACGATCTGCAAAGTGAAGAATTTAGCACTAAGTTGAGTTATTCATTAGGATTGACTATTGATA